AACTTCACGTTTGATCAGTCCCGCCCTGAACACGTCTAAATAACAATATTCAGACATAGAGATAGCGCCACCTATTGGCAACAGGAAGTAAGCGTTGTGTGGCGATTTTGAGCTGATTTATGTGATTTTAAGTTGCGCACTTTGTGCATGTACATTGAAGGGCATTTTTGTCTGTGGCATGAGGTCAAAGTTGGCCACTTTGAATTCTGTCGTCATACAAACTGAAAAGTTGAGCTATTTGTGACTGTACATCAAACCGCGTGCCAGTGACAACTTGTCGATTTCAGCAGATTCGCCATAAAATAGAGCTCATAACTTCAGTGTGCAATGTACAATCTCCAATAAACTTCATATATTCTGAAACAGTTTTGCCATGAACACGTCCTCATAACTTCAGCGTACATGGTCCAATCTCAATGAAACTGTTTGATAACAGTCTCGCCTTGAACATATCTACATGACAACATTCAGACATAGTGATAGCGCCACCTACTGGCAACAGGAAGTAAGCGCTGCTTGGCGATTTTGAGCTGATTTACGTGAGATTTTCATGTTGTGGTCCGTACGTGTTACGACGGCACGTGACGCGGCCGCAGCATGCCCCGAGTTGCGTGGAGTGCGAGGTCCCGCTCAACACTGCTTGCAGCTTTAATTATTATTAATTTTTCTCTTCCGCCTCCCTTTTATATTTTATTATTATTATTATTATTTTATTTTGTTATATATTTTAAGAGGAAATTCTTAAAACATAGGAGATTAGCACTGTGGTATAACCACCAAACCCGCCAATTAACCCTTTAGGCGCCGGGTTTTATTTTGAAAAATACTAGATTTTGACATCTAAATTTCAGGAGGCTCTGGCTTGAAAGTGCTTTGAGATAGAGACAAAGTGTAAATGAGACAAATATTGAGAATGACCTAAAGTTTATCTAGGTAGTCAATTTTCCCATCTAATTTGCATATTATGACGTCATATGGTGACGGCCATATTGGATAATATAATTTCCATGAAATACCTGATATTTTGAAAGAGACTTGAACTTATTTCATCAGATTCACCCCCCTCCATCAATTTGTTACGTTGTCCACATATCAAATGAACAGGTAAAAGTAAATTGTAAGCCAACAGTCGTAAACTAGAACTATTACTACCACAAAGCTCATGTAAACAGTAGGCGTTTTTTATGATTTTTTACCCACTACCACCCCCCCATTGAGGACACTTTTTCTTTTCTTTTTTATTCTCTTCTTCATTATTATTATTATTATTATTATCATATGATAATAATAATAACAGTAGGCGTCTTTTAGCTGCAGAGGTCTAATCTGATCTATCCAGATAAAAGTTTGTAGTATTTGTAGAGTGTGGAACCTCTCATTGCAAGGCACAGTACAGAGACAATATGAAAAATATTGAGACCCCACCACATAGCCTAACAAATGGACAGGTACACATCCGCATTGGACGGCTGTGCCACTGCCGCACATGGACGCACTGTGACTGGCGCGGTAGAAAGAGTGAGTGGTCCCAGCGCTATTCTCACCACCCCCGCTACTTCTATCACATCCATTAGCTCCCTTACTGATACTACCAGTTTGTGTAGTACTCCCACCTATGTTAGGCAAAGGGTCGTGTGTTTGTGCTTGTGTGTTTTCCTCGCTCTGCCCGGCAGCGCCGGTGCAAAGACGCACCGTGACTATCACGCTCACTAAACGACCGGCCGTCATCTCCCAAAGGTAGATTTTCCCCTTCAGAATCAGAGTCAGCGAACAGGAGACCTATCACTTCCCTAAGCGTCAACTTTTTGCTTGCCATTTTCGTTTATTTTGTCTCAATAACTCCTAAATCCAGCAATACCGCTTCAGCATAAATAGCGCCGTGGCGCACTATTTCCGGTTTCTCGCCCAACAGTTTGGACGGGTCTTCCTCGAACATTTTGCATTGAAACATGACGTTTTTCTGAGCTAAGGTCTAAGTACGGCATGTCTGCCAACTAGTGGAGGGGAGTGTGAATGAGATATAACGCTCTATTAGGAGAAAACAGCTGTTTGATTCAGTACCGAATCCTGACGCAATTTTGCAACTTTGGCGCTTAAAGGGTTAAAGCAAAAAGCAAGGAAATCTAAAAGGAAATGGGGCTCTTCGAAATTAATAGAATATCGCTCAATTTGGCAAGATAATCTTAAAACCTATAGAAAGGCCCTCCGTAGTGCCAGAGGAGCCTATTACTCAACACTAATAAAAGAAAATAAGAACAACCCTAGGTTACTCTTCAGCACTGTAGCCAGGCTGACAGAGTCACGTATCCCTATAACCTTAAGTAGCAACAATTTCATGAGCTTCTTTTATAATAAAATCATTACTATTAGAGACAGAATTAATCACCAAATGCCCTAAACAGGTATCACTAGCTCTCCAAGTTCAGGAACCTTAACTAATGTAAAATCAGATAATATTTAGACTGTTTTTCTGCCATCAATCTTCATCAGTTAACTTCAATGATTTCTACATCGAAGCCATCAACCTGTCTGTTAGACCCCATCCCAACTAGGCTGCTTAAAGAAGTCGTACCCTTAATTGGCACTTCTTTACTAGATATGATCAATCTTTCTTTGTCAGTATATGTACCGCAGTCCTTTTAAAGTAGCTGTAATTAAACCCCTTCTTAAAAAGCCCACTCTTGACCCAGGGGTTTTAGGCAACTATAGACCGATTTCTAACCTCCCCTTTCTCTCTTAAGATTCTGGAGAAAGTAGTCGCCAAACAGTTGTGTGACTTTCTACATAACAATAGCTTATTTGAGGATTTTCAGTCAGGATTTAGAGTTCATCACAGCACAGAGACAGCTCTGGTTAAAGTTAATAATGACCTTTTGATAGCTTCCGACAATGGTCTCTGTACTTGTATTATTAGATCTTTTACAGAGACTTGAGCATCATATTGGCTTTAAAGGAACCGCACTAAGCTGGTTTAGGTCATACTTATCAGATCGTTCTCAGTTTGTACACGTTAACGATGAATCTTCCATAAATACTACAGTTAGTCATGGAGTTCCACAAGGTTCTGTACTTGGACCAATACTATTTACTTTATATATGCTTCCTTTAGGCAACATTATTAGGAATCACTCCATTAACTTTCATTGCTATGCAGATGATACACAGTTATATCTATCAATCAAGCCTGATGAAATTAATCAATTATCTTAATTACAAACATGTCTTAAGGACATAAAATCCTGGATGAGCTGCAATTTTCTTTTGTTAAACTCAGAAAAAAACAAAATTATTGTACTTGGCTCCAAAAACCTCAGAGACCCACTGTCTAAAGATATAGTTACTCTAGATGGCATTACCTTGGCCTCTAGCACCACTGTCAGGAATCTTGGAGTTATCTTTGATCAGGACATGTAATTTAACTCCCATATAAAGCAAACCTCTTGGACTGCCTTCTTTCATTTACGTAATATTACAAAAATTTGACACATCCTGTCACAGACGGATGCAGAAAAACATGCATTTGTTACTTCAAGGCTGGATTACTGCAACTCCTTATTATCAGGCTGCCCCAAAAAGTCCATTAAGATGCTCCAATTAATTCAGAACGCTGCAGCACAAGTACTGATAGGAACAGAGAAAATAGGAAAAGAGATCACATCTCTCTTGTATTAGCTTCTCTGCACTGGCTCCCTGTAAAATTTAGAATAGAATTTAAAATCCTCCTCCTCACCTACAAAGCTCTTCATGGTCAGGCCCCTTCATATCTTAAAGAGCTCATAGCACCCTATTACCCCTCTAGAACACTGCGTTCTCATAATGCAGGGCTACTTGTGGTTCCTAAAGTCTCTAAATGTAGAACAGGAGCCAGAGCCTTCAATTACCAAGCTCCTCTCCTGTGGAACCAGCTTCCAGTTGTGGTTCGGGAGGCAGACACCCTCTCCACATTTTAGAGTATGCTTAAGACGTTCCTCTTTGATAAAGCTTATAGTTAGGGCTAGCTCAGGTGAGTCCTGAACCATCCCTTAGTTATGCTGCTATAGGCCAAGACTATCGGGGATTTCCCATGGTGCACTGAGCTCCTCTCTTCCTCTCTCTTCTCTTCTCTTCTTCCGCACTCATTCATGTCCCATTAATGCATGTTACTAACTTCACTTCTTCCCCGGAGTTCTTGTGCTTACTCGTCTCGCAGGTTCTCATGGATCCTGGTGGAGCCTCCTGCCATGGTCCTGCTAGATTGCCATTACTAATATCACTGATATTATTGTTATTATTATTATTACTATTATTATTACTACAGTTACTATTATTACTATTGTCACTGCTCATTGTCCCCCATCGTTGTTGTCGTCGTTGTCATCATCTTCTTCATGTTCATCATGATCAGTCACTACTTTTAGTGTAGTTGTTGCTGTTGTTGTGGTGCACCTGTCTGTCTCTCTCTCTCTCTCTCTCTCTCTCTCTCTCTCTCTCTCTCTCTCTCTCTCTCTCTCTCTCTCACCCCAACTGGTCGAGGCAGACGACCACCCACCGAGAGCCGAAGGGTCTGTCCTAGGTTTCTGCCTCTTAAAAGGCAGTTTTTCCTTGCCCCCGTCACCAAGTGCTTGCTCATGGTGGTACTGTTAGGTCTCTGTAAATAATGTTATAAGGAGTTCGGTCTAGACCTTCTCTATTTGAAAAGTGTCCTGAGATAACTTCTGTTATGAATTGGCGCTATACAAATAAAATGTAATTGAATTGAATTAATTGAATTGAATTAATAGTATACTGTATTTTTCAGTGAAACAACCCTAGATAACTTTAAGCAGTCTTTTATCACAGCTTTAATGTTTCTATGTTGTGATGGTCAAAATAAAACATTTGAATTGGTTTAATTTCACAATTTTAATTTTAAATGACAGGTGTACTATATATACTGTCATTGATCGAAAAAACAATAGCTGTGAAAAACCAATATTTTTGAAAGACAGAGACACTGAGTATTTATGTCATTTAACCCTCAGGTCGTCTTGCCATTGGTGGATCAATACTTTAAAAACCACAGGCTGTACTTCCTGTCCACAGCCATCCATCCAATCAGCAGCGGTGGCCATGCTTCCAACAAGGAGAAGGAGATGGTGACCAGGTGAGTGTGGCAAATCATACAACACTAAACAGACAGAAAGCCAACAATGCCAGTATTGCAGGGTACAACATGAGCTATCATGCAATATTGTTTGAACACTAAATAAGACTAGATTTCCGACATACAAGATGTTCAAGACTGGAATTTCTAATTGAATACATGTGTATGACAGTCACTGAGCTGTTGACATTCGGCTATGTGCCTTTATATCTCTCCTGCTCTCTCTCTGTCTTTCTTTGGGTCTCTCATTTTATTGTCTCACACCATCTTTTATTTCTTTCTCTGCTTCCGTCTCTACCTCCTCTCTCCTTTTATTGATCTTTTCAGTCTTTTCTGCAAACTGGGAGTTCTTGTCAGACATAGGATATCCTTATTTGGTAAGGACGTTCATGCCTAATGCTTCCACTTCGGCTCCCTCTCTGCTGTTCTTTTGAGTGAGTGTGAGTGCAGTATGAATGGTTTTGTAGTATTCTGAACCCAGAGTACTGCCTATACGACAGATGTGTTCCTGAGAGTAAATGTAACTTGTTTTTATAAGGAATGGTGAAACAAATTAAACATCTTTATCCTGGTTTAAGAAAAAAATGCAAAGGTATTTGCAATAAAAAAAGAATGATAGACATGATAATTTTGATGATAATCCGTGTCTTCTGTGATATTATACTGTGTTGAAATAAATTTGATTATATATAAATTATTAAAGGCCTGGAGACTGGCTATATATTGATGAGGAAATATTCTCCATGGAAAAACTGACTCGTTATCTAAGGACTAAAGCAGGGACCCATGAACAATGCGGGGTCCTGCTCTCAGCTGATCTGACAAGAACACATCAAGGATTGTAGTGCCCAATTTAATTTTTTTTTTTTTTTGTTATGGATTATGTTCAGTGCAATAGTAACATCCAGGTCTGCACGTGATTGTCACTGGGAGCTCCCAGTCCCAGCAGAGTCAGCTAATGGGTCCACTATAGTTGCTTGACTGGGGGAATGTAAGACTCAGCGCTATTGGCTACAGCAACAAGTCAAAAGCTGCAGCTCTACATCCATGTTAACTTGATAGCAGTTTTCTTCTTCACATCCTTTGTTGGCACATTGATTTCTTGGTGTGTTAGAGTCACCTGTAGATCAGTGGGATACTGTAAAATCATTGGCAGGAACAGTGGCAGTTCACAAACACAAAATTCTGCACAAACTGTTGTGTTTTATTATAACAACATAAGTGAAACAGAGAATTATATTTCTCGATTTCACAAATCCTTCATCAGAACAATTGGATTTAACTATTGCACTTGGAACCGGAAACACACTTTTTAAGGTGCACAATCTCCACCTCCAACATTGCCAAAAGACAATGAACACAGTTCTGCACAAAATATGGCAGTATAAGTTATCAGAACTTAGAGAACCTTGGTGACCACATAATCGTTTTGTATTACCTATTTTTGTTAGCCATTTCACACAATTCAGAAAAACAAAAATGTGCATGAACTATAGGCCTGTATTTATTATATTTTGAATGAAATGTTATTTGGAAGAAAGTCAAGGTGTGACTGACTTACAGTGGATCACCCATTCCCCCCCTTGTCCATTACATTAGGGAGACCCAGAGGTGAGCTGTCCCCCGCTCCCCTCCCCCTTCCTCTTCTCAAACAGCTTCTGTGCACGGCACCTTCTCAGCAAGCAGGGGCGCTTGCAGCTGTAAAGGGCGCCAATTTGCCAATTCCCCGCACAGTGGGGGTGATATGATAGAACAGATAGATAATAGAAAACCGCTTCGCGGCGCAGAGGATTTTTCTTTTTTAAGTGCTCACGCCGCCCCACGTCACTGCAGCAAAATGGGGACCCACATGTACAGACATTACTCCGTAGCGGTACTAGTGATCAAACACTCTAAAGGCTACCTTTAAGTCAACAGACTGTTTGGATCAATGGTCACACCTCGGGAGCCCCTCAGGGTTGCGGCTCAGCACCCTCCCGTTCACTCTGTACACCAATGACTGCATCCCATGACATGGAAACAACTCTGTTGTGGAGTTTGCAGATGACACTACCACCACCCACATGATTTCAAACAATGATGAGATTTCTTATCAGGAGGAAATTAACAATCTTGCTGAGTGGTGCAAAGTGGTGAAAACAACCTACTGCTCAATTTCAGCAAAATCGACGAACTGAAAAAAGGAGGCAAAGACACACTCCCCTGTTTACGTCAGTAGAACTGAAGTGGAGCAGGTGAACAGTTTTAGGTTCCTGGCATGGGATGTGCAAAGCCCAGGAGAGGAGGACTCTGAAGCAGGTGTTTACCCTGCTGCCATCTCGCAATAAGTACAGAGGCTTTGCTGCCATACTACAAGACTACAGAGCAGCTTCTTCCCTCAGACAGTGAAGCTGTTAAATTCCTCTATAACAATTAATTATGCAAATTAAATTAAAGTAATTATTTTTCTGAATTATCGAGATACTTCAAACTCCCGCGAGAACCTCCAACCTGCAAGTGACCCCCATGGACCTATGGTGACTCCTGCCCGCACATATATGCCCCATCTTCAACTATCTACCGTACCGGGTCAATTTTGGTATGTCTAGCAGATCTGAATGGGCTTTCCTTCTGAACAACCGCAAAGTCCTCAGGTGTCTGCGTAGAGTCGACAAACTAATGATAATACCATCTACATGACTTAAAGACAGGACTATCTCCCAGTGTCTTAAACCCAGATCAAAGTATAACTTGATTGAACTAAACAAGCCAGTTATGTTTGTTTTCGTTAAATTGAGCTCTCAATAAAGGAATGAATGTATTCTTTTTATTATTCTTTTTATTGTATTGTTTCAAATTAGTCAAATTAGTCCGAAAAACAGAAAAAAAAAAATTATTCAAAAAATCAGAAAATAATTATTCAGAAAAACCAACCATAAAAATAAATTACTCCGAAAAACAGAAATAATTACCCGAAAAACAGACAAAAAAAAAAAATTACTCAGAAAAACTAGTGCTGTCAAACGATTAAAATATTTAATCGCGATTAATCGCATTAATGTCATAGTTAGCTCGCAATTAATCGCACATTTGTATCTATTCTAAATGTCCCTTGATTTCTTTTTGTCCTATTATTTTTTCTCATTTTAATGCTCTTATCAACATGGAAAAGTGGATCAGCTTGCTTTGTGCAAATGTTGTTTTTTTTAAAACAATTTTCCACACTAACATTCTCACTTGGAGCAAATAATCTCTCACACAATGTAACACTGTCCTTCAATAAAAGGGTAAAAAAAATACATTGTCACACAAACAGCCCCTTCAACAGCCCTTTCTAAGGGATCAAAACAGGGCGATACAAAATAAAATTACTAAGTGCACATGTAAGGTAAACTAGGACTTTTTCAAGTTTGCTTTGAACATAGCAGTCAGGCTTCTGCTCTTTATTCACCATAGGCTCAACCCAGCCTCTTATTTCAGAAAAAATGAACAGTAACGGTTACCAATAAAAGGTAAGCCTACTTCTTCTTTGCTTTGAACCAGTTACTCAAACAGACAAGCCTGTTGACATTTTCAGACAACAAGGAATCCATCCATTTCGGCGTCTCGTGCTCGCCATCCACTCAAAATGTAACGTCTACTGCTCTTAAACAAGTGTGTGCGGCGTGCCTGTTGTTTTGTTTCCGGTCTAGCTAGATCCGGTGTGGTGTTGTAGTTTTTCTAACTACAAAGCGTGCTAGGCGTTAATCTTGCGATAAAAAAATGTTACGCCGTTAAAATGGGTTTGCGTTAACGCTGTTAGTAATGTGTAAAACTGACTGCACTAAGAACAACACAAATAATTACTCCAAAAAACAAACCAAAAAATAAATTTTCAAGTGAATGCAATACGCGTAAATCACTATATATTTGTGTGAACAATATCGTTTACTGAGTGAAGATCTAAACTTACTGTACACAGGAACCTCTTCTATCTGAGAGATATGAGACACATACACATATAAAATAAGTTATCCTACAGATGTTTGCATTTATTATTGTTGATATACAACTATGTGACTATGAAACCCAGATGGTGGATAGAAAAGCTCAAGAACATTCTCAAATGGTGTGTGCATGGGCGTGTGTGCATGCGTGCATGATATTGTGGGTGGGTGTATATTCAGCAGCTGTTTGTGTTGTGTGGTATTTATTGCAACTTGTTGTACCATATCCAAATTCTGAGAACATTTCTCTGTGTCATATTCCTTAAAAGTAAAGAGATGTTCCACCTTGGTAGACCTGATACAACTGGATTTGGCCACTTCTGAATAGGACTTTTTAAGCCTTCATTTTTTAAGGGAACATCTTTTTTCTTTGAATATGATGCTCTGCGGTGTTATTTACTAAAGCACATATGATTGTGATTCTTCAGATTTGTTTTTCTGAGACAGACAGCTCCTATTGATTTGAAATGGGCTTTTATTGTTTTACTGTGCTGTAGTGCTTGACTCTTCAATTTCCTGACAGATAAGAACCTCAAACCAGAGTTTACTGTTATGTAATCCTGTCTACTTTTCAGGTAACAATGCCACATCCATAGTCAACTGTCTGCAAATACTGGGACAAAGCCTAGATGCCAGGTAAGATAAGAACTGTGACGTGTGTGTGTGTGTGTGTGTGTCCCTCTTTGTCCATGCCAGTGAAAACGTAACATGCATATTGTATCATGGTGTTTAAAGATGGGTGCTTACACACATCACCTCGGCCACTTCTCGTTTGTCGCAGTGGACATATCAGTGCTTGCAAGTTAGTGAAACCTGCACTTTCTCCCACAATTAGCGTGACATTGTGTCAAGCAACGCTTCGATTTTTGTTTGTATCTATAATCGTGGAGGCCAGATACATAGAAAACGGATTCCTGAAAGTACAATAATAATCTCTCACATACATGTCTCCAAAGCACGCCATGAGATGCAGCTGCTTAAATACCCTGCGATATAATACAAAGGGTGTGTTTGGATGTATGTTGCAGGCAGGAGAATATGCCATGTGAGTGTAGCAGCACACTGATGTTGACTGTTTGAACTAGCTCACAGGCTTCACTTAATTTCAGTTGGACAACTCGTGGATAGGATGTTAATGTAGAATTTAAAGAAGAAAAGTGAAAGTAGAATTGTGGTTCTCTCCAATATTTTTGGATCTCGAGTCCTATCAGAATAGCATCAAAAAAACTGACTCTAATCCAAACTGAAGACATACAATTTAACCAGTCTTATGATAACACTGTATATTTTGGTCCTGTAACTTCTGACATATCAAAATAATTTCCAATTGAAAATATCAAGTGTGCAATGTTTACATTTTTGGATGATGAGAAAGCTGTGTTGTTAGCTGTATTTTGGGATCAAATTCATTGAGAGGACTCGACATGGCTTTTTATGTAAAAATGCTCAGCGTTTGAAGGTATAAAAACAAGAAATTTTAACAGAATAACCCAACTTTTGGGAATTCAGAATGGCTGGGAAGCCATAAGCCACAGTAAACGTTGAATGTTGAGCTACTGTGTGGCTTGAACTTTGGGCTCTGTCTTCGCTTATCCAGACATTTTACCTGGGATGTAATGTAGTTTGGCTGTTTCTCTGTTTGTTTTCCTCTGTTTCAAGAGTATGTCATTTGTTGCTCCGGTTCTGGTATGATACTGGCGAAATTTTGTCATCAGCATTCCCACCTCTAAGCTCTTCTGCTACTGGTGCAAACACCAACACTCTCTTGGTGCTCTGAGCACCCAATCCTTGGCATCCAGAGTAATACGGCTAAGCTAACTTACCAAGAGCAGCTACATTTACATCAGGAAACTCTGTAAATCACAGAGAGTTGGACAGAGGGAAAACCAGAAAACATTTTCTCCAAAACATATGATCCAGTTTCACCAAAATCACTGTTGGTGGTGTGTGACTACTGCCATCAAGCATTATGCACTTATTCCGCCCCGGAGCCAAAAGAACAGGCGTACGGGGCTGAGTGGGAATGACAGAGACACCATTACATTACCATTACAATACAACTCAGTGTAGCATTAAAAGTATTTTGAAGCAGTTATTTTAAGGTAAAACACTTACATAATGATGCTTTAAAATATCATTGGTCTCTCTTGTAAAGATAATATTGTAAAATCTTACTCTCTGCATATATCAGGACAGTGATGAAGACTGGTCTAGAGTCAGTAAAGGCAGCACTGCGTTCGTACTTCGACAGTGCAGCAGAAGATCTGGAGAAGACGCAAGAGAACCTGAAGCTTGGTCAGTTCACCCACAGCAGAGAGCAGCCGCGGGGTGTCACTCAGATCATCAACTACACTACATTTGCCTTGCTGCCCGTCCTCTCCTCCCTGTTTGAGCACATTGGACAGAACCTGTTTGGAGAAGACCTCATATGTGTGTACTGACTTCTGTTGTTCATATTTTGTTTGGCTGAGGCATCAAAGGTGCAAATTTAACAGTTATTATTGTCTTCTTGAAGGATAATCTCAGATTTTCAACATGAAATAGATTCCTGTTTCATTCTGATACAATCTTTAGAGTTGGTTATTCATGGAAAAAAATAAAATAATAAAAAGGACAGAACCCTCTAGAAATGTAAACTGCAATATTTATCTTTTGTTTACATCTCTTCTTCCAGTGGATGATGTCCAGGTCTCCTGTTACAGAATCCTCAACAGCCTCTACTTTCTGGGAACCAACAAAAGCATCTATGTAGAGAGGTACAGTACACCTGACAGTACACGTCTTTAAGATACAGCAAACCTAGTATAGAACTGTGTTTCTTCCACATCTTCACGTCGGTTTGCATGTATGCAGATCATTTAAATTAACAGTGAACATCGAATGCAACTCAAAATCAGCAGTTTCTTCTCTCTGAGAAGTCACTCAGAAGCCACTTTCTTGGCTCTGATTGGTTGTTCATTTGGAGTGGTAGGCAGAGGAACCTGATTTTTTTCACATATTATCTGTCAAGTGTTTTACTGTCGGGATTTAGTAAATATGAAGTTATCTTAAGTTTTATTGTTGTTTTTTTAATTACCTACTGCACCTTTAATTAGTAAAAAACGCTATGATTGCTGAGCTTTGAAAATCTCATAGACAGGCTGGTCTAACTGATGTACCTGTAATTCAGCAACACTGTAAATCAGCCAAATTTACATGGTGACATGTGTTCCCTATTGGCAAGATACTAAAATTGAAGTACGGTAAGTAAGAAACAACATGAGTGCAATTAACAACAATTTATGGTATTCCTTATGCAAGATCACCAACTCTATTAACACTTGTTTGTTTTCTGTATTTTTTGAGAAAAGAAAAAGGAAATAATAATCTGAATTTAAAGCAGTATTTCAAAATGTATTATCACGAAACATTTTTTCCAAAGCAAGCCATCTTTAAAAGTCCAATGTGTAAGATTTAGGAGGATCTATAGTCAGAAATGGAATAGAATATCCATAGTTTTTCATGTTTTAATTAGTGTATATCACCTGAATATAGAAATTGTTGTGGTTTCATTACCTTAAAATGAGCCATCAGACATCAGCTTCCACAGAGTCTGCCATGTTTGGCCGTCATGTTTCTACATTAGCCAAGCAGGGACAAATCAACACACGAGTTTCACTGCCATTGTAGTTTCTCCCACACAGCCCTTTCTCATTCCCACCATTCCCCTCAAATACAGATGAAAGCAGTGTTTAGTTAGTCGCAAGCTGCAACTGCAGTGCTTTAAAGGACCAGTGATGGCAACTCTCTCGCCTCACCCTCCCCTTCCAAACACTACGATAGCCATGAAACGTGTGATAAACACCAACTGCTCTATTGAGAGCCAGTGTTTGGTTTGTCCCTTCTGGGATACTGTAGAAACATGGTGGTTTAACATGGCGAACTCTGTACAAGTGAGACCCGCTTCTTCTGTAGGAAAAAATAGCACATTCTAAGGTAACGAAAACACAAGGCCCAGCAGAATCTGAAGAGGTAACAGGAGGCCTGCAGGAGGAAGCCGCTGACACTTACCTCAGTGCCAGTGGTTGGCTCCTCACCTGAAACACTGTCTTTACGTTTTCACTTGATGCTTTACCTTTGCATAATTTTATTTAGTTTGTTTTATTATGTTTCTGCAAGCTAACACCTTCTACTGAAGTGAAGAAGAAAAAAAAAAAAGAAGTGAAGATTTGTAATGAAAGTCGTACACTAATCAGAAGGTTGGCAGTTCGATCCCCAGCCCCTCTAGCTGCATGTGGAAGTGTCCTTGAGCTAGAACCCCAAATTGCTCCCGGCGCTATGAGTTATATAAATGATTAATTTCCATTCTACCGAGCAGTTGGCACCTTGCATGACAGCCACTGCCATCAGTGTATGAATGTGTGTGAATTGATGATTATTTGTTTCTCCTCTCCTCTCCTATCCTCTCCTCTCCAGACAGCGTCCAGCATTAGGAAAGTGTTTAGCTGCCTTCTCAGCAGCCTTCCCTGTTGCTTTCCTAGAGTGTCACATCAACAAGTTCAACAGCTTCTCCATCTACAACAGCAAAGGAGCTAAAAAGAGAGCAGGTACTATCAAATGTTGTTTCCATTTCACTGTTTAGCTGAGAAGTTAGTTGGTAATTGTATCCTCTGAGAATCAGAATCAGAATCAGAAATACTTTAATAATCCCAGGGGCAAATTATTTTTGTTACAACACTCCAGATATACAAACAACATATTATACAAACAACATATATATATACAACATTCAGCACAAAAAATATAAATATATATATTTAACTACATATATATACAAGATCAAATGTACAGTATTAATGTGCAAAAGTGCAAAAGAATAATTGTCTACGTTTTGAGTCAGAATTACAGAGGGGGGGTGTCTGACTCTCTGAGGGAGGCGTTATAGAGATTGATGACCACAGGCAGGAATGATTTCCTGTGGCGCTCTGTGGTGCATATGGGTGAGAGGAGTCTTCTGCTGAAGGTGCTCCTCTGCTGGGCCAGTGTGTCGTAGAGAGGGTGAGAGACATTATTCAAGATGGACTGAAGCCTGGACAGCATCCTCCTCTCTGCCACGGTCGTCAGGGTGTCCAGCTCCTCCCCTACGACATCACCGGCCCTCCTGATCAGTTTGCTTAGTCTGTTGTTGTCAGCGACCCTCAGCCCACTGCCCCAGCATGTGACAGCGAAGAAGATTGTACTGTCCACAACAGACTCATAGAACATCCTCAGCATCGTCCGGCAGATGTTAAAGGACCTCAGCCTCCTTAGGAAAAATAGTCGGCTTTGGCCCTTTTTGTAGACAGCCTCAGTGTTTCTAGTCCAGTCCAGCTTATTATTAAAGTACACCCCCAGGTACTTATACTCCTCCACAGTGTCCACAGGGACCCCCTGGACGGAAACAGGGGTCACAGGTGTTTTTTTTTATTGAGAATGACTATATGCAACTCAGCACTGTACGTTACTGATTTAAGTTACAGAGTCATACACTAGAGGTTACAGGACTACCTGTTTTTGTCCATGTACACTCTCTAAGTGGTAGTTCTCATGATTTTCTCATCACTTTGCTGAATTGTATAGCTTGTAAACAACTCTGGGATTAGCGAGAAAGTCGCTAAAAGGAAGACGGTGCTTTGAGTGAGATTTGGATGCCATGGGCTTTATCATGCCCATAGTTAGACTCAGTTGCTTAGATTCAATTCAATTCAATTCAATTTTATTTGTATAGCGCCAATTCATAACAGAAGTTATCTCAGGACACTTTTCAAATAGAGCAGGTCTAGACCGAACTCTTTAAAACATTAATTACAGAGACCCAACAGTACCACCATGAGCAAGCACTTGGCGACAGGGGCAAGGAAAAACTGTCTGTTAAAAGGCAGAAACCTAGGACAGATCCTCCGGCTCTAGGTGGGTGGTCGTCTGTCTCGACCAGTTGGGGTGAGAGAGAGACAGACAGACAGACAGGTGCACAGCAACAACAGTATTGGCAATGGCAATCTAGCAGGACCATGGCAGGAGGCTCCACCAGGATCGACAAGAACCTGCGAGACGAGAAAGCACAAGCACTCCGGGGAAGAAGTGAAGTTGGACCATGGGAAATCCCCCGATAGTCTAGGCCTATAGCAGCATAACTAAGGGATGGTTCAGGACTCACCTGATCCAGCCCTAACTATAAGCTTTATCAATGAGGAATGTCTTAAGCCTGCTCTTGAATGTGGTGAGGGTGTCTGCCTCCCGAACCACAACTGGAAGCTGGTTCCACAGGAGAGGAGCTTGGTAACTGAAGGCTCTGGCTCCTGTTCTACTTTTAGAGACTATAGGAACCACAAGTAGCTCAGCATTCAGAGAACGTAGTGTTCTAGCGGGGTAATAGGGTACTATGAGCTCTTTAAGATATGAAGGGGCCTGACCATGAAGAGCTTTATAGGTGAGGAGGAGGATTTTAAATTCTATTCTACATTTTACAGGGAGCCAATGCAGAGAAGCTAGTACAGGAGAGATGTGATCTCTTTTTCTAGTTCCTGTCAGTACTCGTGCTGCAGCGTTCTGAATTAATTGGAGCATTTTAATTGACTTATTGGGGCAACCTGATAATAAAGTGTTGCAGTTATCCAGCCTTGAAGTAACAAATGCATGGATTAGTTTTTCTGCATCTGTCTGTGATAGTATGTGTCTAATTTTTCTAATATTACGTAAATGAAAGAAGGCAGTCCTAGAGGTCTGCTTTATGTGGGAGTTAAATGATAAATCCTGATCAAAGATAACTCCAAGATTCCTGACAGTGGTGCTAGAGGCCAAGTTAATGCCATCTAGAGTAACTATATCTTTAGACAGTGAGTCTCTAAGGTTTTTGGGGCCAAGAACAAGAATTTCGTTTTTTTCTGAGTTTAACATCAGAAAATTGCAGGTCCTCCAGGATTTTATGTCCTTAAGACATGTTTGTAATTTAGATAATTGATTAATTTCATCGGGCTTGATTGATAGATATAACTGCGTATCATCTGCATAACAGTGAAAGTTAATGGAGTGATTCCTAATAATGTTGCCTAAAGGGAGCATATATAAAGTAAATAGTATTGGTCCAAGTACAGAACCTTGTGGAACTCCATGAGTAACTGTAGTATTTATTGAAGATTCATCGTTAACATGTACAAACTGCGAGCGATCTGATAAATATGACTTAAACCAGCTTAGTGCGGTTCCTTTAATGCCAATTTGATGCTCAAGTCTCTGTAAAAGAATATTATGGTCAATGGTGTCAAATGCAGCACTAAGATCTAATAATTCAAGTACAGAGACAAGTCTATTGTCAGAAGCAATCAGAAGGTCATTATTAACTTTAACCAGAGCTGTCTCTGTGCTGTGATGAACTCTAAATCCTGACTGAAAATCCTCAAATAAACTATTGTTATGTAGAAAGTCACACAACTCTTTGGCGACTACTTTCTCCAGAATCTTAGAGAGGAAGGGGAGGTTAGAAATCGGTCTATAGTTGGCTAAAACCCCTGGGTCAAGAGTGGGCTTTTTAAGAAGGGGTTTAATTACAGCTACTTTAAAGGACTGTGGTACATATCCTGATTATAAAGAAAGATTAATCATATCCAGTAAAGAAGTGCCAATTAAGGGAACAACTTCTTTAAGCAGCCTAGTTGGGATCGGGTCTAATAGACAGGTTGATGGCTTCAATGAAGAAATGATTGAAGTTAACTGATGAAGATTGATAGCAGAAAAACAGTCTAAATATATATCTAAGTTTACATTGGCAGAAGTCCCTGAACTTGGAGAGCCACTGATAACTGTTGATGGCAGTTGGTGATTAATGTTCTCTCTAATAGTAATAATCTTATTATAGAAGAAGCTCATGAAGTCATTGCTACTTAAGTTTATGGGGATATGTGGCTCAATAGAGCTGTGGCTCTCTGTCAGCCTGGCTACAGTGCTGAAGAGGAACCTAGGGTTATTCTTATTTTCTTCTATTAGTGCTGAGTAATAGGCTCCTCTGGCATTACGGAGGGCTTTTCTATAAGTTTTAAGATTATCTTGCAAAATTGAGCAATATTCTGATAATTTGGAAGAGCGCCATTTCCTTTCAGATTTCCTAGCTATTTGTTTTAACTGGCGGGTTTGGTGGTTATACCAAGGTGCTAGTCTCCTATGTTTTAATAATTTCCTTTTTATAGGAGCGATAGAGTCTAATGTTGATCGTAATGAGCCTGTAGCACTATCGACAAGATTATCAATTTCAGAGGGACTAAAGTCGTTATAGGATTCTGTTAAATTCAGACATGGCATTGAATTAAACACTGAAGGATTCCAGATTTAAAGATATAGCCTACAGAAAGAAAAAAGTAAGAGAAAGAAATAGAGGGGGGGGAATATATATATATAAATAGAATTTTCTTCTTTCTATCAGGTTCTATCCAGCATTAACTTTTTCAGCAATTTGAGTTACAGTAGCTCATCTGTTGGATCGGACCAAACTGGCCAGCCTTCACTCCCCACATGCATCATTGGGTGACAAGCTGTACAAAGGCCTGTAATAAATGAACACATAGGACAACCAAAATAGACATCTAGCAGTTATAAAGGTACAACAAAATCATTACAGTGTCCAGAAGTGCTATAAGCAAAAAAGCTGTCCCAAGCCCTCTTAAAATAATCGTTATTGACTCTAGCTAACATTTGTTATTATGATATTATTTCTAACATAGATTCCATCCATTTTATCCAGATGTTTACAGATATCTTCTTTATTCTGCCTTTTGTTTGATTATTTACATAATTCCATGCACTGCAGTGCCCCCTTTTGGTTATTTTAGCAGCAACAGTTGCAGAGCAGGGTCTCTTAGTTTAACTAGCCAAGACAGAGAGCACATCCTCCTGCTGCAGTTATCTTTCACATTGTTGCCTTGGACACTATTTGTCCGTGAGTATTGTTGATTTATAAGTTTGCAATGCTATATATATTTGCTCTGTATACATTTTATTTCTAATTCAGTCAAGAGATTGCTTAATTGATTGCTAGCATAGCTATAGTAGTATTAGTTAGCCTACTGTAGTGCAGCATTTGTTATGTTATGTACACTGCGTTGTGTAATAGTGTAATAGTACTGCTAAAATATTGATTTACGTTTGTATTTTTGCAGTTTTACAGATAAAGAATAATCCTTATTAAACCTACAAGAAATGTTACGCCTTGTGTTTATTAGAGGACTACAATGGTCTGTTAACTAACTGTCTAGCAGTGGATTAGAACTACTCCTTGCAAGTGCAGTATATTCTTGTAACCTGTTAAAGTTTTATAGAACAAAGCTGCCTTGTGCCAATTTATCTTATAACCTCATAATTTGGAATATGACTCGATACATTCAAGTAGCATCGGCAGAGAGTACATAGGATCAGCTACCTCTGCTAAAATATGGTCTGCATACATAAATAGCTTATGCTCCCTGCCCCCTGCATGTACGTTTAATCAGCTCTGATTGCTACAGCCAGTGGTTCTAAAACCATAGTGAAGAGCAATGGAGAGGGAGCACAATCCTGTCTAGTCCCACTAGGGAGGCGGAAAAATTTGATATCAGCCCATTTGTGAGAACAGCTGCTCTCGGGTTGGAATAGAGTATCTTCACACAATTAAAAAAGCCAGGACAAAACCCAAATTTTGAAAGAGATAACATAAGGAACCCCCACACAACCCGTTCAAAAGCCTTCTCTGCATCAAGTGAAAGGGCTGTCACCGATACCGGACAGAGCCAATAGTGCATTCAAGCACATTACATTGTCTGTGTTTCATTAACAAGCTTCAGAACAGAGTAAAACAGCTGAGCGATTTCCCCCTATTAAAAATATACTGAATAGATTTTACAAATCTTAGTGGGAATGATAGCTGTCTGGGTCTGAGCTTCTGTCCTGGGTCTGAGCTTCTGTCCTGGGTCTGGGCTTATGTCATGGGTCTGGGCTTCTGTCATGGGTCTTGTTGACCCAGTCAGCAGTTGTTGAAATAACATGAATGAAAAGTAACTTCTAGCATGCTAGGCTAACTAGCTTCCACATTTTTAATGGAATATAAAGTTAACAGCATTGAAGTATACATAAATGTATTCTAATAATGCACTCGTTTATATTTATCTTTTGTGTTTAACTGCATTTCTCTTTCCACCTCTCAGCTCTAGGTCTTCCAGGGCAGGTTGGGGACGTTTGTCCTTTGATCCCGAACTTAGAGAAGTCTTTGGAGGAGATAATGGAATTGGCAGAGTCTGGCATGAGATACACTCAGATGCCCCATGTCATGGAGGTGGGATATGTAACTACCTAACTTAAAAATGCATATTAGCCTTACTTCTGTTGTGTCCATATCCACGTGGGTTTCTTTTCCTCAAGGTGCGCTTTTTCGTCATCCCAACATAATCAATGTTAGGTATTAGAGGTACTCTTTCCATTATACCTTAACCAAAGCTTCTGAACTGGAGCTGGCCAGCACTGCACTGTTAGCTGCTAATAAATAGTTAAATGATTTAATTGCAGGAGATTAATTTCCCCATGGGGACTAATAAAATTCAACTGAAACCTATTATTCCCCATCAACTCATAGCTATATGTTTATAGTCTTATGAAGTGTCATTGTGCTACATACACTATAGACATTGCTGATTGGAAATTTGTAATGTTAAACTTTAAAAAGTATCATGCCAGGATGGGGAAGTGGGTGATCTCATGATGGTTTAACCTTAAGTGTATATTTTTCCTTTTTCTGTAGGTAGTGTTGCCGATGTTGTGCAGCTACATGTCTCACTGGTGGGAACATGGACCAGGAAGCAACCCAGACAAAGCTGACAGCTGCTGCACCTCTGTGACCTCTGAACACATGAACACTCTGCTCGGTAACATTCTCAAGATCATCTACAACAACCTGGGAATAGATGAAGGAGCCTGGATGAAAAGACTAGCTGGTAAACATGACAAAATAACAATTGTATGTTTGTATGGGGAGTGGAATATAAGGTGTCAAACATCTCACGAGCTCCTACTTAAGCGTCTATGATCTGATTAAACCTTTGACTAACAATGAACACGTATGCATTATACACGTGATGTATAATGCATACGTGATGTATGCTGGCAGTTGTCGTTTCATATAGATGTGGTGTTCACATAAATTGACAGGGCACATTTGTAACTATGCATGCATATGGGAATGCGTTGTAAGAGGAGTGCTTGTTTGATTCGCTGCATAAAATGCCTATTGTAGAAGTATTCTCAAGAAAGCTCATAAACCATATCTGGAGGTGGGTGTGGATAAGTGGTGAAAACAGTGAGTTTTCTTGACTTAAATGGTAGGTGCAACACTGTCCATATTAGTGAAAGCAGGGACAGAACACTTCACTTAGTTTGATTTCTTAGCCTGCTTGCAAAATGATAATGGTTCCCTGGAAGCGGAATGACTCCACCGTGTTGATTATTTTGTTTTTCGAAGGGTTTTAAAAAGTCATTGTTTTTCACCTTTATTTTTTCAAGGGAGTTTCATTGAGAGCAATACAACCACAGTCTGATCTGCTACTGAGAAGCTCCATTGTAGCAGTTGGGGTTTGACCTTGGTCAGTGGTAGTATTGAGTTCTGCCTTTCATCCACCCAGATTTGTAGGATGGGTCAGATGCTAAGAATTACATTTCTCTACGGGGATCAATAAAGGACCATTTAACTTAAATCTGAATGTATTGTTCTATGCTTAATCACTGAAGCTCATCTCTGTCCCTGCTTCAAAGTCTTCTCTCAGCCAATCATCAGCAAAGCCAAAGCCCAGTTGCTCAAGACCCACTTCTTGCCTCTGATGGAGAAACTCAAAAAAGTGAGTCTGGTCGTTTTTATTATGTTAATACATACACACTTACCCTAACCCTATACATGCAATACAGCTCTAAGCTATTAGAGGGTACAAGCAATGGGGTAAATGATTTGACAGTAAGTTTGTAAGTCTAATGCAGTGTCTTGAAAGAGTTCTTAAACTTCAAATATTTCAGTCATATACACACAACCTAAGGTAAAAATGTTGTTTTCTTGCAGTCTTCACACATGTATAGTGCACTGTAGTTTTAACAATAGGCCTGCCAAACAAAATATTAATTTATCACACAGGAGCCTCAATAATCCGGAAGGACAATGGATTGATAGTGTAACTAGGGACGTCTTTACCCTACCCTACCCTAACTAGATAGTATCCTATCTACTAGGACATCATTTACTCTCCCTTTACTGTTAGCATCTTCTTGCACCAGTTTCACAGATTTATCTAATAGTTTCATCTAGAGAATGGATACTTTTGGAAGTTTTCTTAATAGATTATGTCCTGTAACAGTCATAAGGCATAAATTATGATGAAATACTACTACTGCTAAGATCATAATATATTTTGTCTAGAAATATATTACTTTGTACTTGTTTGTAGAAAGCAGCAGTTGTGCTGATGGATGAGGAACACAGCAAGGCGGAGGGGAGGGGTGAGATGTCAGAGACTGAGCTTCTCATCATGGACCAGTTCACCATACTGGTCAGAGACCTGTATGCCTTCTACCCTCTCCTCATACGATTTGTTGACTACAACAGGTACAGTGCTCTGATAGAATGGTTCCAACCCTTTTTTGCTTATACTATACTATTACCTACACAAATTAATCACATTGTATTGCTTGTCCTACAGATGCTCTGTATTACCAACACTAAACTGCAACATGGAGAATTTTGTTATGCTTAAAGGTGCCCTGTGGAGTGTTCTTGTAAACAAACAAAAGTTATGTTTACAATCAGCCAAAATATATTGTATCCTTGAGCTCTAAAAAGTCATTTTTTAAGCATTTTAAATCATGTGTTATTTACATCCATGTTTACTTGAAGTGTGAACCTATTTTGATGTTACCCATTGGTTTGTGTAGTACTGTTTTGAAGCCTTGAGTTTGGCATTTTGGCCATCACCATGTTGGTTTTACATAGCCAGCAGTGATGATATACTAAAGTTGAGCTGCTCTTGTTGGCTGGTTTCAACTCATTCGTAGCAGGAAACAATGGGGCCTTGCCTGGTCACACATGTTCTTGTATAACAGATAAACAGTACACTAAAATATGTTTCTGAAAAGATTTTAAGCAAGAAGTAGGTGATGCAGTGATAGAATCTTGATTCATATTTGATCAGCACTGCCTAGTTTGACAGGTTGATTTGAGTTTTGTGGGTTGCCTGGACAGACTTACTGAAAATAACTTGACAATCACAAGGTAGCCACACTCTAAAGCATACCCTGCTTTATTGTCCATTTTACTCTATATGGGACCATAATTTACAAATTGAACATCATGCTGTATGGAAGAAGACTTGAAACTAGTGATTGAGACCATAAACTCATTAGGAAACTGTTTACTGAGCTAATAAATCAAGTGAGAAGTAGAGTCATTTTGCCGTTAGACTTCACTGCTTCACTTCACAGACCCGGAAACTCTGTCCACTAATTACATACTGTCAGTGGTTTACTACCTTGCAGTCTTCTTCTCCCCTGCCTTTGTTGGTGCATTGCTGCATATCTTGGCTTGTTATCGCCACCTTTTGATCAGTAGAATAGTGTGACACCACTGGTAGGACACCTGTGTGCACGAGATTAACAAAACAGAGACCCATTTATCGAATGGCTCCATAACGCTACTAGAGGTCTAAAACTCCACAGGGAACCTTTAAATACTGCCACTATCACATAACTGCCTTGATACAGGTTGTTGTAATTAAGGTGTAAGGTCTGTTGCAGGGTCATTCACGGTGACGTGTTACGGTACTCATTTCCGGTTTACTTCCTGCTCTGTGTACACTGTTTGATGCTGTAGCTCTATCCAGTGAACGCTAAATCTAAGTTTGTTTTACTCGTTACAGCGGTTATTTTCCAGCTTAACGATTAAAAGTAGACTAGTTCTACCTAAGCACTCGGAGTTACTCCTTCTTTTAGCGACTTTTCGCTATTTTCAAAAGTTTTCACTGACACTAGCTTCATTAGTATTAGCAGTTAGCTATGGATTCTTCCTCTCCCTCTGCTCTGTCCTGCTCAGTGTGCCAGAGGTTTACTTATTCCTCTGCCTCCTTTATTGATGATGGTACATGTATTAAGTGTAGTTTATTTACTGTGCTGGAGGCGAGGCTTAGTAAGTTAGCGGAACGGCACCACACCACAGAGATATCTTTAGCCGCTGTAGTTAGCCAGCCCCCAGTAGCCGGTGCGGTCCGAGCAAAGGTAGCTTCTGCTAGCCGTCCTCCGGTAGTTCCCCCGGTAGTTGCCGAGCAGCCGGGAACACAGGGAGGCTTGGTCACTGAACGGAGGAAGAATAAAACGCAGAAGCCCACCGTTCACCACCAACCCATTCACGTTTCCAATAAATTTTCCCCACTCAGCAACACACCCGCTGAGGAACCAACTCTGATTATTGGCAGCTCCATAGTCAGAAACGTGAAGTTAGCGAAGCCAGTGACCATAGTGAAATGTATCCCTCGGGCCAGAGCGGGCAACATTGAATCATATTTAAGACTGCTGGCTAAAGATAAACGTAAATCTGCCCAATCTGACCAGTGATGACATGTATAGCCGCATGTCGTCATTCCACCGCTGGCTGTCGAGGTGGTGTCCAGAAAACGATGTGGGCTTCATTGATAATTGGCAGCCTTTTTGGGGAAAACCTGGTCTGATTAGGAGAGACGGCGTCCATCCCACTTTGGATGGAGCGGCTCTCTTATCTAGGAATATGGCGAAGTTTATTTCTAAAACCTGACAGTCCAGAGTTGGGACAAGGAAGCAGAGTCACCCACCCAAACCCCCATAGAGACTGTGTCTGTCCCCCGACCACCTAAATTATTTAAAGAAATAAAAACAAGAGGAGTTAAAGTTAAGGGCGGCTGTGGCTCAGAGGCAGAGCAGGTCGTTCCTTAATCGGAAGGTTGTGGGATCGATCCCCGGCTCCTGGTGCCACATGTCGAAGTATCCTTGAGCAAGATACTGAACCCCAAATTGCTCCTGATGCCGTGCATCAGTGTGTGAATGTGTATGAATGTTAGTTTCTGTTCGATGGACTTTGCCATCACTGAGTGAATGTGTACTGAAAGGGTGAATGTGGCACGTAGTGTAAAAGCGCTTTGAGTGGTCAGAAGACTAGAAAGGCGCTATACAAGTACAGGTCCATTTACCGTTTACCATTTAAACATAAAAACCTAAATAAAATTCAAACTAACTCCTCAGTAGCACAAAATAAAAGAATGAAATGTGGACTGTTAAATATCAGGTCTCTGTCTTCAAAAGCTGTTTTAGTGAATGAATTAATATGAGATAATGATATTGATTTACTTTGTCTTACTGAGACCTGGTTGTCCCGCGAGGAGTATGTTAGCCTTAATGAATCCCTTTGGAGGAGGTGGAGTGGCAGCCATATATGATTCAAGCGTTTTAATGGACCCTAAACCTAAACTAAATTATAATTCATTTGAAAGCCTTGTTCTTAGTCTTTCTCACCCAAACTGGAAAACACTACAGCCAGTTCTATTTGTTATAGTGTACCGCGCTCCTGGACCATACTCTGATTTTATATCTGAATTCTCAATGACAGCCTTAGTAACGCATTTATATCATTAATAGACTCAATTGGCTTCTGTCAGAGTGTAAATAAACCAACTCATTGTTTTAATCACCTTGTTCTATCATATGGCATTGATATTGAACATTTAATAGTCTTCCCACATAATCCTTTCCTATCTGACCATTATTTAATAACTTTTGAATTCATACTATTAGATTATAAGCCATTAGTCAAAACTTTCTACAGCAGATGTCTATCTGACATTGCTGTAGCTAAATTTAAGGAGGAGATTCCTTCAGTGTTTAATTCAATGCCATGTCTGAATTTAACAGAGTCCTATAACGACTTTAGTCCCTCTGAAATTGATAATCTTGTCGATAGTGCTGCAGGCTCACTATGATCAACATTAGACTCTATCGCTCCTATAAAAAGGAAATTATTAAAACATAGGAGAATAGCACCGTGGTACAACCACCAAACCCGCCAGTTAAAGCAAATGGCTAGGAAATCTGAAAGGAAATGGCGCTCTTCCAAATTATCAGAATATTGCTCAATTTTGCAAGATAATCTTAAAACTTATAGAAAAGCCCTCCGTAATGCCAGAGGAGCCTACTACTCAGCACTAATAGAAGAAAATAAGAATAACCCTAGGTTCCTCTTCAGCACTGTAGCCAGGCTGACAGAGAGCCACAGCTCTATTGAGCCACATATCCCCATAAACTTAAGTAGCAATGACTTCATGAGCTTCTTTTATAATACAATTATTACTATTAGAGAGAAAATTAATCACCAACTGCCATCAACAGGTTTTAGCCAACTATAGACCAATCTCTAACCTCCCATTCCTCTCTAAGATTTTGGAGAAAGTAGTCGCCAAAGAGTTGTGTGACTTTCTACATAACAATAGTTTATTTGAGGATTTTCAGTCAGGATTTAGAGTTCATCATAGCACAGAGACAGCTCTGGTTAAAGTTAATAATGACCTTCTGATTGCTTCTGACAATGGACTTGTCTCTGTACTTGCATTATTAGATATTAGTGCTGCATTTGACACCATTGACCATAATATTCTTTTACAGAGACTTGAGCATCAAATTGGCATTAAAGGAACTTCACTAAGCTGGTTTAAGTCATATTTATCAGATCGTTCGCAGTTTGTACATGTTAACGATGAATCTTCAATAAATACTACAGTTAGTCATGGAGTTCTACAAGGCTCTGTACTTGGACCAATACTATTTACTTTATATATGCTCCCTTTAGGCAACATTATTAGGAATCACTCCATTAACTTCCACTGTTATGCAGATGATACGCGGTTATATCTATCGGTCAAGCCCGATGAAATTAATCAATTATCTTAATTACAAACATGTCTTAAGGACATAAAATCCTGGATGAGCTGATGTTGATTTTCTGATGTTAAACTCAGAAAAAAACAAAAACCTTAGAGACTCACTGTCTAAAGATATAGTTACTCTAGATGGCATTACCTTGGCCTCTAGCACCACTGTCAGGAATCTTGGAGTTATCTTTGATTGATTGATCTTTGATCAGGATTTGTCATTTAACTCCCACATAAAGCAGACCTCCTGGACTGCCTTCTTTCATTTACGTAATATTACAAAATTAGACACATACTATCACAGACAGATGCAGAAAAACTAATCCATGCATTTGTTACTTCAAGGCTGGATTACTGCAACTCTTTATTATCAGGTTGCCCCAATAAGTCAATTAAAATGCTCCAATTAATTCAGAACGCTGCAGCACGAGTACTGACAGGAACTAGAAAAAGAGATCACATCTCTCCTGTACTAGCTTCTCTGCACTGGCTCCCTGTAAAATGTAGAATAGAATTTAAAATCCTCCTCCTCACCTATAAAGCTCTTCATGGCCAGGCCCCTTCATATCTTAAAGAGCTCATAGTACCCTATTACCCCTCTAGAACACTACGTTCTCTGAATGCTGGGCTACTTGTGGTTCCTATAGTCTCTAAAAGTAGAACAGGAGCCAGAGCCTTCAGTTACCAAGCTCCTCTCCTATGGAACCAGCTTCCAGTTGTGGTTCGGAAGGCAGACACCCTCTCCACATTCAAGAGTAGGCTTAAGACGTTCCTCTTTGATAAAGCTTATAGTTAGGGCTGGATCAGGTGAGTCCTGAACCATCCCTTAGTTATGCTGGTATAGGCCTAGACTATCGGGGGATTTCCCATGGTGCACTGAGCTCCTCTCTTCCTCTCTCTCTCTTTCTGCACTCATTCATGTCCAATTGATGCATGTTACTAACTTCACTTCTTCCCTGGAGTTCTTGTGCTTTCTCGTCTCACAGGTTCTTATCGATCCTGGTGGAGCCTCCTGCCATGGTCCTGCTAGATTGCCATTGCCAATACTGTTGTTGGTGTGCTCCTGTCTGTCTGTCTCTCTATCTCTCTCTGTGTGTGTCTCTCTCTCTCTCTCTCTCACCCCAACTGGTCGAGACAGACGACCACCCACCTAGAGCCGAAGGATCTGTCCTAGGTTTCTGCCTTTTAACAGGCAGTTTTTCCTTACCCTTGTCGCCAAGTGCTTGCTCATGGTGGTACTGTTGGGTCTCTGTAAATAATGTTATAAAGAGTTTGGTCTAGACCTGCTCTATTTGAAAAGTGTCCTGAGATAACTTCTGTTATGAATTTGCGCTATACAAATAAAATTGAATTGAATTGAATTGAATTGAATATACTGACAGGGCCAGATGGCTGAAAGAGTCCAGTCCAGAGGCTGAGGATCTGTTCCGCATGGTGGCCGAGGTTTTCATCTTCTGGGCCAAGTCTCATGTAAGAAAATCACTGTGCAAAATGCAAAGAAGCACAATAACGTGCTCATTATTTAAAATTTCACAGGGGGCTTACCAGTAGCTTACCTGGGAGAGCACCACATGTACTAAAGGCTGAGTCCCTACTGCAGAGGCTTGGGTTTAATTCCAACCCGGAGCCCCTTGCTGCCTGTCACAGTGACAAGTAGAAAAGGGAGCACTAGACAAAATCTAATGGTATGTGTCCACCTATTGCTATTGTAGCCCAGGTGGAAAAAACACACAATTAGATGAGACCAATAAAAGATGAAAGAGAGTATTTATTTTTTATTTTTATTCGTTAACATTGGCAAAGTTTTAAATGTCCTATACTGTTTGAATGCATCACTCAGTTCACATAACCCCACGTGGGGGGTACCTAGCCCTCAACAGCCAATCAGGGGCTACGCAGGCCACGTTCAGCCTGTCAGCTCGGAGGTGAAGTGCAAGCGCGCTGTTTTTCCGGCTCAGAGAATGAGGGCAGCTTGTGATAGGAGAAAGATAAGCACTTACCTACTGGGAGTCCAGAGCCGAGTGACTGAACGAAGGCGACGAGTTACGTCAGCAAATATCCAGAAAGATCTTTGAGAGTTTGCTCCCACCAGCATCTGATGTAGTTAAGGGCTTACGGCCTGAGTCACCGCCTGTAGCCTACCTGCAGCTCCTAGACTCGGCCTTTGGGACTGTGGAATATGGGGAGGAGCTTTTCGCTCAGTTCCTGAACACCCTCCAAGATCCAGGTGAGAAACCATCCACTTACCTTCATCGCCTCCAGCTAGCATTAAACCGAGCCACGAAAAGGGGGGGAGTTACATGTGAAGAGGTAGACAAACACCTCCTTAAGCGGTTCTGCAGGGGGTGTTGGGATCACACTCTCCTCAGTGTCCTGCAACTAGAACAAAAAAAGAGCAGCCCACCTTCTGAAGAATCTACAGCAAGCAAAAACCAGTCGTATGAGAAAACATATTGGCACCACAAAGCAAAGAGCTCAGTTGCAGTTCCATGGTGCATATGTTTGTGAACCAGAGAAACATGAGAGCAGTATCAGTGCTATTAAGGATCTGAGAAAGCAGGTGGCTAGTCTGCAAAGCCAACTAACTACATTCATGTCACAGAAAGAGACAAAGGGGGTAGTAGCAAGGGATCTGCAAGGAGGCCTCAGTGCAGTGTGTCAAAGTCACACGACGCAGATACAGGCATGCAAAGACAGACTAAAAAGAAACAGACATACAAACCTAAGCCCTGTTACTGTTTTAACTGCGGCGAAGATGGGCACATTGCTCCCTGCTGCACCGACCCTGCAAACCCCATTCTAGTGGCAGAAAAGAAGAAGCAGTTTGAGGAAGCAAACAGGGGCTGAGGAGAGTCAACAACGTCCCTCAGACGTAAAGAATGACAACAAAAACAGAGGAAAAACCGCCAAGATCAACAAAGACAGTACACCTGCAGAGAAGGTCAAAGCTCAAACATGTTCCGGCCTACAGCATTCAAAGCCGAACCAACCTTTCTGACTTCCCAAACGGTTGGTTGGCATCAAGAGTACAGCTCAAGTGACTGTGAGGGGAGAAGAAGTCAACTGTCTGCTTGACTCAGGCTCACAAGTTACAAGAGTACCTGAGTCATTTTACAAGCAGCATCTTTTAGAGCAGAAGATTAAGCCCCTGCATGACCTCTTAGAAGTGGAAGGTGCAAATGGCCAGCTAGTGCCTTACCATGGCTATATAGAAATGACCATAACCTTTCCAAGGGACTTTGTAGGGGTTACCATAGATGTAAACACACTCGCCTTGGTTGTCCCTGACACTTCACAGTCCCTCATGCTCATAGGCACGAACACCCTATATGTATTGTTCGACCACTAATCAGAAACTGACTTGACCTATTGTGAGCCTCTTCCACATGGCTACAAAGTAGTCTTCAAAGTTATCGAGCTAAGACGGAAGCAGGCAAGCAACAACTACCAGGGGGTAGTGAAACTGCAAGGCAAGACCCCTCAAGTCATTCCAGCCGGAGAAACTGTAGTGGTGGAGGGAGGTGCCCTTGTCAGTGGCCTTCAAGAAGAGAAATCAGTTGTCATTGAGTATCCGTAATCATCCCCCTTGCCAGGTGGCCTGCTAGTTAAAGCTGGTCTACTTGATTTTCCTCAGCTACGGCCCCATAAGCTACCAGTCGTCATAAGCAATGAGTCTGACCACGATGTTGTCATCCCTGCAAAGTGCACTATTGCAGAAGTTAGTGCTTATCAGACCATCCTATCAAAAGAAAATAGCATACAGTGGGTGCGAAAAGTATTCAGACCCCTTTAAATTTTTCACTCTTTGTTTCATTGCAGCCATTTGCTAAAATCAAAAAAGTTCATTTTATTTCTCATTAATGTACACTCAGCACCCCATCTTGACAGAAAAAAACAGAAATGTAGATTTTTTTGCAAATTTATTAAAAAAGAAAAACTGAAATATCACATGGTCATAAGTATTCAGACCCTTTGCTCAGTATTGAGTAGAAGCACCCTTTTGAGCTACTACAGCCATGAGTCTTCTTGGGAATGATGCAACAAGTTTTTCACACCTGGATTTGGGGATCCTCTGCCATTCTTCCTTGCAGATCCTCTCCAGTTCTGTCAGGTTGGATGGTGAACGTTGGTGGACAGCCATTTTCAGATCTCTCCAGAGATGCTCAATTGGGTTTAGGTCAGGGCTCTGGCTGGGCCAGTCAAGAATGGTCACAGAGTTGTTCCGAAGCCACTTCTTTGTTATTTTAGCTGTGTGCTTAGGGTTATTGTCTTGTTGGAAGGTAAACCTTCGGCCCAGTCTGAGGTCCTGAGCACTCTGGAAGAGGTTTTCTTCCAGGATATCTCTGTACTTGGCCGCATTCATCTTTCCTTCAATTGCAACCAGTCGTCCTGTCCCTGCAGCTGAAAAACATCCCCATAGCCTGATGCTGCCACCACCATGTTTCACTGTTGGGATTGTATTGGGCAGGTGATGAGCAGTGCCTGGTTTTCTCCACACATACCGCTTAGAATTAACGCCAAAAAGTTCAATCTTGGTCTCATCAGACCCGAGAATCTTATTTCTCATAGTCTGGGAGTCCTTTGTGTGTTTTTTGGCAAACTTTATGCAGGCTTTCATATGTCTTGCACTGAGGAGAGGCTTCCGTCGGGCCACTCTGCCATAAAGCCCCGACTGGTGCAGGGCTGCAGTGATAGTTGACTTTGTGGAACTTTCTCCCATCTCCCTACTGCATTTCTGGAGCTCAGCCACAGTGATCTTTGGGTTCTTCTTTACCTCTCTCACCAAGGCTCTTCTCCCACGATTGCTCAGTTTGGCTGGACGGCCAGGTCTAGGAAGAGTTCTGGTCATCCCAAACTTCTTCCATTTAAGGATTATGGAGGCCACTGTGCTCTTAGGAACCTTGAGTGCTGCAGAAATTCTTTTGTAACCTTGGCCAGATCTTTGCCTTGCCACAATTCTGTCTCTGAGCTCCTTGGGCAGTTCCTTCGACCTCATGATTCTCATTTGCTCTGACATGCACTGTGAGCTGTAAGGTCTTATATAGACAGGTGTGTGCCTTTCCTAATCAAGTCCAATCAGTTTAATTAAACAGACTCCAATGAAGGAGCAGGACCATCTCAAGGAGGATCAGAAGAAATGGACAGCATGTGAGTTAAATATGAGTGTCACAGCAAAGGGTCTGAATACTTATGACCATGTGATATTTCAGTTTTTCTTTTTTAATAAATTTGCAAAAATTTCTACATTTCTGTTTTTTTCTGTCAAGATGGGGTGCTGAGTGTACATTAATGAGAAATAAAATGAACTTTTATGATTTTAGCAAATGGCTGCAATGAAACAAAGAGTGAAAATTTAAAGGGGTCTGAATACTTTCCGTACCCACTGTAGCCAAGCAATCAGAACCCCTCCAGAGACTCAGCCATCCCAAGAGCCCATCTTAAATTTCAACTTTGGTGATTCCCCAATTCCACTTGAATGGAAGGAACGCATCACTCGGCAGCTTAACAACATGCCTGATGATGACCTGGACTTTGGCCAGACAGATAAGGTAAGACACCACATAAAACTCTCAGATGAAACTACGTGCCCGACCACAACACCCACAGGACATTGAGGCTGTCCCAAGGCGCATTCAAGAGCTCCTCGGGGGTTTGAGGTTGAAGAAGCGGACAAACCGAAGACGGCCTCCGTGTGCCCCCTCGGATTCTGGGAGTTCATTAGAATGCCCCAAGGTGTGACTAATGCCCCCAGCACATTTCAAAGATTAATGGAGAGGTGCATGGGGAATATGCACTTGAAAGATGCGTTGGTCTTCTTTGATGACGTGATAGTGTTCTCTAGAACCCTTGATTAGCACAAAGGAAGACTGATGAAGGTGCTTGCTCGTCTCAAAGAGTTTGGGTTGAAGTTATCCCCAGAAAAATGTGTCTTTTTCCAGACATCAGTTCGTTATCTGGGTCATGTAGTCTCCAGAAATGGTGTTCAGACTGACCCCGAGAAGATTGCAGCTCTTAAGACATGGCCTGTCCCCCAGACCCTACAAGAGTTAAAATCCTTTCTCGGTTTCGCTGGGGACTATAGGAGGTTCGTTAAGGGCTACTCCAGCATCGTAAAACCCCTCCACAACTTAACCTCCAGCTACTCACCTCTTCACAAGAAATCAAAAGCAGAACCAGCAAACATAAGACAGAAAACAGATCCATACCATGACCCAAAAGAGCCTTTCAGAAGTCGCTGGATGCCAGCTTGCCTGAAAGCCTCTGAGACAGTCATCCATAGCCTCACTTCTGCCCCTGTATTGGCCTTTGCTGACCCCCAGAAACCCTTCATACTGCACACCGACGCCAGCACCACCGGGCTCGTGCTGTGTTGTATCAGGAGCAAGAGGGCCAACTTAGAGTCATAGGCTATGCAAGTAGAGGGCTGTCACGAAGAGAGAGTCGCTATCCAGCGCATAAGTTAGAGTTTTTCAGCGACTATCTTTACGGCAACCACTTCACTGTTGTAATGGATAGCAATCCGCTGACTTACATTTTGACCTCAGCAAAACTTGACGTGACCAGCTATAGGTGGCTAGCAGCACTGTCCACATTCTCATTTAAACTCCTCTATCGTCCAGGAAGGCAGAATGGAGATGCGGATGGATTATCCCGCCGACAACAAGGGGGGCTAGCAGATGACCTGAAATCACAAAAAGAGAGAGAACATATCCAACAGTTAACTAAACCGTCTTGAGCTCCTTAACAACATCCTGTAAAGGCGACGCCAAGTCGGGTCCCAGACAACTTACCAGCTTGTACTCCCAGCTGAGCTTTGCGACACAGTCCTCACCAGCCTGCATGATCATATGGGTCACATGGGAGTTGACCGTACATTGGAACTTGTGAGGACCAGATTCTATTGGCCAAAGATATGGTTATGGACATCGAAAGGAAAGTGAGGACATGCAGCAGGTGCGTGCAGAGGAAGGCACAACCTGATAGAGCTGCCCCCTTGGTCAACATTAGTACCACTAGACCCCTCCGGATCTCAGCTGCAAGAATTAGGGCAGCTGCCTGCTAAAAGGACGGAAAAAGGAGAAAAACCCAGATTTAAACTGTGATAGGAGAAAGATAAGACCAGTGCACTTACCTACTGGGAGTCCGTAGCCGAGTGACTGAACGAAGGAGACGAGTTACGTCGGCTAACCACTTATCTTCCATCTTGTGATCCGCTGCAAGCCCCGACATCGACGTGCTTGGCTTTGAAACACAGACCAACGGTCAGGTTTTTGAGAGGACGGGAAAAGACACAGACAAGGAGTCACACACATTCACATTACACTCCCATGAACATTTAATATCAGGTGCACCTGCAACAATTTTCAGTTTTGAAGGGCCCCAATGGACACTCTTATTTCATTTTTCGTGCGCACACTTTTTGTTTTCTGGTCATTTGGGTCATTGTTTTATAACTTTGTATAAATTGAAGTTTTCTCTTTATTCAATGTAAAAATACAAGAGTGGCTACTCAACATTTATTCCTCGCTCCTAACGAATTTGGTGTCTTCTGATTCTGGTCGTGGTCTTATTACTAGTCCAACTCATTGTTATACTGTAATTCACTTATATATCCCTAAAATTGGTTACACTATTCTTGATCATTATTACTGGATCGAATGACTCCCTACAAAGGACTGTATTTTAAAAATACTAAAAGTCAAAAGCCATATTAGCAGCTCTGACAATGCTAACATGCTAATGTTTAGGAGGCACAATGTTCACCATCTTAACATTGCATGTTAGCGTGCACATAACTGAACCCCACTCCCAACCCTACAGTATGTGATCTCATCTTAACACTATGTGGAAGGTCATGGTCTTTATAACTTGTCACTGAACCTCAGCAACATAACAGTATGGCCATGGAGTGATGAATGGTGTCATGTTGTCATCTGTAGAACTTCAAGAGAGAAGAACAGAACTTTGTGGTCCAGAATGAAATCAACAACATGTCATTCCTCATCACTGACACCAAGTGTAAAATGTCAAAGGTATGGATAAATGGATTGAAGGGGTGTGGAGGGAATCAAAGTTTACATGTCAGAAGTTTAATGTATATTGCATGTTAGGTGTGTGTTTGTGCCAATTCGTATTTAAATATTTAAAACACAGGAAGAACATAACATAAAACTTATTCATCCTTCTGTGTATTTCTTGTCTTCTGATGTTTGACTTTGCCTCAGGGAATAGTTTCAGACCAGGAGAGGAAGAAGATGAAGAGGAAGGGAGATCGATACTCGATGCAGACAAGTCTTATTGTTGCCACTCTGAAGCGCCTGCTGCCTGTTGGACTCAACATCTGTGCCCCCGGAGAACAAGAGCTCATTGCTCTAGCTAAGAACCGCTTCACCCAGGTAGGAAAAATCCACTGCTTCCTTCCTACCAAAGGGGTTGTCCCGCAGTCATATTAATCAGGCCATAGAGCTGGAGACTTCTCATCCATTTAGATCCAAGGTGGAGAAAAGGGACAATTTGTTTTGCCCTTCGGGTTTGCAGCTGTACCCTGGGGCAACCTAGAGTTTAGGGCACTCATCTAAACAAAGGCTCTACTACTGGGTTGCTAAGGCAATCAAACCAAACAATCAAACATCTGAGGGGGCAGGTTTACCTCACATGTTATCTCTCTCTTTTTTTTTGTTAAACATCTTTTTATTGAGCAGATATGTTTAACATACATTACATTATTACAATCAGTGCTCATTTTCATAGTCCATACAATTGTGCATGTGGCACTGAGGTTACTAGGAAACCAAGTAATAGGCACACAGGTTATATCAGAACAAAATGATGAAGAACTGTTCAAATAAACAAAAAAGCTATGTTAGCACTAACAAGGGGTAAGAAATAAGCAAATAAATAAAAATAAAAAATAAAACTATTATGTTCATAGCAAAAGAAAATTAGTTGACTAGAGATCGCCTTCCCATCCTCCCTATCACTCTTGTCCTTTTCGTTAGTAGTCTATACATCAACCTTCACTGTTCAGTCATATCTGTTGTGATTAGTATGTACTAAAGTGTGGATTGCTTTACTGGATTTACATTTGCAAGATATGTTATGAGGGGTTTCCAGGTCTTGTTAAATTGTAGGAATCTAATGAAATACAATCTTTTATAGCATTAACTCTCCCAATTAAAGACATTGGAAGAGTTTCCCAAAACGATAATTTAGTCCATAATTTTTCTATTAAAGGTGGGGGAAGTTTTCTTGGAAGAGAGAGGAGTAATGTTTTGTGACTTGAATCCCTAAGTACGTAATTTTGTCGTTGGGGGATTTTAAATTGAAAATCACCTAGATGTGCTAAATTATTCATATAGATTGGCATTAAGATTCTTTTTTTCCCCAGTTGATTCGGTAGCAGAAAATAATTTTCCATCAACATTGAGGAGCGAAAAAGGACGGTACGCGCCTACTTTCTGTGGGTCCTTACCTTTTTTATGAATCACTGTAATCACAGCCTTAGTCAAAGTGGGCGGTAAACTAACATTAGTCTGGGCTTGTTCATATAGTTTTAATAAGTGGGGGATAGGGTTTGGCTAAAGGTTTTATATAGTTTCCCTGCAAATCCATTGGGACCAGGTGTTTTATTACTTTTAGGTGAAGGAATGGCGTTCTGAATTTCAGAAATAGTAAATTCAGTATTCAGTGTATCACAGTCTTTCTTTTTTAGTCTGGGTAGCTCACATTTGTCTAGGAAGTCATTAATTGTTCTGTCATTTATGTCTTTGTGAGTATTGTATTTTCATAAGCCCTTATCCTGTGTATGATCCGGTCATTTCCCATTTTCCTGAGCTGTCTAGCTAGTAGTTTGTGTGGCTTTGCATGCTTTACTTATCTTTGCTGATACCGTTTTGTTGTATTCATATTTTAGTGTTGCTCTTTTCCTGTGAAGAACAATAGAGGGGGATTGTGCTTTTTCTTTGTCTAGTACTTTCATTTGGTTTTGTAGTCCCTACCCGAAGGATTCATTGTTCTCCATATGTACAGGATATTTGTATTGTTAATGAACGTGTTCAGAAAATCATTTGGGGTATTTCATGGGAGACTCCTTGTGGACGATCTATCAAGATATGCAACCTTCTTTGTCTACAATTGTTTTTCATGTAAAAAGGTGCAGCTTTTTTTTTTTTTTTTCAAATAGCTGCACCTCTGACTTTGGTTGCAAAGCTTGAGTGATACAGAATCAGAATTAGAATCAGATTTATTGCCAGGTAGGTTTTTACACATACAAGAAATTTGTCTTGGTGCAATGGTGCTTAAAATATACAATCACACAAAAATATACAAATCACACAAAAATCACACAAGAATAAAGTACTTTTAAAAATATAAATAAATAAAGATCAGAAAGATAAGAAGACTGTACAGAAGACGGGAGTGCATTAATGTAATGCATATAGGGTGGGTATAAGAGTCAGTGTCAAAGGGGGTTCCGGCCTTGTTAATGAGGCCAGCTGCAGATGGAATGAAACGTTGTGAGGTTTTGGTCCTGATGGATCGCAGCCTCCTTCCAGAGGGAAGTGTTACAAAGAGTTTGTGTCCGGGGTGGGAGGGGTCAGCCATAATCTTGCCTGCATGCCTCGGGGTCCTAGAGGCGTACAGGTCCTGTAGGGATGGCAGATTGCAGCTGATCACCTTCTCAGCAGATCGAATGATTTGCTGCAGTCTGCCCTTGTCCTTGGCAGTGGCAGCAGTGTACCAGATGGTGATGGAAGAAGTGAGGATCAATGATGGCGGTGTAGAAGTGCACCATGGGGCGGCTGTGGTGCAGAGGCAGAGCGGGTCGTCCACTAATTGGAAGGTTGTTGGTTTGATCCCTGACTCCTCCCACCACATGATGAAGCATCCTTGAGCAAGATACTGAACCCCAAATTGCTCCCGATGCTGTGCATCGGTGTGTGAATGTGTATCATCTCCACCAACCAGGGAGGTGTACAGGGAGAAGAGCAGAGGAGAAAGAATGCAGCCTGGGGGGGATCCAGTGCAGGGATGATGGTGGATGTTTTGAAGCAGGCTGGCACATGACATGTCTCCAGTGAGGTGTTGAAGATGTCAGTAAACACCAGAGACAGCTGGTCAGCACAGTGCTTCAGGGTGGATGGAGAGACAGAGTCTGGTCCGGTCGCTTTGCGGGGGTTCTGCCTCTTAAAGAGCCTGTTGACTTCCCTCTCTTGAAGGCAGAGAGTCGTCACTGTGGTGGAGGAGGAGGGATTCACAGGGGTGTGGGGTTGTGAAGTGGCCCAGGCTCCTGCTGAGCTGGGGGAGGGGTGTCACGGGATGGTGTCAGGAATGTTAGTTTGTCTGTCGGAGCGACAGTAAAACTCATTCAGATCGTTTACCAGGCGCAAGTCGTTGATGGAGTGGGGGGTTTTAGGTTTGAGGTTGGTTATCTGTCTGAGCCCCTTCCAGACAGAACCAGAGTCCTTGGCTGAGAACAGATGTTGAAGTTTCTCAGAGTACTGCCGTTTAGCTTCTCTCACTGCCTTGCTAAACTTGTACTTTGACTTCTTAAACCTGTCCCTGTCCCCACTCCTGAACGCTTGCTCCTTCTGCAACTGTAACTGTCTGAGTTTGGCTGTGAACCAGGGTTTGTCATTGTTATAACTCACCCTGGTGCATGATGGTAAACAGCAGTCCTCACAGAAGCTGATATATGATGTCACAGCCTCTCTGTACTCATCAAGACTTTCAGTAGCAGTCCTGAACACATCCCAGTCAGTAGAGTCCAAACACGCCTGAAGATCCTCCACAGCTTCACTGGACCACTGCTTTGATGTCCTCACAACAGCTTTACAGAGTTTTAATTTCTGCCTGTATGTAGGAATCAGGCGGACCATGACGTGGTCAGAAAGGCCCAGTGCGGCGCGGGGGACGGCGTGATAAGCTCTGCTGACTGTAGTGTAACAGTGATCGAGTGTGTTCTCCTCTCTGGTCAGGTATTTAATAAACTGTTTGTATTTTGGAAGTTCGTGACTGAGGTTTCCTTTGTTAAAGTCACCAAGGACAATAACTAAAGAGTCCGGGTTAGTCCGCTCCACACACAGTATCTGGTCGGCGAGCGTGCGTTGTGCCTCCTGCACGTTTGCCTGCAGTGGAATGTAAACACCGACCAGAATGAATAAAACAAACTCACAGGGCGAGTAAAAAGGTTTACAGTTTATGACGAAATATTCCAGATTAGGGAAGCTGTACTGTTGGATCACTGTCACAACATTACATTAGCTACTGTTGGTGTAAAAACAGATACCTCCACCCTTTGTTTTGCCGGAGAGTTCTGTGTCACAATCCGCTCTGAAGAGTTGGAAGCCTGCCAGCTGCAGCGCAGAGTCCTATATCGATCCCCACAGCCACGTCTCCGTAAAGCATAAAACAGAAGAAGAGGAAAAGTCTCTGTTTTTCCCCACCAGTAGCTGAAGTTCATCCATTTTATTGCACAGTGAACGCACGTTGGAGAGGAATATTCCAGGTAACGGTGTGCGATGTCCGTGCTGGCAGAGACGCACAAGCGCACCGGCAGGTTTCCCTCTCCTCCTGCGTTTCACTGCGTGAGCAAAGGTGAGCACACCTTTGACCACAATGTCCAATAATTCCACGGAAGAAAGAAGAAAAGTGGGAAAGAGATCAGCTGGAGTTGTTGCTGATGTTCATGAGCTCTTCTCTAGTGAAAGAGCTTCGGGTGTCACAGCCGAAAACTGAATTAACACACAAAACAAGAAAAAACAAAGCACACGACCACACCCAGACGACCGTTCGTGGCGCCATCTTAGGTTATCATGCATCATACACTTCCCCTATCCACTATCTCCGGTTCTTAACCTGCTGTGGGAACATAACTTCCCACTTCCCCACATGTCAGCCTGTTGCTTACCTCTCATACCCTGTCCCATACCCTGTTAACTCGAGAATATTAGTGGAATTAGTGATATAAAAAATTTAATAAATAAATGGTAAAGTATATGTATCCGTACTGCATGCACCTTCCCCTCATTGAAATTGTGTAATTATTCTATTCTGTGATTTGTTAAATATAGATCAAATCTCACCCTATTTTGAATGTAAGTTAACAATTAGCTAGGCAAACTGTATCAACGATCCGAATATTGTAGTGGAACGTGTGGGGAAGAATGGGAATTGACATTAGTGTGTTTTATTTAAGTGCATTTCTGCATCTAGAGAACACCACATCATTTTTATTATTTTTTTAAACAAGGATGTAAATAGTACATATATTAGTATGTTATTGAACAAGAATTAGACAATCAAATGATGAATTTGGTTGCATTTCTCCAACCAGACTTCGGTTATCACTGATCATATCTTTTATCTTTTGTTTTTTTCGAGTAAAGATATACATTGTTTAAGTGATGTTTAACAAATGTTTGGCGCCAAAGTTTGTTTGGTCCTTACTTTCTTTTACCAAAGTAAGAATAAAATTTGTTTTCAAAAGATGACAACGCTCACAACAGAGTTTTGGATTCTCCTAACTCCTCTCATCTTTGAAGATATTCGTAAACCCATATCCTTCTGATTTCTTTTTGTTTCTATATGCAACCACAACAGCTCTTCAGTATACATTTTCCTAAGCTGTTGACACAGCTGGAGAGCTTGGGGCCCACAATGTTATTGTTCATCAGTGTGGATGCTGGCATCGTTATTGGTATATATATGGTTATTGTTTAAGTTATTATTCTTGACATGGACAGCCCTTAACTTCCATTACAATTCCAGAGAAATATCACCATATATCATTCAATCTTTTGAAGTTTGTTCCAGTGCTTTTAAGTTTAAATCTCTGAAAAGCACTTTGAAACTGCCTCATGTATGAATTTGCCTTGCCTTGCCTTTGCCTTGTGATGATTTAATATGGCAGCCAATTGACTTTAAATTTGTAATGGTTGCCTCTGTCTCTCAATGGACCGTGCATTTACTCTCTCCACAGAAAGATACAGAGGATGAAGTTCGAGAGATCATCAGAAACAATCTCCATTTACAAGGAAAGGTAGGAGCACTTTGAGCCTGTAATTAAGAGAGTCAGTATATCTGGGATAATCTGAAGATAATGTCATGATTTATATTAAATAATAACAGAAGTGCACAGCCTCAACACACATTTTAATGCATGTCCTCTGTGCATTTGTGACTTTATATGTGTGTCTTGTACAGCTGGAGGACCCAGCTATTCGTTGGCAAATGGCTCTGTACAAAGACCTCCCAAACCACTGTGAGGACACTTCTGATCCAGAAAAGACTGTAGAGAGAGTCCTGGATATCGCTCATGTCCTCTTCCACCTAGACCAGGTTTGTGTATGTGTGACACAAGAGAAGCTGGCCTGGAATCTCCTCTTAAGAGTTGATGTGATTGGTTATTAAAGTTATATATATTAAAAATATATATAAGTTTGTCTGCTTAAAGACAATAATGTTTGCAAATGCACTTTGCACTAACAATTGTCCTTGAGGTGTGGGGATTGTGACCTCCAGACGATGAGCTACATGAATGGAATGTCTTTTGTACTGAGTGGTCAGTTTGTGTGTTTAGGTTGAACATCCTCAGCGCAGTAAGAAGGCTGTGTGGCACAAACTGCTGTCCAAACAGAGGAAGAGAGCAGTGGTTGCTTGCTTCAGGATGGCGCCACTCTATAACCTACCAAGGTAAATTATGCACCCGTCCTGCACACATCAACGCACATATACAAGATATACGTGTGTGTACTGTACATTTAAAAAAAGATTGGTTGGGATGCCCTAGTAGTAGCTCCCCTGTAAGAACTGGCACCCCATGTACTAAGACTGAATCCTTACTGCAGCAGCCTGGGTTCGAATACAGTCGGTGCACCTTTGCTTCCCCCCCCTTACTGTCTATCTTCACCTGTCATTATATATTATTTTATCTGTGTACTGTATCGCTCCCAAACTAGGCACCGGGCTGTCAACTTGTTCCTGCAGGGCTATGAGAAGTCCTGGATTGAGGCAGAGGAACACTACTTTGAAGATAAACTCATAGAGGACCTTGCTGTAAGTTTATTCAAATAAATCTAAAACAAGTGGAATTATTTTAACCCATTTTATCTGCAAAGGGTACAGGTCCTCTTCCACGGAGTCCGCCATGTAGAACTGCCATGTTTCTACAATAGCACAGTATGGATAAATCGAACACTGGTTTTAGAAGGGTGCTTTTTATGAGTTTCGCAGCCACTGTAGGTCCTCCTACCAACAGAACAGTTGTTCAGTTGGTTGCAGTCTGCAACTTCACAGCTATATGCTACAAAATCCTACAGACTTGTCCTTTAAAGGTCCAGTGTGTAGGATTTAGTGGCATCTAGCGGTGTAATTGCAGATTGCAACTCCTATGGTGGCCATGAAACACAACAATGCCCCTATCTAGAAGACAGTGTTTGGTTTGTCCCTTCTGGGCTACTGTAGGAACAGGTCATGTAGGTGCAACAAGTTGTTTGGATCAATAGTCTGTCTATCAAATATAATCTTTAGATTTAATGTTATAAATATTAGCTTTAAACTCCTTGGGCACCACCCTCTAAACAGAGGGAAACGATAGCAGATCTATTGATCTAAGTATCATCTACCATAAATTATGATTCTTTAATTAACAATTAAATAATCAAAATAAATGGGTATTAGTTCCAATTCTCAGACCACAACTCTAACTGTAATCTGATTACAGTAAGGTTGTGACCCTAAGAAGGTAACAAACAGGCTGAAGGAAAGCTTTAGAGTTCTTGGCGTAGCAGAGGCTGGTTTCCACACAACATTCAAGTAAAAACAACCAAAGGGCACTTCTGGTCCAATATTACAGAACTTATATTCTAGCAATGCTAAACATACAATCAATTTCACACAATATAACCAAAAACATAAAACAAAAGTCCTAATGAATTGTGGAAACTATATACAAGTATGTGTGCACGTGTGTTTAACCACACCGGCCTGAACGGCTCTGAACCGCAGTTATAATCACTCTACGTGTGTGTAGGTTCCTAAGTCAGTCGAGGAAAAGAGAGCGAGAAACTAAATCTGCCCAGAATGTCAGCCTTACTTGAGGGAATCACTCTGTGTGATCCCGCTGCTGTGTGCGTAATTCCTGTTGCGTTGAGCGGCGAGGAACAGTGATGCGGGCTGGTCCTTTATCTTAACGCTTGTCAGCGAAAAAATAAATTTCCCGTTCTCCTTAGGCACGGCAGCGAGGCGAAATTTCAGGCGATCGTCGACGTGAAGAGATGGGAAAAAGGGAAGCTGGTTGCCTTGGTCCGTTCTTCAGTAGAGGAGGTTTGCTGTAGTGTGCAGCAAACTTACTGGTATATTGGAGCAAAACGAAGTTAAACTTTTCTACCATGGCTAAATGGCGGATCAGAGAAACTGTGATGGCTGTGTCCAAAAAGGAGGGAAAACTCCTTGAGTGGGTATCTCCAAATAGTAAACCGAAAGTTCACAAAGAGAGACACAGATGCGTCTCTCAGCTGTATTTATTTACAAAAGTAACATCGCTGGTCAGCGGCCAGTTTGACCAATGGCGTCTGACAGCTGGGTCTGTAGCCGGATTTCACATCCAGGTGTGAAAAGCTAAGGACCCTGGGAAGTTGAGTTTAACTGGGTTTTCCTTTGTCTAAGGAGACAAGGAAAAGTTTGCAGTCCCAGTTGCCATTTTGAAAAGGCTGAGGCCCTACAGTCAGAACACTAAAAAGGCGCTATACAAATACTGGTCCATTTACCAATAGATCTCCTAAATGTTACACACTGATCCTTAAGTTTATTGTTTTGTGCATCGTAGATTCTCCTGTGATTCTGAATGTGTGTCTATTTCAGAAACCAGGTGAACAGGAGCCATCTGATGAAGAGGAGGGGGTGAAACACATTGATCCACTGCATCAGCTCATTCAGCTGTTCAGCAGAACAGCCCTCACAGAGAAGTGGTGGGTTCCCATATGTAAAATACAGGTTTCAACCAAATGTGAGGCATCTGCTCCATAATAAGTTAATATTTTAGCAAATAACTGCCTAGTTACACGTCTAGTAAATAATGGCAGTCACATGATATCTGGTCAACGTCACGTCTGGCCAACATTTACTGGTGTTTAACCCTGCCAGCTCTTGAGAAAAGGTATCTTGATCGATCTGACTTAATACATAAATGTTACTAAATGTTTCACTTCTGTCACCAGTCACTTGTTTATCTCCAAATCTGTTTCACTCTGGACTAATACAGTTTACAGTAGGTTTTTGGGAGCTGCTGAGCGTGGAGAGGTTGCTCATGGTTTGCATTTGATTTTCAGTGGGACCAACAGCAGTGGACCTCTCGCATAACCAGAGTAGTTTATGTCAATGTTGCAATAAAAATAGAATCGCTTAATGCAGCTTAAATAATAAAACCTGCTCAGCCAATGATGTGGACAGTCAAACTGTGATAGTGTGTGTGTGCGTGTGTATTTCCTGTTGCAGTAAACTGGATGAGGATAATCTCTACATGGCCTATGCTGACATCATGGCTAAGGTACCAGCTATTGAATACCAGTACTAGGAACCTTTTTTATTACTTAGAAGTGAATTGGCTGGCTTATCACAGCATATTGCAACATATTATTCTTCTGCTGTCCACTTTACTCCTTGCTCCCTTAGAGTTGCCATGATGAAGAGGATGAGGATGGAGAGGAAGTGAAGAGTTTTGAAGTAGGTGATCAGTCACTCTGTTTGTCAGTCCCCATGAGGGTCTTGTCTAAACTGGTATGCTGCTGCCTGTCATTTATGTATCCTGTTTCACATAAATAGGAGAAAGAGATGGAGAAGCAAAAGCTGTTGTATCAACAGGCTCGATTACATGACCGTGGAGCTGCTGAGATGGTGCTTCAAACCATCAGTGCTTGCAAAGGTAGGTTTTACTTACTGTTAGTCCTGCCCATCGACATATAAAAGATGGCCATCACGTCTCTACTAACCCCCCACTGTAGAAAAAAGAAACCATAATATCTTGGATAAGGGTGCTGCCATTTGCTGCCACTCAGGGCCAGAGTCTGCACAGTAGTGATTGGGTTCAGCTCCCCGGTATAAGTCCCAACCATCTGCCCGGCCGACTCGGCTGTCAATCATGTTGTGAAAACAAACAAGCTTTTTATAGCTTCTAATAACTAATTAAAACCATGCTGATCCTGAACATACATCAACATGATGAGAACTACCTAAAATGAAAACCATATTTGAAAAACTGTATTTGAAGTGTACTTTGATTTGACCCATATCCCATATGTTAACATGGAGGAAGCAGGCTTTATGACCTCTCCTGTCATCCATCTTTATCTATGAAGATGTTCCTGCCTCCCACCTCCAGTTACACTACTATATTATAACTAAAGTTGATTGAATGTGCTGTATAGTCACTTATAGTGCTGAGGAAACCCATTTCGGCCGCTTGTAGCTGCAATCACGTTCTTTCGGTCATGACCCATTCCTCATGACTATAGGTGAGGGTTGGAACAAAGATCGACCGGTAGATTGCCCCCGTCGCCAAGTGCTTGCTCATGGTGGTACTGTTGGGTCTCTGTAAATAATGTCATAAGGAGTTCGGTCTAGACCTGCTCTATTCGAGAAGTGTCCTGAGATAACTTCTGTTATGAATTGGCGCTATGCAAATAAAATAAAATTTAATTGAATTGAATTGAGAGCTTTGCCTTTCGCCTCAACTCACTTTTCGTGACAACAGTGCGATAAAGGGACCGCAATACCGCCCCTGCTGCCCTGATTCTCCGTCCAATCTCCTGCTTCATTCTACCCTCACTGGTGAACAAAACCCCTGAGGTAATTGAACTCCTTCACTTGGGGTAAGGACTCATTCCCTACCCGGAGTAGACAATCCATCAATTTCCTGCTGAGAACCATGGCCTCGGATTTAGACCTGCTGATCCTCATCCCAGCTGCTTGACACTCAGCTGCGAACCAATCCAGTGAGTGCTGAAGGTCACATGCCTATGATGCGATCAGGACATCATCTGCAAAAAGTAGCGATGTAATCCTCAGCCCACCAAACTGCAACCCCTCCCCCCCGTGACTGCGCCTCAATATCCTGTCCATGAAAATCACAAACAGGATTGGTTACAAAGCGCAGCCCTGGCAGAGGCCAACACCCACTGGAAACGAGTCTGACTTACGATCAAGTATCCGGACACAACTCCCGCTTTGGAAATACAGGGATTGGATGGTCCTGAGAAGTGACCCCCTGACCCCATACTCCCGCAGCACCTCCAACAGGATATTCTGGGGAACTCGGTCATATGCCTTCTCCAAATCCACAATGGACCGGATGGGCATATTCCCAGGCCCCTTCCAAGAAACCTGCGAGAATGAAGAGTTGGTCTGTTGTTCCACGACCAGGATGGAACTTGCACTGTTCCTCTTCAATCAGAGGTTCGACAATCAACCGAAACCTCCTTTCCAGCACCTTAGAGTAAACTTTCCCAGGGAGGCTGAGTATTGTGATGCCTCTGTAGTTTGCACACACCCTCTGGTCCCACTTTTTAAATAGGGGAACCACCACCCCAGTCCGCCACTCCTTCGGCGCTGTCCCTGACTTCCACACAATGTTGAAAAGTGTCAACCAAGACAGCCCCTCAACACCCAGAGCCTTCTGCATTTCTGTCCGAATCTCATCAATCCCTGGGGCTTTGCCACTGTGGAGTTGTTTGACTACCTGCAGTGATCCTGCACTGTGGTATTTAGAAGACTAATGTTATTTTCTCTGTGTGATTCCTTTTCACCAGGTGAGATGGGTCCCATGGTGGCCTCTACTCTGAAATTGGGCATCGCTATTCTCAATGGAGGAAACTCTACTGTACAGCAGGTATTTTAGTCTTCAGTTGCCAGTTTTATTGTGACTAACATTGTTACTTTTCTCATTGTATTTGAAAGCTATGCACTCAGTGGTCACTTTATTAAGTACACCTTTAAATACACCTGTTCTGTCATAGTTTTTATTTGCATGATGCCTATAAGTTGTCTTTGACTCTGTCAGAAGTTAATTAAATGTGTGTGTTTTAGTATTGAGGCTATAGTTAGTGAAGGTGTAATACTGGACTGCGTTATATTCAGAGTTGGTTCTAATATTCTCCCCCTTCATGTATGTAAATAAATAAAATGCCTATTTCGCAGATGATGTAATGCTGTATGTCAGCGATTTTGTCTCCTCAGTGCCTTCCATTATGCAAGTTTAAAATGATTATGGAGTAATATCTGACTCCAAGTTGTAAGTAATGATGCTGTTGGGTATGTAGCTATCACAGCTAAGACAGCCTGGTTAGGTTTTAATGGTCCAGAGAGGGCTTCAGATATGCTATGGCTTTATTTATTGGGTTCAGAAAAAATTACTGAAGGAGATAAAGGCATGTACCCAGATAGTCAAATTGAAATTACTTGGGCACCCGGTTAGCTCAGTCGGTGGAGCTGGTGACCCATGTACGGAGTTGCTGCAGCGGCCCGGGTTTCAGAAGTATGGCAAACTTAAAAACCTAGACTTAGACTTTATTACTTACTGTGGGTGGAAAGATGGCTAAATATTTTGGACATTTTTTGTGGGGAAATCATGTGACAATCCTCAGAATGAATTTGGTTTGTCAGCAATGACATTTTTAAAGTGTAATGCTGGTAGTGCTGCCCCAGACTAAAGATTTTCCTAGTAGACTAGTAGTCGTTAGTTAAATCCAGCAAGGTGTGAACATTTACTTAATTTATTTTAACAGTATAACATGACATAGGACCCCTTGTTCAAAACTTTCTCTTAACCCTCTTTTATGTAAGTTTCCCAGTGGGTATGGTTTAACATATGGGTGATTGTATATTGATAAGAATAAGGTTAATTGGGTGTCTGTCTGTGAGATCTCTATTTACATACCCAAATATGAAAAGTCAATGTGATGCCTGCATTTGTTACATCGTCGTATCATGTTTGTATGTTCACTTCTATATGACTGCATAAGGAAATAAAAGTTAAGTGCACAAAAAACAGTCCAGTACAACACCACCTTTAATTATGACCTCAGTAATAAACATACAATTGAATTTGAACCTTTCTGACCATGTAAAAAAAAAAATAATAATAATAATAATGATAATAATACCATACTGTATACTGTAGTTGTTCACCTCCTGTACTTGCTTTAAATAGGAATTGGATCTAAAATATTACTCTGTTCCATTGTCTCTTTGACAGAAAATGTTGGATTATCTGAAAGACAAGAAGGATGTGGGATTTTTTCAGAGTCTGGCTGGTCTGATGCAGTCATGCAGGTAATTCTACAAACTCTTGCTGCTTCAGGACTGAAACAAATATATTTTAGAATACAAAGTATTCATACCACAGCTGTGTGTTTGGATAGGCTCCTCAGTCCTCAGATATAATTAAATCTCAAAATTGGGTATTTCAAAACAGGAGGTCCTGCTCCTACAAATTTGGAATACGGATTTGGTAATCCAATCCAGAATCAGCTGAAATGTTTTTGAGTATTTCAAAAGTCTAAGGTGAAAATTAAGATAGATTTGATGCTATAAAACAGGATGATCCAGCATGGATTCAAGGTGGATGTGCAGACTATTATAGTTCACTATACTAGGTGTGAAAAAACATTTTACTTAAAGGAGTCATATTATGCGCCTTTTCAGGTTCATGATTGTATTTTGACGCTCTACTACTATAGGTTTAGATGTTTTAATGTTCAAAAAAACTTTTTATTATTTTTTTATTATTTTTCTCTTACTGCCTATAGCTAAGCACCTCTTTTCAGCCTCTGTTTAAAACGATCGGTTTTAGCTCCTGTCTCTTTAAGGCCCCCCTCCTGAAAAGCCCAGTCTGCTCTGATTGGTCAGCATTATGACTCGAATGATGCAAATGATGCTCTGGCCCCTCCCACTTCCGCCTCAGCGTTGGTGTTTTGGCAGGCAGCTCCTCCCTATTACTGAGTTTAGCTGCATTTCTACCATCAATATTAATTCAATAACTGCTTCTAAACCAAAAAGTTCACCACCGGACATGTTAGAGCGGGAGTCTGACCTGAAATTGCAGAGAAATGAACAACATCAACAATCAGGATTACAGCTTTCTGTGACGTGTTCCTCAGGTAAATACTGCTATGTTAATTATATATATATAATCTCTATCTATCACATATTGTTAGTGTTTATACCTTAACTATGAGAACCAACACTGTTTTTTCTGCTTGTCTTTACAGGTACAGCAGTGAGCAGTGAACTACAGTCTACACAGCCCAGTGAAGTTAAACATATTATATATAACATATTATTAACAACATTAGTCAAGCACTTGTTTCTAGTGAAGAAACACCCAGTAAATGTACCAAAGTAATCAGAGTAATAGTATAATGATTACTGTAACCTCCCATCTGTTATATTCTTTCCAACTCCAACTTTATTTGTTAAGCACTTTAAAAACAACCAAAGTTGACCAAAGTGCTGTACAGGAGAATAAATAGGACATCATAAATGTAAACAGTGATGGTGATGATGAAGACCACTGTGAGGAATATAGACAGTGATGGCGACAACACTGGAAAGTTCCCGTGGCAGACAACACGGACGAAGTCTGACGGCGATGAGCTCGATGTCCGGCCTGCAGACGCTCTTTCACACAGACGTGCCCGGCGTTACACCACCTGTTGTTTATGAGCACGGACAGTCCCCCTCCTTTCTTCATGCCGGTCGCGGTGGTGTCCCTGTCGGCTCGAACCGTCTGGAAGCCGGGAATGGTGACGATGATTGCAGGGATGTAGAGTTTAAAGCTCCTCTTCTTCATCCTCCGTTTAACCCCCGCTCTGCAGCCTCACCGTCTCCTCCTCAGCTCCTCCGGTATGGAGGGTCTCTCTCCAGTCAGGAGGCTAGGGGGCCTCAGGGCGATCATCTGGTCGCGGGTGAAAACAATGCGACTCCCCGTCGCCATGGAGACCAGCGTAAACAAAAAATAAAAAGTGCTCAAAAACGCCAAAAAAGTATTTAGGCGACATGAACAAAGTAGTAAGAAAGTAAGAAAAGAGTTCAAAATAGCAAAAACACACTGAAAACACAATAAAACTACAACAATTAAAGGAGCTGCCATGACAGGCTGCCGTTGTCGCCGGCGCCATTCCATGGAATCTGTACTCTTTGTACACATTAGTTTACTGAGACCATGGAAACTTACCATAATGAGGCAGAAACCTGCCTGGAATCATTTATCCTGTACAACATGTCAACATAACTGAAGGCATTACTCATCTAATAAAGTAACTTGTTTATGTGGTTTAAAAACTGCTAAGTAACCAACTGTAAACTGTACTGTATCCATATTTCATAGTCTGATATTTTAACTTGAAAGTATTATTACCAAAGTTAACTTTCAGATATTTGTAAAAGCTGCAATTATGTTTTAACCCCTTTCAAAATACTGTATATATACTGAATAATCTATCATTTATATTATATATTATGATGTCATTTAAATGTCAACATGAAGTTTAAATGTGAGACAGAAATGTATTGTGTTGCTTACAGTCATTTACTACAGGTTTAAATTTCACATTTTCATATTGATAGATGTTACACGAACCAGGTTTTCAACTCTTCTACATGCAGGAAATCTTCATAAAACCTCTGTGAAATAACATGTTATTTATATAGAACCACACTTATTACTGAATTTAAAAATGACTAAAACTCTTCTTAGAAATAAAACACTTAATTCATGTTTCATTCATATTCCAGTTACACAGAAATATAAATTGTGTGCATGTTGCAAGCAACAAAGCTATAATTTTTATGTAAACTGTGCAGATCATGTCCTCCATCAAGGTTTTTTTTTTTAGTATACTGAAGTGTGAGCTGGTAATGGAGCTCTGCAGTCAGTGTTCATCTTGATGCGTCTTCCTTTGGATACCCAGACAGAGAGTACGGCAGTAACGCTAAATATATGGATCAGAAAACGTTTATTAGTCGCGTTTTTTCTCCTCATGACAACGAAGCTAGCCCCAGCTGATTAGCACGTAGGCAGAAAGTTACACAAGATGCATCATGAAAAATAATCAGTACAGTGTCTTCTTCTGTTCACAGCTCTATTGATCCACAATGTGAACAGCTACTTAGCTACCCAGCAGATATGTACCAGGTTAAAGACAATTAAAATAGTTTGGTCAGAGTGACTGTCTGAGTTACCTAACTAACGTTATCTTCCCTGTTCTAGTGCAGCTCAACAAGCGAAACAGCTGATGAGCCGCTACAGTTTGTTCGCTTGGAGGTTCTCTGCTCATTCTAACAGCGACACACAAACATATTACTTACTGAGCACGTTTAACAAAATACAGACAAACATAAAGCCAATTTTCCCCGGTCACAAAACCCTCAACAGTAACCTTTAAGAGTCCCCCCCCCTTCCTTGGTGATAAAAAATATCACCAAGGAAGAATATGGGGACATCTGCACCAGCTGGCTTAATAAATTAATCTCACCAAATAAGTTTCATGTTCATCTTGCACAAATTTAACATCAAAATAACTGTGTTAGCGTCACTGAGGCTCTTGCAGCTAACAACTGTTAGCATTAGCTAGCTTACACGAATAATGAAAAAAAAAGCATAAATTCTTAAAAATACTTACAGTTACTTCCTCTGCCGTCTCTCCAGGAACAGTCTTTTAACCAGTCTAGTATTGTACTGACCGAGGTTGTGAAAACAGTCCGACACGAAGGTTCACACGCACATACAGGTTTTTCCGACTCTAGCCGGAAATTGCCGTCAAAAATAAAAATTAATCCACTGTGCTTGTACATATGTAGAGATTTGTGTCGATGTTTGCCTGCTGAAGCCTTTGTCCAGACATAAGGCTGGCAGGCTGCTCGCTGGGCTGCTTGCTCGTTCGCTTGCTTGTCTTTTCTAGATACAATGGCGGAGCTCTACTAGACAACAAGGAAGTAAAATGCCGTGGGTGGCAACAAATCCAAAAATGGGGAAAAATCTGAACAGACTGTTTCATCTCCTGTATTTTGACTGAGGCAGCCCACAAAAACATGACTGAGTCATATTTTTTCACACTTTGCCTGCTGATAGGCACTCCAGATTCCCAAATGTACATAATCAAAGGATTAAAAAGTTGGTTTTGCATAATATGTCCCCTTGAACTAAAATTTTAAAAATAAACTAAAAATGAAAAAAAACTAGCTGAAACAATATTGTTTACTTACAAAACTAACTAAAATTAAAGCTGCAAGCAGCGATGAATGGGCCCTCGCACTCTAGGCAACTCGGGTGTGCTGCGGCCACGTCACATGCCACCGTAACACGTGCGGACCACAACATAAACATTTTACGGAAATCAGATCATAATCGCAGCGCGTACGTGCACAAATAGCACAACTTTTAATCACCAACATATCTTGACTGTACTGACAAATTTTGAAGCAGATCTGATGAATTCCCTAGGAGGAGTTCGTTCAAATTCAACACGAAAAATCACAGAAAATGAAAAGAAAAATTCAAAATGGCTGACTTTGATGCCACGCCACGGACACACCCTTTAATGTGCATGAACAAATAGCACAACTTTTAATCAGCAACATTTTTTATCTGTACTGACCAATTTTGAAGTAGATCCGATGAAATCCCTAGGAGGAAGAGTTCATATACAATGCAAAAAAACGGCGAAAACGGCTGCGAAATTCAACATGGCCGAATTTGACGGCACGCCACGGAAACGACATTCAACGTGCAGTCACAAATAGCACAACTTTTAATCAGCAATTTTTTTGACTGTACTGACCAATTTTGAAGCAGATCCGATGAATTCCCTAGGAGGAGTTCGTTCAAATACAATGCGAAAAGTTCGCCGAAAATCAAAATGGCCGACTTCCCATGGGGTTTGGGGAATGGGACCAAGAGGCTTTTCTGTACGTCTCAGCGCGTTGCACGTGCCTACCGAGTTTCATGCATATCGGTGAAACGCGGCGCCGGGGCTGCTTTTTTGAAATACTGTAGGGGACGCTACAAACACGACAAACACGATTTTTGGTATGTGAGCTACAGGCACCAGTCTACACGTGCCCTAACCCTTCCGGCGAAGAGGGGTGGGGAGTGGGGTGACGTGGCGTGGCGTGACGTGACGTGGTGTGGCACGGCTGCGGCAGGCAACCTTTGTGCAGGCCCCAACGTGCGGAGATGGCGAGGTCCCGCCCAACGCTGTTTGCAGCTTTAATTCTATTCTGAATTTTACAGGGAGCCAGAGCAGAGAGCATTCCTATTTTGCTTAATGTTTTTGTTGAAGAAAAATATATTTTGAATTTAAATGTAATTTAATTTAATTTATTTCTTTTGTTGAGTTAAAAAAAATGCAGTTCAGATTCATATTTCTGGTTAAAATATTGCCAGTTATAGACTATTCAATAAATATTAATACTGTTCGGCCCGCAACTTTGACTGTCTTTCAAATTTTGGCTCCTTGTGTGATTGAATTTGACAACCCTGAACTATATCTTTAGATAATGAGTTTCGGAGGTGTTTTATGACCTTAAGGCACGCTTGTACTCTAGCTAACTGATTAATTTTATAGAGCTGGTCCTCCATTAATTGGAAGGAACCCCAAATCGCTGTGAATGTGAGTGTAAAAAAAGGTTTTTGATTGGTCAGAAGACTAGAAAGGCGCTATACAAGTACAGTCCATTTACTATTACCATTTATCATCTGCATAACAGTGAAACTTAATGGAGTGATTCCTAATAATGTTCCCTAAGGGAAGCATATGTAACGTGAATTGGTCCAAGCACAGAACCTTGTGGAACTCATTGACTAACTTTAGTGTTCATGGAGGATTCATCGTTAACATGTACAAACTGAGATCGATCTAATAAATAGGACTTAAACCAGCTTAATGCGGTTCCTTTAATGCCAATTAGATGTTCATGTTTCTGTAAAAGAATACGATGGTCAGTGGTGTCCAATGCAGCACTAAGATCGAACTAAGACAGTTACAGAGTACATTGTCTGATGCAATTAAAAGGTTGTTAGTAACTTTCACCAGTGCTGTCTCTGTGCTATGATGTACATCTAAATGACAGAAAATCCTCAAATAAGCTGTTGTTATGTAGAAAGTCACACAACTGTTTGGCAGCTGTGGCTCAGAGGCAGAGCAGGTCGTCCACTAATTGGAAGGTTGTTGGTTCGATCCCCGGCTCCTCCCGCCACATGTCAAAGTATCCTTGAGCAAGATACTGAACCCCAAATTGCTTTTGATGCTGTGCATCTGTCTATAAATTTGTAAGTTTCGTTCGATGGCCTTTGCCATTACTGAGTGAATGTGTGTGAAAGGGTGTATGTGGCATGTAGTGTAAAAGCGCTTTGAGTGGTCGGAAGACTAGAAAGGCGCTATACAAGTCTACAAGCAATAGAGTCCAGTGTTGTTCACAGTGAGCCTGCTGCATTATTAACAAGGTTAAGGACTAAGGTTATCATAGGAGTCCTTCTTAAATTTAGCTACGGCACTATCAGATATAAATAGGAAATTTTGCCTAATGGCTTATCGTCTAGTAATAAGAAGTTATTGAATGATGGTCCGATAAAAAAGGATTATGTGGGAAGACTGTTTAATGTTCAATATCATAAGACAGAAGGAGGTCAAGAGTGTGATTAAAACAATGGGTGGGTTTATTTACACTATGACAAATGCCAATTTAGTCTAATAATGAGATAAACATATTACGGCTGTCATTATCAACATCCACATGAATATTAAACCTGAAATGAATATCACCTACAATAATTATGTTATCTGTTTTAAGGACTAAACTTGATTAAAACAGATCGAAAATCAGAGTACAGGCCAGGAGCACTATAACAAACAGAATTGGGTGTTTTCCAGGTCGGGTGTGAAAGAATAAGTTACCAATTAGGTAACACTTTATAATGAGTACACGCTATTAAGCATTAGTTAAGCATGAATAAATACTGAATTCATCATTTATAACACATGAATACACATTAGTATGTAGTTTATAAACACAGTTAAAAATGTTTTATTCGTCATTGATAAGCACATTAGTTATGGATTAGTAAATACTGAATTCATCATTTATAAAGCATGTTTCTGCTGTTCTGCTTTGTTTGGTAGCACACATTATGGTTGAAAGCTAACGTTAGCTTGTCAGCAGCTGCAGGTGTTTGCCCTCGCTCCCCGACGAATGTTACTAACGTTACTAGCGTTACCGACCCGCCCGCGGTGGCTAAGCCGACCTGCCGCTGCTAGCCACTCACCTCGCCCGGCTAGACGAGACTAGACTAGGTCGGCTTAGCCACTGCGGGCCGGTCGGTAACATTAGTAACGTTAGTCGGGGAGCAAGGGCAAACACCAACAATGTGCTTCTCCATGCTCCCTTTGGCTGCACTGTCAGAAACTTCTGAGAGTTAACATAAATATGACGTAACATCCAACTCTCAGCACGTCATCATGTTGATGATGTGCTGAGAGCGGGATGGCAAGCTCAACGTACACGTCCCAAACAGATAAGATGACAACAATAGCCTGTCTTCATAAACCACCCTTGTTCGTCTTCATACAATATGTTGGGAAGTTGCAGTAAATATCAATACAATATGTTCTATATCCCTTTGTGTTGTGTCTCTCCTTCGTCTGTTAAGATAACTGAACATTTTGTGAGTCTCGAGGCATTGTCAGCCTTTATATCTCATTTGTAAATGCTTAATAAGCCATAGATAGTGCTTACTTTAGATGCGCTCGTGCAAAAAACTTAATTAACGAGTAGTAAGTGCTTTGTAACTGTGAATTCCTGCATTAATAACTGTTTATAGGCCATCATTAGAAAATGAATTTGTTGTGAGTTTGTATAGAACATCTGTTAACACAGTCACTGATCATTAATACATGTCTGAATAGTGGATGTGCAAGTGCATGCAGAAATGTACAGTACAATGAAGAGTAAAACATTTATAACTGTGATTATAAACCACATAGTAATGACTATTTACAGCAGAAACATGCTTTATAAATGATGAATTCAGTATTTACTAATCCATAACTAATGTGCTTATCAATCACGAATAAAACATTTTTAACTGTGTTTATAAACTACATACTAATGTGTATTCATGCATTATAAATGATGAATTCAGTATTTATTCATGCTTAACCAATGCTTTATAGTGTGTACTCATTATAAAGTGTTACCCATAATTATAAATTAGTTTAGGTTAAGGATTAATTAGGCTTGAATTATATATGGCTGCTACTCCTCCTCCTCAGCCGGTGTCTTGTAGTATTAATATGACTGGGGGTAGTGGATTCATTTAGGCAACATATTCTTTTTTTATTTTTTTTTTATTCTGTTTATTGAGTTTTTTAACACAGTAACATATCTTATAATGTTGTGCTTTTTCTAGGCAACATATTCTTATCCAAAGACTGCAAATCTAGATTCTGTAATCCTGATCATGTGCTATCTGGATTAGAATGATCCCATTTTAAAATTATTTGAAAAACCAGGACAATACCTACAAGATCAATTTTATCTGGTATAGCAAGAAAGGGATTAAAAAACCTGGACCATTCTTTCCCAGTTTTGAAATACTGGGCCGAAATCAGTTTCAAAATTATTTTTGTGAATTTTGCTTTTTTATTGGGGAGTATTTGTCAGTGGCAAGATTTAAGAAGTTCAAAGACATTTCCATTTAAATATTTTTTCTAACCTAGTTTAAGTTTTTTGTTTAATTTTAGTAAACTATGATAACCATGGCTGGATCCACCAGTGGGATCAGGATCATCCTGATTTTTTCCATCAAAACTATTCTAATTTGCACCTCAGAGTTCTGAAATACACAAAAACAACATCTGATCTGGTTTCTGTGTTGGATTGGATGTGTTCTAGTGTTTCATACCATCTAAGAGGTGCCAAAAAAGCTCCTTGAATCTAGATTATTCAAATTGAGAAATACTACATATCATGCCATGGTGCTCTTATGTTTTACAGCACTACCTAAAGATTTTTGCTGGTCAGTGAAGGGAGCACAAAATAACAGAGATTTATGATTTATCTTTGTTTCAGTGTTCTGGATCTAAATGCATTTGAGAGGCAGAACAAAGCAGAAGGACTGGGAATGGTGACAGAGGAGGGATCAGGTAAGTCTCACTATTGATTTATATTTTTGAATGGTTATAGCAATAGAAAGAAAAGTTTTATCAGTATTTCCTTTTCTGTAGTATGTTCATGTTAAAATGTTTTTCTTCACCAGGTACAGGTAACACTTTTAAATGTTACTTTAAATAACCTACCTATAAAATCTAGAGGGCACTGCTTTCTGACACCATTGTTTTCATGCTAAAGTAAAGATTCTAAGCTAGCTGAAGGAGAAACCTTTTCTTCCTTCAATTCAAAACCTCAAAATGTCCCATGAAAAGATGAAAACATGTCCTGGAGTGGTCTCCAGCACTAATAACATTGTAGAAAGTGATAATTTAAGGTAGAAGAAATATACTCTTTGGTGTTGCATCTTGTTTGTTACTTTTGATTCATTAATATTCTTTTTATTCTGGTCAACCATCATTCTTTATCTTGCTTTGTCCCATTGATCCTGTCATCACTTAAATTGAGCATTTTGTTGAATTTTATTAAGTGGTACTACCTGTTGTCACATGCACTATCAGGTATTTCTGTGTAGTGTGTATATGCTTATAATTTGCTTGTTACATCTTCTGTGTGTATATATTTGTTACAAATCTTCACAATCATCCTTGCATACTGATACTTATTCAAAATTCAAATCAATTACTTTCATGAAGACAACCTGTTATAGGTTTGTGTACATACAATATAGTGTTTGTTTTGCTATTTTGTAGAACAACATTTTTAAAATACAGTTATAACTGCACACTAACTACTGGATAATGATAAATAATTATTGGTGCATAATTATCATGTTACAATAGGTGCAGCGATTATCTGTATTCCAAGTGTAGGTGCTTTCTGGCTAAAAAAGTTAAATCCTAGGGCTGTCCCTGACTGCTCATTCCATCCCCGCTCCTTGGCAGTATTCCCCACTGGGTCCCCCCGGTTCCTACACTAGTAATATAAACAAAGCTCCCCCTATCCTTCAAGCTCCCAATCCGGGTAGAGTTAATAATAGGACTGTACATACTACATGCACCAGTAGTACAAGTTACAGTATATTTGAAAACCCTTGTTATAGATTATACTGTCACTACATAATTACTGTTTCTGGTACCAGTCATTACTACATTAATATTACTACTTTGATTCTTGGTATTCACTGTGAATAAAGCACTGACTGTAAATACAATACATCATAAATAATACCTTTTTAAAGGTCACAATGTTGCTTATAATGAGGTGTATGGGATGCAATTTTTATTTAATATAATTACATTGTACAACAGGTGTTTTTATTTTTGTCCAATCCTATATGTGCAGAATGAAGGAAATCCCCTCCCCAAACCAGTCAAAACTAAAACTGCCTTCGTATTAATCATTACTGCACCTATTATACCATAAAATAATGGCACTAACTACAGCTGCACTCTAACCCCCCTTTTTTAATGGCTCTATTAACAAAACAAGTCTATTGTGGATGCCCACAAAAAAGCACTAGGTCTTGATGTTATTATAATATTTTTTTTAAATTTTAAACAACTCTTATTGAGTATTACTGAGCTTTACAGTGATTCTGTTGACACTTGTTTTTTTACATGTTGACCAAACAAATAAATTCGGAATTTCTGAACCTCTTTTCCCTATATGTAATCTTTTTCTTTGTTTCTTACTTTCTTTCTCTCTTTCTTTCTTCCCCGTTTTCCTTTTCTCATTATGGTTTACTGCACTTTCTTCCCTTCCTCAGTCATCACTCATGAGCGTGGTAATTATGCCTCCTGCCATTTTCTTGTGTGTTGGTTTGTCTCTCTCTCTTTCTCTACGGTTGGTTAGTTGTTGTGTCAGTTATGTCCAGGTCCTGAGTGTAGACCTTCAACCTTCGTCCTTACCTGCTCTGTGCTTGTAGCTACCTTTCTGCCTTACGCTCACCATTCTGTTTTTTTTTTTGGCCTAAACCAATTATAATTATAAATTGCTCTTTCTGGTTAGTTTTGTAATTGGTTATTTTATACAGTTTAAAGTCTTAGTCTACCTCTGAATTCTGAATCATTGTTTTCCACAATAAGCAAACTGAAGATGATATCATGACATCTTGTTTTGGAATATACCATATAAATGTAAATATTTAGATCACAACCTGCCATTTAAAACAGAACATGTGTATGTCTCCCTCTCAGGATTTGTACAATATCTGTCACATTCTAAATATTACTAATATGACTATTTACCTTCCCCCATCCTGATCATCCACCCCAACCCTGTCAGACATGTAGTCAGCTTAAAGTTAGCCGGTTGTTTTCTGCTGGTTGTTATCTGTTGTGAAATGTACAGTCCCCTCTGTGTTCTCAGCCACTGTCTCTGTCTTTTTCTGACTTAGTCTCTTAGAGCTGCAATTAAATAGTATATATATATGTGTGTGTGTGTGTGTGTGTGTGTGTGTGTTTGTATATGCCCTATCCCCATATATATATATATATATATATATATATATATATATATATATATATATATATATATATATAAAACTGCACTAATCATTATTTTTATAATACAAATGAGTATGTTTAATGTAAAAGGCAGGGGCTGTTATAATTAATCGAAAATGACACTTTTCTTCCACTTGCCACTTTTCTTCAAAAAGAACAAAATCTTGTCTGCTTAACCCCAAAATCTTTAATGGCATAAATTGGCTATGTGAGACACAGTCTCACATAGCCAATTTATTGGTTAAGATTAAATCACATAGTAGTTGTGTAGTAGTAACCTATTTTTCATACTGCTAAGAATCTGAAACTGCCTTGAAAGATCCATCATCAGTAGTAGTAGTAGTATTTTATTCCTAAATGAACCGCATTTTTTGCAACATGTAAAAAAAGTTAGCAAAAAGTAATTTGGCAGTGGCAAAAAATTAAAGTATTATATGGGTCTCGCTTATGGTCGTGGCAAAATGACTTGACCATGCCCCTACACGCAGCCCCCAAAGCACGTTTTATCATGTATAAAAATTGGTACACGCACGTATCAAAAAAATCTCTTATACCAAAACCCATATACCAAACCCAACAGGAAGTTGGCCATTTTGAATTTCGTGGTCATTTTCGGCAATGTTTCACGTTTTATTTGAACAAACTCCTCCTAGGGAAAATATTGGATCAATTTCAGAATTGGTCAGTACAATCAAAATAAACTGCAGATGAAAAGTTGTGCTATTTGTGACTGTACGTCAAACGACGTGCCCGTGGCGTTGCATCAAATTTCGATGATTCGCCATAAAACAGATACTGAACTTCAGTGTACAATGTCCAATCTCCACTAAACTTCATATATTCTGTAACAGTCCCACCCTGAACACATCAACATGCCAATATTCAGATATAATGATAACGCCACATACTGGCAACAGGAAGTAAGCGCTGTGCCGCTGTTTTGATCTGATTTACGTGAATTCATGTTGTTATCCGCACGTGTTCTACCAGCACGTGACGCGGCCACAGCACACCATGAGTTGCATGGAGTGCGAGGGCCCGTTCATCGCTGCTTGCAGCTTTAATTAGGAATTATTCTTTTTCTTCGTCTTCTAGTGCATATTTGGCAGCCGCAACATGCTCAATAAGCCTTGTATCTCGAGGAATTATTCTTTTTCTCTGTCTTCTACTGCATATTTGGCGGCCGCAACATGCTCGAAAAGTCATGGAAATTTGCACAAAATTCAAACGTAGAGAAAATTCACGTATGCAATTGTCCCCGTGAACAGGCGCCGCCAGATGGCTAAGCCCCCCCCACCCGAATCAGCCCCCAAGACGCGTAAGGCCAACATGTACGAAAATCCGTACGCATGTGTATTGTGATTAAAAAAAGCAGAAAAGCCTCTTGAACCCATACCCCAAACCCAACAGGATGATGGCCATTTTGGATTTAGTGGCCATTTTTGACGATTTGCACACGTATTTGAACGAACTCCTCCTAGGGAATTTATCGCAATCAACTTCAGATTTTGACACAGCCATCTAAAGACATTCATCATTAAGATTTGTGCTATTTACGACATTCCGTTGAACAGCGTGCACGTGGCGTGGCGTCCAGTGGCATCCAATTTCGAACCTTCGCCAACTTCAGCTTACATGATCCGATTGCAATGAAACTTCATATGTTTGATAAGAGTCCCACCCTGAACACGTCTATGTGATAACGTTCAGTAATAGTGAGAGCACCACTTAGTGGCAACATGAAGTATCACGTTTTATACTTTAATGTTCTACTCCTAGCAGGATGATCAGATCCAGCTGAAATTTACTTATAAAATGCAAAACACATTGTTGATGATATGTGATGACTGTGGTGAGTGGGCATGTCTGTGGCGTGGTGGGAAATTTTGTGTGGAGTGTGAGGTCCCGTCCAATGCTGCTTGAAGCTTTAATTAGTATTATTATTAGGGACCGAGCACTAACAAGTGCAAGGACCCTATTGTTCCTGTTAGAATTATTGTTATTATTAGGGCTCAAGCACTGAAAGTGCAAGACCCTATTGTTCCTGTTAAATTATTATTATTATTATTATTATTTGGTGCCTGTTCGACCGCATATTTCTCCCCCGCAACATGCTCAAAAAGTCATGGAAATTTGCACAAAATTCAAACGTAGCGGAAAAACCAATATGACATTGTCCCCGTGCACGGGCCCCGCCAAACGGCTAAGCCACACCCCCCAGAATCAGCCCCCAAGACACGTAAGGCCCACATGTACGAAAATTGCTCCGCATGTGTATCATAAAAGAAGCAGAAAAGCCTCTTGGACCCATGCTCCAAAACCCATAGGAAGTCTGCAATTTAAATTTTTAATTTTCACTCACGGCATCCATTTTGTGGTCATTTTGACTTTTTGGGCTTGTATTTGAATGAACTCCTCCTAGGGAATTTATCGGATCTGGTTCAAAATTGGTCAGTACAGTCAAAAAATGTTGCTGAATGAACACTGTTCAGTTGGCCATTTTGAATGAATGTCACACTGTGATGTCATTTTTGGCATTTCAGGGCTTCTATTTTAACTAACTCCTACAGATTTTATCATATTGACTTCATATTCCATCACTGCAATCTAGACACATTGGTGATCATTAGTTAATCAAATATTTACTGTGCATCAAACTGTGTGTTCGTGGCATGGCGCTGCATTTCCACCTTTCTCAGTGAAGAGTCTCTCTATGAAAGCTCAAGTCTTTTGCGGTGTCTGAAACACGTGACAACATAGAGTGGTCTCCCTCAGCTTCTGGCGATCAGGGCTTGGGAGTGGGGTGACGTGAAAATTTCATGTTGTTGTCTGCACGTGTTACGACGGCATGTGACGCGGCCGCACCACGCCCCGAGTTGCGTGGAGTGCGAGGTCCCGCCCAACGCTGCTTGCAGCTTTAATTCTTATTATTATTATTACTGCAATTTCGATTTTAATTTTCACCATTATGTGGTAATTTTGACTTTTTGGGCTTGTATTTGAACGAACTCCTCCTAGGGAATTTATCGGATCTGCTTCAAAATTGGTCAGTACAGTCAAGAAATGGTGCTGAATGAACGCTGTTCATATTTTGACTGTACGTTGAAGGGCGTGTCCGTGGCGTGCCGTCAAAGTTGGCCATTTTGAATCAAATGTCAAACTGTGATGTCATTTTTGACATTTCAGGGCTTCTATTTTAACTAACTCCTCCTACAGGATTTATGGGATCTACTTCAAAATTAGTCAGTCCAGTCAAAAAGTGGTGCTGAATGAACGCTGCTCATTTTGTGACGGTACGTTAAAGGGTGTGTCCGTGGTGTGCCGTCAAAGTTGGCCATTTTGAAGTCTGTGGTCTTGTATTTGAACTAACAAACTCCTAGGGAATTTATCAGATCTGCTTCAAAACTTGACAGTACACTTGAATAATGTTGCTGATTAATAGTCGTGTGATTTGTGACTGTACGTTGAAGGGCATGTCTGTGGCGTGCCGTCAAAGACGGCCACTGTGATCTTCTGAGCACAGAAGAAGAAATTGTTGCAGGAAGTGTGCAAATCGGAGAGTAGTGTGTGAAGACATGGACATTTTTGAGGGGGAAATAAACTTTTTTTCGTTGCGAAGGCATTATCTCCGTGATCGATTATTCTGGGCTTTCGGTGAAGCGAGCGGTGGAAAACAGGTAGGCGACAGTACTGTTATGTATGGTTTCTGCACAACGTATGAGTTGAAAAGGCATGTTGTTGTCATGTAAGGGCCCTGATCATGTTGCACAGACATTTTAATTGCATTTTGTGTCTGTTAAGAGGAGCAAAAGGAACTCTTTAGGATATGCCCCTAAGAAGTGTATTATGACTAACTGGGAGCTATGGCCATTAGCTGCAGGAACTCCAGTTTGCTAGCACCGGTTTTGGTCGTTGTTTTTCCTATCAACAGTACTCGGTGACCTCTAGTGATCAAGACTAGGGTAAAAATCTGCTGAAGTTCCCCTTTAAACCAGCGCCTTCAACTTTAAAAGCAGTGAAAACCCGGAACACAGGAAATAGACAAAAGTAAGGTAGTGTGTAAGCTGTGCCAGGCAGTACCAAAATACTGTAATAACACAACAAATTTGTGCAACCACTTAGGCCGACGCCATGCAGATGCTCTGCAGCAACCCGCGGCTAAACCTGTGGATTCAAAACAGACGCAACTCGACAGATCCTTCCTCTGCAAACTGCCGCCAAACTCTGCCCGCGCACAGAAGATAACGGATTCTGTGGCTGTCTTCATATGTAAGGACCTACGACCGTACAGTGTCGTGGAAAACAGTTTTAAGAAGATGGTTTACACACTCGAACCACGATACACCACACCAACACGCAACACATGACGGAAGTCGCCGTCCCGAAGCTTTTAAAATTATCAACAGCTACTCTAATTAATTATTTGTGTAATTCTACTTATTACTGAATCAATATCAAAGCATTTAAATCAATATCGAGTCGAATCGATATCGAATCGAATTGTGACCTAGAGAATCAAAATCGAATCGAATCGTGAGGTTCTTAACAATACCCAGCCCTTTTCTTCATGAGGCTTGGACAGCGCACCTGTGAAGGTGTAGGCAGAAGTACGTTCATTCCACACAGCTGGAGTTGGTGAGGTTGACATGATGTCTTACAACTCAACCTGCAAGGCTAGCAGCAGCGACGATGTGTTCAAAGCCTTTACCGACATGGCCACCACCTTGTAGCCATTCGGTCAGTGACGCCTGAAAACAACCAGCCTTAGAATGAAGGTGGACCCCACCAAAGTCATGATGGACTTGGAGTGGAGGTGGGATGCTTCAGGCCACATAATGCCAAGCTTGCAGCTGCTCTCTTACAGGCTATGTGCAGGTCTGTGCTAGCTAGATAACTCCAAAATTCCTTATGGTGGTACTGGAGGCCAGGTTAATACCATCTAGAGTAACAATATCTTTACATAATTAGTTTTCGGATGTGTTTTGGGCGTACAGTACAAGAACTTCAGTTGTGTGTGACTTTAACATTAGAAAATTGCTGGTCATTAAAGTTTTTATGTCTTTATGTCTTGTAATTTAGCTGGCTGGGGGCTGGCAGCTAAATATTTTTCACTGGTGCTGTGCCACTTTTCCAATTCACTGAGCCTTGCCTCCAACACAGCAAATAAATTACACTTCAAGTGCCATTAACACTAAAGGAGGCAGATGAATAACTTAACATCTGACACACTGAGCAAGAAAGAGCAGCAGAGGGAGAGAGAGAAGCCATGGCAAAGCTAATGTTACTGTAGCTAGTGTGTAAACAATTAAGTAAGTAATTCAGTGAATTTTTTTAAGCAAGTGCTTAAGCAGAACTAGTCTACATTTAAATGTTACATCTAACAGGTAAATGTAATGAGGAATATAATAATTTTAGTGTGGAGCATAAGAACAGCAAACACTGTACACAGGAGCAGTCTGCAATTGGAAATGACACAATACACTTACCGTAGCACATCAGCACATAATTTATCTAACTGTTTATATATGTAAGTATTATCAGTAGTTGCAGCCCTGCTTATTTCTTATCTGTCACCTTTTCATTCTTTCTATTTGGTCTATACCTCCTCTTTGCACTTTACACTTTACAGTGACTGTTTTTGGCCATACTGCTCTGCAGGTGGAAGGTTTTGAACTTTGATCCTTTATTCCCTACTTCCTCCCTTCTTCTCTCTGTTTATTGGCTGAGCTGTGTTCTATATGTCCTTCATGACTGTTAACCTTTCCTTTTTTATGATTTTATGTTTTGACTTCTTTTTACCCCAGTATTGTATTTTAAATCATGATTTGGTTGTAGTTGTAGACATGCATTATACTGTGTATAGCGTCTAGACTAGAAGCAATATTATGTGCATTTACTGTACACCACATCCTTAGTCATTTTTATAATCCTAATCTATGGATTTACTTGTTAAGATATTAAGAATAAAAGGTAAAATGCTCTGAATGAATAATTTTTTTCCAACTTTAAAAAATGTATCACCCTCATCTGGATTATCACTGTGTTGGGAACAAGCCTGAAAGTGCAATCACGCTCATTAAATTGTATATTAAGCTTACTCTTACATTTTTAGAAGCAAATTAAGAATCGAAAAGATTATCTGTCTTGGTAAGAAATAGTGTTGTGTGTTGAGTTACTCACATTAAAGAAAATTCTAAAGATCATATCATATATTTTGTAAATGCATGTGATATCTAATAATTTAACATAAATTATTATATCTACAAAAAGTAAATAGAATATAAGAGGAGTAAATCTCACTTCATACATCAGTCCATCCAGGAATTTAAGCTGTGGCACCACATGAATGAACAGAAATTCAACCCATCCTCACGTTATTTATTTGTTCAGAAAATTAAAAAAACTGCTAATGACTTACAGGAATGCTCAAGAATCACTCACATTCACAAAAGCGAAACGTTCTGCACTAACCAAGATTCTGAAGGAACAGAAGGACGGAAGAAAAACTCATGTATCAGTAGTTTAAGGGTTGTCCAAGGACTGTTGACCTCAAAACCGCTGACATTGACGGTGATATCGTTTAGTAGTGGAAGGAACATTATCAGGAACTCCTGAATCCAAACAACAGACCATTTGTGTAGGAGGCAAAGTTGGATGACTTGGGGGAAGCCCATTACCTTGTAAAGTCACTGTGGTAGTTGAGGCACGAGGGATGGATGAGATTTATTATTATTATTATTATTATTATTATTACATTATACAACTCAAGGTTAAAGAAAAGATACTCAAATTCATATAATAACAATAAAAAATAAAATACATTATAATATAGTTATTAAAGGAATGCACCGATCCACCTTTTTTCACTTCCGATCCGATCCCGATACCTGAATTTAGGAGGAAATAAAAGGAAATAATTCTGCACTGCATCTTTAAATCTGCATTTGAGGGAATGTTAACAGCAGCAGTAGTGATGATAATGTGGTTTTCTCTTCACATGAAAATTCAATTCAATTCAATTCAATTTTATTTGTATAGCGCCAATTCATAACAGAAGTTATCTCAGGACACTTTTCAAATAGAGCAGGTCTAGACCGAACTCTTTAAAACAAAAGAAAACAGATCTTTTATGGGCTAGGCCAATTTTTTTCAAATTGACTGGATTTAGAAGATTTTGACCCTGGCAATTGCTGCGCTTTCAGATGCTGCAACTGAAAGGCTAGCTCCTTCAAACTTCTGTTTTTGTTCTAATCTGTTTTCAGCTTTATTGTTGAAATACAAATTACCTATGACAGAAATAAAGATTGGATTAAAGAGCAGGAGACCTTGAGGACGATCACCCCAGCTAGATTGACTGGCTGCGACCAGCCCATCCACAGCAGGTTCCATTGCTCCAGGAAGAGAAGTGATTGGACATTCATCCAGATTCAAAAGATGCACTACAGAATTGTCTATGTATATAAATATGTGTATACATTGATTGAACTTATTTGTGTTGTATTATGATAATACATTTCCTTGATTCCTTGAAATATGATTATTTTTATAGAAATTAGCTATTGCAGCTTTAAGACCTTGACGACATGGCTGCAAAGAGGGATGTGTGGGCCACCGTATATTGGTTGGGTCATAGGGTGGCTTGAGCCCATCCCAGCAGTGAGAAGCAGGGTACACACTGGACAGGTTCTGGATTGAATCCTGGATGTTAATGCTTTGAGGCAACAGTAGTTTCTAGCAGTTATCATGTAGTATGCTTATTGTTAAATTAACTTCTTATTACAAAGTGCCACGTAATAACAATTCTGATATGTTTTTAGTGGTCAGATCAATTTTTGTTTTGCATTTCAACTTTACATCAGCAAAATCAGCACAAATTCGGGCAAAATTTTGGGCCATATGTATAACTAAAACTCTGATATCCTGGTGGGACTGATCTATAGATAAGAAAATATTGCTTTGACACTAAATTGCCTGCATTGAAAAGGAAAAGTGCACTTTCAGTTTTGTTTCACACCTACAGATTTTCCTCCCTCAGCCCAGTTCAGTTTGTTGTCATACTGTATGGATGTATTGTAAATGTTTCTGTTGATGTTATTGTATACGTTATCGTGTGGTGCATCATCTTCCTTTCTCTGACCTTTGCCTTTTGCATTCCATGATTCAAAGCAGCATTTTAGCATAGTCAGAGCAGCTGTCCTCAACTTACTCAATGTATTTGTAATCTATGCAGAATCTATGTATTAATTACTTGATTAATTTGTTAATTAATGAATTCATTCATTCATTCATTCATTCATTCACTCATTTGTTTATTTACCAGGGAAAATGCACATTAATCAATATTGCAGTTAACACTTGACTGTAAATCTACAATCTGCAAGCAGCAACCATGTTTTCTTCAAACCAAACCAACTTTGACAAAACATAAAGTGTCTAAATCCAGTCCTGACTTTAAAATGCTGCAGTTTAAAAACCAGTCCACTTCAGTCTACCACCGAGTGCTGTGGCTGCCCACCACTCATCCAAGATTGTGTCTGTTTGTGCGTTTGTGTTAGGTAAGATTGGTGTATGACCATACACCTTTTACTAACTGAAGGATAACACTGGATATTTCCAGTTAGCACCATCTCTTTTTAATAATTATTCACTCTCCATCTTCTTGTCTGCCTGTCCCTTTCCTATATGTTATCTGCTTTTGTCTCCTCTGTTCTGACTCTATTTGTGTATGTGTGTCTGTATATATGAATGTGTGTGTGCATTCATGTGTATGTTTGCACATGCCTGCGATCTTGTGTGTACGTTTGTGCATATGTGTGTGTGTGTGTGTGTGTGTGTGTGTGTGTGTGTGTGTGTGTGTGTGTGTGTTTGTTTCTTCTCTCTGGCCAGGTGAGAAGGTCATGCAGGATGATGAGTTCACCTGTGACCTTTTCCGCTTCCTGCAGCTGCTCTGTGAGGGACACAACTCAGGTGTGTGTGCTTACTGAGTTTTTAGGTCTTAATCAGTCAGGTAGTGTTGCAAAATATTTTTTTGAAATCGCTGGTTACAGAGGAGAATTTGAGTGTAAATTAGACTACTGGCAACCAAGAGAATTAATGCAGATTTACTCAGGTGATGACTCCTCATACCATAAGCTTTCCTCTATGTAGATTACATACTGATGTCCGAGGCATAACATAAAATGTCATGCAATATTTTACTGAATTGTTACTTCTACTGTATTAATTCATTTGAACACATACCAAATACAACATTGCATTATTTTGCGATATCCTGTTTCAGACTTCCAGAACTACTTGAGGACGCAAACAGGGAACAATACAACCGTTAACATCATTATCTCTACTGTTGACTATCTCCTCAGAGTACAGGTTTGCTCCTTTTGTTCACTTCTGCTGGTTCATAAGGGACAAATTTGAAGTTGAAACCAAAATGAAATTAGTCTTCACTGAGTCATATAGTCCTTATACAGCTGTGACCATTCCCATTCAGTGGAATTTGAGTTTTTGGGAGGAATTTTGAGGAATTGTTTGTTAAGAGACCTTCACTGTAAACCTAAGACACACAACAAATACTTTTATCCTTTACACTGTAAAAAAAAAAAAAAAAAGAGAAAACTCATCATTAAGTCAACTCCTCTAATCTTTTGTTAGAATAATTTAATAATAATAATTTTCTTTGGAAAAACTTAAATCTTTGGGTTTAAAAACAGAAAACTCTGTATTTTACTTTTTTTTTCACTTACTGTAATTTAAAAAAACAGTGAGCTGCCAACCCAATTTTTCATTTTGTGCTGTAAGTTTTTACAGTGTTTTTATTATTGTATTAGTTTTGGCAGTTTTTTACAGTTACAGTTTATGCAGGCGTATTTGCAGAGATACAGCATCAAGTATAGTCCAACCCCCATTAAAGCATTACTTACAAACATTACTAAACATAGTAACAATGAGCACATCCCCCAGTGTAAAAAAATACAGAGTTTTACAGAGCCACCATCTGGCTTATTTTGGACTAGCTGTTTTTACTGTTTTGCACACCTGGAGTTAAGCTATGTAGTTTATAATGTTCACTTTATCATCAATGGTTTTGAAAATAGTTGAAATGTGCCTTGAACTAAAGCAAACATGATCCTGCTTTTTAATGAGAAAGTGAAAGAATGGATTTTCTCTTTTTTCCGTCTGCTTGTTGTTGTTTTACTAACTTTCATAATTCTATAGTTTTTTTTAATTCATCACACTTTACCAATACATTCTGTTCCACACAGTATTCTACTCATTCTGGTACTGCTGTTACTAATACTACTACTACTAATAATAATCTGTTATTATTAAAGCTGCAGAAGGTAACTTTTATAAAAAATATTTTTTTGTCATATTTGCTGAACTTTCACTTTATCCTGACAGTAGTACATATGACAAATAATCTGGGAAAAAATAGGATTCATCTGAATAGAATAGAAAAAACTTTATTGTCCCCGTGGGGAAATTTGTCTTGGGCACAGTGCTACAGTTTATTGCTTCAGAAACAAGCATACCTCAACAACAGACACACATCAAAAAACAATTACAAAATTAACATTAAAAACATCTTAAAACATGGAAGACGTAGTGTCTTCCACATTAACACTGACAATGTGGCAACTTAAAAAGAAACTGTAAGAGACCATAATAATTAAAGTGCTACGGTGCTGGTTTGTTTATCGCACATTGCCGTATTGCATGATTTAGTATTCCAATAACTCCAGTTCAGCAGCTTGATAGAAGTAGGGACGAACGATAACTTTAGTCTGTTTGATTTGCTCTTTCTGGCTTGTTGGCATTTCCAAAAATCCACCAGACCTAGATGAAAAAAAAACAATCATTGTCATTCCCAGGGATGTGATGTAATTTGTTTACTGTATTTAACTACCTTGGAATGAAACTCAACAGTTGTTAGCTCTGATTGGTTGTTTTTGTTCAGATGCCCAAATGAAAACCATACTAGTGTGCATTTTTGGTCAGGCTTAGAGGTAGCCATGAAGAAGCAGAACTTTATCATCTGCAAAAAAGCAGTGATGTAATCCAAAAATCAGCATATAGGACATTCTTCACTTCTCAGCTGCATTCTCACTCCAGGCATTATTGAATCTTGGCTCTGATTGATTGCTTTTGTTTAGGCCCAGTGGATTCTTGCAAATACCATTAGGAGTGCTACAACAAGTCAGAGGAACCTGCTTTTTTCACAGATTATCTGTCTCATTTACTACTGTCAGGATATAGTGAAATATTCAGCAAATATGACAAAAAATGAATAAGAATTACCTACTGTAGCTTTCAACTGTTAAGACACTATCTTGAATGTATTTACTCATAGTTAATCTCTCTAATTCTTGTCTTCTTTTCCTCTCCTCTGCTTACTCTCCTTACCCTCTCCTCCAGGAGTCTATCAGTGATTTCTACTGGTATTATTCTGGGAAAGATGTTATTGATGAACAGGGCCAGAGGAATTTCTCCAAAGCAATAAATGTTGCCAAGCAGGTTTTCAATACACTCACAGAGTACATCCAGGTATGAGAAGGCACAGCAGTTAGAATGAACTGACACCTAGTTGTCAGGGCATTCTCAAAAGTTGTTGAAAAGGTCCGAATTGAGGCTGTTCAACAGTCATTTACAATTATTCAATAGTAATTATTAGAAGTAATTTTCACCGCAGTGAGTTGTTGCTTTATTCAAAGGCTAAAATTAAGTAAGGCAGAAAGATTCTTTACTTGTGATAATAAATATTTATAGTCACTGTTAAAATAAGAAAGGGATTGTGTTTTTACTTTGTAGGGTAATGGGCAGCTTTAAAGGCAATATGACACGACAGAGATATTCTGCAATATCTTTAGGCTGTAACCGAAGCAAATACCTATTTAAATGTAGGAAATCTGCTGAGTAAAGGTAATTGTTGGTGATTGTGATTTGTACTGATGATGGTCTAGGGTCCATGTACTGGCAACCAGCAGAGTTTGGCCCATAGTCGATTGTGGGACGCTGTGGTGGGGTTTCTACATGTCTTCGCTCATATGCAAATGAAACTGTCTCAGGTGAGTGTAGGAGGACTCACTGCCACTGGGAGCATTACAGCATTACACACAGACACAATAGTCCGCTGACAGATGTCCCTTTATTCTGGAGGGCTCACACACTTTAACACAAATATAAAACTCTTTTTGTACTATCTGCCTTTGTGGTTGCCCTGCTCTGGCATGTGTCCCTTTACAGTTCCACAGTTAAACAAAAGAATATTTATTTTTCCTTAATCTCTTTTTTTATTTTTATTTTTAAGTTCTGCTTTTATTGCGTTGCTGTTTGCACAATGAAACTTTTTTACATTCTACAACTGTTTAATGCATTCTGATTACTACATATATTGTATCGTTTTGTGGGGCCAAGAAAACCCTTAGACGGACTGTTGAGCCTGTCTATACTCTATGCAGCTCTGTAGCTGTCATCTAGTATTTCAGTATTTCAAAACCTTTAATCTAGGTCAGAATGATACAGATTTTGTAATCCCTTTTTTATTGTTTTCCCAGATAAAACTGATCTTGTAGGTTTTGTCCTGGTATTTCAAAGAATTTTCAGATAGGATCATTCTGACCCAGATAGGACAAGATCAGGATTATAGAATCTAGATTTCAAATAGGCCTCAAACTGTTGGTCAAAGAAATACAACAAAACAAAACATTGCATTAAGTTCGATGGGAAAATGTTGGGAAGTGTAAATCTGTTAGGGTTAGGGTCTATTATTGATATTCACTTATCTGCATTAATGTTTATTGTTCCTTAGTTTTAGTAAAAATATTTATATTAATATGGGGGGTATTTGTCAGTGGGAAGATTTAAGAAGTATTACAATACAAACACTACACTTTCTGAAAGCAATTCACTCACAGTCACAAAGACATCCCAGTCTCAAAGAACATATGCACACGTCTTGTTGGGTTGACAAGTTTGACCAAATTTACAAAGACTAAAACTAATGATATTTCTTCTATATTTATTTTATCTTAGTTAGTTTTGTAAGTAAACAATATTTACAACGTTTACGCAAATTTATAGGACCTTCACATCAAATGTTATTTTTAGACAGAAAATTATCAATGAAGAAACCTTTCGGCAGTAGTTTCTGAAATGGTTAAATAAAGTGTAGATGGCTAGGACATTTTTAACACATCTAACCCTTCTTTCTTTCTATTTTTCACCACAGGACTCCAGTCAGATTGAGTTACTGAAGGAATTGATGGATCTGCAGAAGGATATGGTGGTCATGCTGCTGTCTATGCTAGAGGGTAGGTTTGCTTTCATGAGTACATCAGTATTAAACATTAAAGCAGGAATGTCTTCCTGAAAGAGCTGATAGAATGACATAAACTCAAAGTTATCACCAGGGTATTTTCACTCTTTATTGACAATCATTAAATCTTAAAAAATCGCAATGTGGTTGTAAAAATGTTTTGTCATGTGTTAAAAAAAGCACTGGTATCAGTGCATGGACATGCAGCTGAGGATATGAGTTTTGTCCAACAAAATGAACAGTGGCAACAGTAGGTAGAGATCAACAAACACTTTAAAAACTAAAAAGAAATATCTTTCCAAAACAAGCTAACTGGTTCTACTAAATCAGTGTGGCTATATTTTTTGAGAAATCCCACAGTTATTAGCATTGTCATCTCACAGCAAGAAGGTTCTGGGTTCTAATGTGTACTGGTACAGGGCCTTTCTGTGTGCAGTTTGCATGTTCTCCCTGTGTTTTCTCTTGTTTCCCTTACCATCAAAACATGTATGTAAGGTTAATTTCCCAGTCAGTCCCTACTGGCTCAGATCTGGAATTGGTCCCCAGGTGCTGCATAGTGGCCACTGCTCCTAAGACTTAGGATGGGTCAAAAGCAGAGAATTATCCAAGAAACAGTAAAGCATAACTTAATAAGAACCCATGGTGACACGTGTGTCACAAACACTTAAAATGTCCTTGAATATTCCATATGGTCCGTGTATCTTTTGGTCATTGGATTTTCCTTTCAGAAACGGGTATTAAAAAACAGAAAACGAGTGGTTATTTGATTTTCGTTTTAAAATACAAAAATTAAAATTGAAATACAAGGCGTTTTTCTTTTTCATGGTCAAAAAGGGACGAGCGAAATTAAAAAAATTATTCGATTTTCATTTTCTATTTCATATAACAAAAAATAAAATCACTAGAAAACAGAAACGGAAAAAAAGCCTGTTTTTTCATATTCTGAGACCGGATGTTGTCATTTACAGGACGGTGCTGTGTAGAAGAAACAGTAGGCTAGTGGACTGCAGTCAATCCAGCCGTGAGTCCGATCTCCGTGGTCAAAACAGCCGCACTTAAATTTAGAGTGTACAAGTATTCTCAGCATTATGGTAAATGCGGAGAAACAGCGTATTTACTTCCGGTTTTCAAAAAAAAGGTATTTAGAACAGTAAGCTATAATTAAGATATATTACATTAAAGTGTTTCATGCGCCCCTGATGAATAAAAAAACACTTTATATCAAGTATCTTTACTGCACCAGTGTGGAGAAATGCCAAAATAAAAGTCTCATATTTATGCCTCCAGAGATTGCATATTTGACCATATTTGAGGTACTGTAAAAACATATTGCTCAGTGTTTCCTGGCTACTGATGGTATATTTGACTTTTACACATATGAGACTACAAACATACTTAATATCAAGCATTTTTACTGTACCAATTTGGAGAAATTCAACAATAAAAGTCCATATTTGTACCTCCATGTGGCATATTTTCATATATTTGAGCTACTGTAAAAACACTTTGCTCAATAATTCCTGGCTATGGATGGTGTATTTGACTTCTACACATCTAAGACTACAAGTATACTTAATATCAAGCATTTTTACTGTACCAATTTGGAGAAATTGAAGAATAAAAGTCCCATATTTATACTTCCAGATTCCATATTTTCTTTATTATTTTTGAGCTACTGTAAAAACATATTGCTCAGTATTTCCAGGCTATGGGTGAAGCATTTTCATTATACTTCAATAATGCTGCAGTAATCATGACAAAATTTCACACAAATGTTTAATAACATCTTGATAATATAAACACTAAACACTAAACACAAAATCCTACACAATTCTAGTTTGTTTACTTTTCACACAAAATGCAATGCCAGTCCACATTCTTCTTATTTTGCAGCTCTGCTGTGTCCATTTGTAGGTAAAAGGGAAAAATAATTAGTTTTAACTTCAAAACACCATTGTACCTACTGTCTCTTCCTCACATATTATTTTTTATATTATTCAGTGTGACAGCTGTTGCAGGTGGTTCCACATACAGTTTACATTTTTACAGTAGCTCAAATATAAGAAAATATGGAATCTGGAAGTATAAATATGGGACTTTTATTCTTCAATTTCTCCACATTGGTACAGTAAAAATGCTTGATATTAAGTATACTTGTAGTCTTAGATGTGTAGAAGTCAAATATATCATCCATAGCCAGGAATTATTGAGCAAAGTGTTTTTACAGTAGCTCAAATATAGGAAAATACCACTTGGAGGTACAAATATGGACTTTTATTGTTGAATTTCTCCAAATTGGTACAGTAAAAATGCTTGATATTAAGTATGTTTGTAGTCTCATATGTGTAAAAGTCAAATATACCATCAGTAGCCAGGAAACACTGAGCAATATGTTTTTACAGTACCTCAAATATGGTCAAATATGCAATCTCTGGAGGCATAAATATGAGACTTTTATTTTGGCATTTCTCCACACTGGTGCAGTAAAGATACTTGATATAAAGTGTTTTTTTATTCATCAGGGGCACAACACTTTAATGTAACATATTTTAATTATAGCTTACGGCTCTAAATACCTTTATTTTGAAAACCGGAAGTAAAAACGCTGTTTCTCCGCATTTACCATAATGCTGAGAATACTTGTACACTCTAAATTTAAGTGCGGCTGATTTGACCACGGAGATCGGACTCACGGCTGGATTGACTGCAGTCTACTAGCCTACTGTTTCTTCTACACAGCACCGTCCTGTAAATGACAACATCCGGTCTCAGAATATGAAAAAACAGGCCTTTTTTCCATTCCTGTTTTCTAGTGATTTTATTTTTTGTTATATGAAATAGAAAATGAAAATCGAATAATTTTTTTATTTCGCTTATCCCTTTTTGACCACGAAAAAGAAAAACGCCTTGTATTTCAATTTTAATTTTTGTATTTTAAAACGAAAATCAAATAACCACTCGTTTTCTGTTTTTTAATACTCGTTTCTGAAAGGAAAATCCAATGACCAAAACATACACGGACCGCCTTGTATTTCAATTTTAATTTTGTTGTTTGCTTGTTTTTTGTTACTAAGGTAAGTTTAAACCCATTTGACAATTCTAATACTTTAATAGTGTGTCCTGCATTGCATTTAACCTGTTCTGACCATATTTCCTGAACAAAATAATATGAAACAAGTTACGAAAATATCGCTGTGACGTATACGTCACATCAGGCTTTTTTTCCTTTTTTTTTTTTTAAGTTATTTTTTGGGCCTTTTTGTTGCCTTTATTTTATAGGGACAGCCGAAGATAGACAGGAAAGGGGGGTAGAGAGAGTGGGGATGACACGCAGCAAAGGGCCACAGGTTGGATTTGAACCCTCGGCCGCTGCAGCAAGGACTCAGCCTCAGTACATGGGTCACCAGCTCTACCGACTGAGCTAACCGGGCGCCCATCACATTGGGCTTTTAACCGTAAAGTCGTCACGGAAAACCTGATGTGACGTCTGTGTCACAATAACAAAAACGGTAATAGACCACCCAATTAATTTCACTGTTTCAATTATTTAGAATTAATATATGCCCTGTTGTTCAATTTAAAGTAGAAGAAATATAAAAAAAAATACTGTCAAATTATTTAGGTATTAATAAAATATTTATTTACCATAAACTCCCATTGTTATGTCACAAAACAAATATTTGACCTTTAAAAAAAAAAAAACATCAGAAATGTGTTCTATGAGTCTGTGGTATACCCCCCATAATTTTCCTTCAAGGAGAAATGGGTCTGGGTTCTTAGCATTGCAAATAATTTTACAAAGGCTTTGTGTGAATGGTTACAATGTGTCATGTTTTGTTGTGGTTTCAAGAGAATTCCTATAATGTAATTGTGTTAAGGTAATGTGGTGAATGGGACCATTGGGAAGCAGATGGTGGACATGCTAGTGGAGTCTTCCAACAACGTTGAGATGATCCTCAAGTTCTTTGACATGTTCCTCAAACTGAAAGACCTGACCTCCTCAGACGCCTTCAAGGAGTATGACCCTGACGGAAAAGGCAAGGCTGTCGCCATAGTTGCTTTCTTCATGTCATGTCATGGAAACATCAGAATCATTCCAATGTTTTCCAGAGTGACATAGACCAAGCTTCTGATTATTTATACATTTATAAATGTACGTACAGGTGTCATCTCCAAGAGAGACTTCCATAAGGCCATGGAGAGCCACAAACACTACACCCAGTCTGAGACAGAGTTCCTGCTCTCCTGTGCCGAGACTGATGAGAATGAACTCCTGGACTATGAGGAATTTGTGGAGCGTTTTCATGAGCCAGCCAAGGTAAATGCCTTGATGTTTCCAAATCTAAAAAGGGCCTGAAATTGTTACATTTAAACCATTCAGAATGATTAAAATCTATTTTTAGCAAACAGTTTTGAGGGGGTTTAGTAAAAGAGCTTTCTTGCTTATTCTATTTCTATGTCTTTGTTTTATTATTCCTCTGCATTTCCATTAGTTGGACTTTACTTTACTTTACTTTATTCTTAAAGTAGTTGATTTTTTTTTTTAGCAATATCAGAGTGGAAGTGGCAATTTGGTACAATTCTTTGTAATTTTTTCTATTTCTTGCTTAATGTGGCGCACACACTATATGGGGGCTTGGGCTTATTGATTGGCAGCTCAGTCAGACATTGATGTATCCCTTTGTTTCACTGGTTTTCTGGAGCATAAAAATGACCCTACTTAGAGTAAAGTGGGATAAGAAGTCTTGACTTTGTTTCTAAGCTTAATTTAGAGAAAATGACATAGTAGTTGAATTTCAAAATGTAGAACCTTTTTTACTCATTTGATTCCTATCATAGTGTTTAAAAACTGTCTCTGCATTATGTATCTGAAAGTAATTTTTTGAGAAATCATTCTGGTGCCATCCTTGGGCCTTTATCACATGATTTTAGAAGTTGAGTGGTTCTGAACCTATATAGTGAGGAACATGCTGAAAAAGGAAACTGTTTTACTCAAAAGGAAAAAAATCACTTTAAACTGTTTCAAAAGGACATTGGCTTCAATGTGGCAGTTTTGCTGACCAACCTGTCGGAGCACATGCCTCATGACACCCGGCTGCAGACCTTCCTGGAGCTCGCAGAGAGTGTCCTCAACTACTTCCAACCCTATCTGGGCCGTATAGAGATCATGGGCAGCGCCAAGCGCATTGAGAGGGTCTACTTTGAGATCAGCGAGTCCAGTCGAACACAGTGGGAGAAACCTCAGGTAAAGATGGTGCAGCATATGAATCAGTTAGCAGAAAGTCACTTGAAGGGGACAACATCGGATTTGGTTACATTGTCTTCATGTATTTATCTTATGCCCAGGTCAAAGAATCCAAGCGTCAGTTCATCTTTGATGTGGTGAATGAGGGAGGGGAGAAGGAAAAGATGGAGCTGTTTGTGAATTTCTGCGAGGACACCATCTTTGAAATGCAGCTGGCGGCTAAGATGTCTGATGCTGGTGAGCGATCAGCAGTCAAAGAGGAGAGTGAGCGAGAGAAGCCAGACGAGGAAAGCGCTGAGATGGGCTTCTTCTCTGTCACCACTGTCCGCATGGCACTGTTAGCTCTGCAATACAATGTCATGCTGCTCATAAAGGTAAGAGCACACCCAACACCAAACACATCTGACAATTAAAAAGGTTTGGGGGTTGTTTTGGAGAATTTTAAAGAAATAGTTGAAATTATTATGCTTATTTGTTGTTGTTTTTTCAAAAGTGCGATTCAAGGTGATTTCAGTGTCCAAACTATATGTATGAAATTTGGCGTGCATACTGAATGGGACTAATGAAGTTTATGTTTTTTCTGATGTTTGAGTTAAAGTGAATGAAGTTTATGATATTGCGCCACTACTCTTCAATGGTAAATGGATGGACCTGTACTTGTATAGCGCCTTTCTAGTCTTCCGACCACTCAAAGCGCTTTTACACTACGTGCCACATTCACCCTTTCACACAGCGATGGCAAAGTCCATCGAACAGAAACTAACATTCATACACATTCACACATCGGTGCACAGCATCGGGAGCAATTCGGGGTTCAGTATCTTGCTCAAGGATACTTCGACATGTGGTAGGAGCCAGGGATCGAACCAACAACCTTCCGATTAGGGGACAACCCGCTCTGCCTCTGTGCCACAGCCGCCCCTATGGGTGATGACAAGAATACATCTTTGGTGAATCAACCTCGTGCATGAATCATCATACATCAGTAATAGCCTGATTTTTGGCATGAACCATGGTCATGAAGATACAGAAAATCTCACTCTCAAGAAGAAAGCTAATAAGCGCACTTGGCACTTGCCCATAACTTGGTACAATTCTTCAAAAATAGTCTGAATTTTGACTTTTTTTAACTAACAGGTATCTGAGTGAGAGAATTGTACAAAACTACAAAAATGCTTTTGTAAGATTGTGCAGTGTCCCAAGGCCTCAAAGACATTTGCTGTGGTTTATGTGTTCATAAAACTAGATGCACCGTTGCTGTTTGATTGGGTTACTTGATAATAAATATTGGGCATTGAACAGTCCTCAACATAAAGCAGTAACATCATCATTACCACTGAACAGTCAATTCACCTATATATTTTCTCTGTTTTCAGGTGCTGTCCATGAAGAGTTTAAAGAAGCAGATGAAGAAGATAAAGAACATGACAGTGAAGGACATGGTGACCACCCTAGTGTCCTTCTATTGGTCAGTATTGCTGGGCCTTCTACACGTGGCATTCAGTGTTGCCCGAGGATTTTGCAGAATATTCTACAACACCTTCATGGGAGGCAATCTGGTGGAGGGGGCCAAGACCATAAAGGTTACTATACATAAGAATATAGCAGTGTATCCACAGGTCATTGAAACAGACTGAATATTGTAAAAGTTGCTACTAAATACATGAAGTGTCTCTATCCCCAGGTGTCAGAACTGCTGGCCAACATGCCTGACCCCACCCAGGATGAGGTGCGGGGTGAAGGAGAGGACAGAGAGAAAAGACCTTCTGACCGAAGCTCCCCAAAGGAGGACCTGGCTGACCTGGCTGTCAACACCAGTGAGACAGAGCTGCTGTCAGATATTTTTGGCCTAGACTTAAGAAGAGAGGGGGGACAGTACAAGATCACACCACATAACCCCAACGCCAGCCTGACTGAACTGCTCAGCTCCCCAGTTCCTTCCACAACCCCACCAACAGCAACCCCACCTGAGCTCAGACGGACACATCAGGTTAGTCTAAGGCTACGTTCACACTGCATGCACAAGTGACCCACATCAAAAAAGTTTTGCTCATATGTGACTGAGATCTGTTTTTTTTTTTCATGAAAGTGTGAACAGCAGAAATCACATGGAATCTGATCTTTCAGTTCTGATTTGGGTCACTTTTATATGTAGTCCAAATCCGATACAGGTACATTTAACAAATAATATAAACAGCCAAACAAAAGAAATCAGATCCAAGCACCAAATCGAATTGAGCACTAAGGCTTGCAGTGTGAACTTAACCTATAATCTTTTTTTTTTCTTTTCATTATTGCTTTCGTTCTTTCCAGTCTTTTTTTTAATTCAGTCTATTTTAAAATAGTCATATCAAGGATCAGTTATTTAGGATTGGTCACTGGAAACAATCTAAACCATCACTATTGCCATCAATTGTACCAAAATAACATCTGTGTCATAGAAACAAGGAAACTGTAGAGTCTATTGCCATGCTAGCAGCTTTGTGAAGCTGTACTTAGGCACAGGTGCTATTTGCAAAATGCTGATGTAAGCAGGCTAACATGCTGATGTTATAGCGCCTTACTTCCGACCACTGAAAGTGCTTTACACTACATGCCACATTCACCCATTCATACAGTGATGGCAAAGCCCATCCCAAACAAAAACGAATACTTATTCACACACCAATGCACAACATCGGGAGCTGTGACATGCAGGGGGAGGAGCCAGGAATAGAACTGCCAACCTTCTGATTAGTGGACGATCTGCTCTAATTCCTGAGCCGCAGCCGTAATGTTTACCATGTTCACTGTTTGACATTTTCTAATTAGCACTAAGTACAGCTGATGACAATGTTGTTTTGCAGTTTTATTTTATTTGAATTCAAGATTTCTTTTTCAAGTAGATCTCAGTATAAGAGAGTACATTTTTTGGTTTTGGCTCCTTGACATTAGAGCAACAAAAATTAAAAAGAAAGAGAAAGAAATAATATAATAAAAATAATGTGCTTTGAGTGCCAGGTGTTGTGTATGTGACCCTACTGGTCCAGGCCTTCATCGTGGTTGGGGTGGTTAGGGTCTCTGATGATCGTATGGGCTTAACCATACCTGTCAGCATTCCTGTTTCTCCTGTATTTAAGGGTCATCTCTTTTATTACCACCAACTTTATTATGGGTCATTTACGCAGTTGCTCTGTTCAAGCAGGTGTGCCAGCTACAGTCAAAATGTCAGGGCAGGATGGTATTCCACCTAAAAAGAATTAAAAATACACCTGCAAAGTCTCTGAACAGTTTGCATTTACAATATCTACTGGAAGCCACACATGCATACTCATGGACACGGTAAGTAGAAAGAGAGAGAGAGCTCCTGTAGATGAGAAAACAAGAGGGCAAATATGTAATATTGTAAATTGCTTTGGCAACAACATATTTCTGTTCATGCCAATAAAGCTCTTTGAATTGAATTGAGTGAGAATATGGGCAGAAGTGTCGACATGATATGAAAACTTTCTTTGATCATGAAGCCTTTGTGGCTGTACAATTCTGTGGTTTATCAATAAACTGTATGTACCACACTGCAGACTGGAGCTTGTATATGCGCTGTCTCCTCTTCTGAAACATGTGTATCTTCTCACTGCACCGCATTATTATACTGTATTCCCGTTTGGCCGTCGTGATTGCTCTGTGGACATCATCAGATATTTGGTCATAAACCAAAGATGATTGCACTACAGGAAAAGTCAGAGGATCCTAAATGATATTACAATTTGTCCTTCAAACCAGTGAGAGGAGCACATAGAAAATATCAGCATCATATATCCCCCATATCAGATTATGAAAATTATTCTTGAACTTTAGCAGAAAACTGTGTTCATGTAGGATTAGTCATAAGAAGAAACTGAGTGAGAAAATTTTGCTAATATGGCTAAAATACACTGTATTTAAACTGGCTTGTTTGTCTGTGTGTTTTCTGTTTCAGTCGAAGAGCTTTTCCTCAGACGAGAAGGAAGCAACAACAGAGACAGAATGTGAACCGGAGAAAACGTCAGAGTATGTATACATTTTGTTATGCAGTCTGTTTACTACAACAGACATTGTAACAGTCCAGACAAAAACACATGTATGGATAGTGGAGACATAAAAGTACAGTACAGGTGGTACACAGGCAAGAAAAGCCATAAACCACAACCTGAGAGTTACAACCTGACATCCCTACTTATTGTATTGTTTATTATGGGGAGGAATCTAATGACTAGTGGTCAGAGCCAGGATACACTCACTATTTACTCACTGTTTTGACAAGAAGATCCACTTACTAGCTTTCTCAATGGCATCCTCAGTAGACAGTGTTATCTCAGCTGCTGCATATTTAGGTCACATGTGCCATGCCACAGAAGAAAAGCTAGTAAGTGAGCATTCAGTAAATAAATTGTTAATAGCAAATATGATTAGTAGGTAGTCCATCATTTTTTTAATAAATGTGTACATGCTAAATACCAAATTTTTTACTAAATTTACAATTTACTTTTTGTTTATTTTAAAAATCATTACTTGGTGTGTAAACAGAAGGGGGTTTCATATCAATGGCAATTCCTTTGATTAATAGCTTGGTATTATAACATCATAGTATGTAACAGCTGCCTGAGCTTCAATTAGACCACTAAAATCTCAAAATACAGTGAATAAGGGAAGCCACAGTGAAGCAGTATTATAGAATATGTATTGTTTTGTAATTTCAGTGGTGGACATGTAGAGAAACAAGAGAAACAACAGAAGAATGAGAAGATGAAGCCAAAAGTGAGAAGGCATCACACATCAAAGTCTGATGAACCTGATCTACAGGAGTCTGCCTTCTTGAAGAAGATCATAGCCTACCAGAGGAAACTACTGGTAAAGGGACATTTTCTGCCCACTTAATGGTGCTGGTCAACTCTCTCTGTCAACGTAGTATATTCCAGTCCAACTGTAAACATATTCACACACAGTGTGCGGTGTGGACCACAATTCTGGAGCAGTTGATTTATTTAAAGCTTCCGTAGGTCATTTTTGACAGTAGTACATGAGACAGATTATCTGTAAAAAAATTTAAAAATAAATGAATCAGGTTCCTCTGGCTTTATTAAAGTTTTAGAAAACATAATGTTATAAAACAGTACTGCAGCTTAACTGCATTAACTGCTCCCCCTGTAACATCCAGAAACACATTAGTAGCTCCATTTTCTTTGTCCCCTGCAGAACTACTTTGCCAGGAACTTCTACAACATGAGGATGCTGGCGCTGTTTGTTGCCTTTGCAATCAACTTCATCCTCCTATTCTATAAGGTACCGGTATACAACGGATGTTGCTATCTACTTTTTAGATGATTTTTTGCGATGAAATTGCCAGGGAAAGTAAACATTACAAAAACAGTTTTGTTTTTTTAGTATATTTGATATATAAAATCAAGGCCACTTGTTCCAGTGAGAATAAAATCGCTATTAGTTGACATAACGTTTTTTTTTTTCTGTGATTCATAGAACTTGGAGGGAACTACAACGATTTATTTGTGGAAAGGTTGCTGTAATGGGACAAGTCACCCAACTTTCCAGTTCCCTTCAGCTCTACAGAGCTTGTTAGGAATTTTCAGCAGATGGACCTTTTTCACAGCAGTCATTTTCATGTCAAAAAAGCTGCTGTGGAAAGTTCTGTTGTTTTGGTTTAACTTTACTATTTTGGTTTAAGCAGTGCCGTGCAGTTTGTCATTCATCCAAATCCCGGATGTTGATGGAGCAGGTCTCTATATACATTAGTCAGACATTAGTCAGGAGCAGCCTTCCTCTTCTTGGAGTTGTGTATTCTGAGATACACTCCCATACAAGATGCCTGACTAAATGGTAGCATCAAAAATGTAATTGGGGAGGCTGGTATTTAGTATGGAGCTGAAAAATTGTTTTATCAAAGTGGGGAGACGTCAGGCCAATCATCACAAGGGGATCCCCGTTGCCAGAATGTAAGAGCCCTCACATTTGCAGCCCAATAATTTTTATATTCTTCTGTAAGTGGTCTTGGGGGGAGTTTATTGGCCCAAACAAATGAAAGAATAGCAGAATCCAGTTGTTTAAAGAAAAACATAAATTTATTTATTTATCATGTCGAAGAAATTAATGTTTAGTAAATGTTTAGGGTATCTGGAAATCTTATGTCCAAGGTAGGTACAATTGGTGGTCACTAATTTAAAGATTTCAGATTATTCCTCTATGGCATGGACTCACATTTATCCCAGTTACTTGTACAGCCTGACAATTTTCTAAATTATGTAATGTAGTTCAGAAAGTTGAGAACTGATAGTACTGGATCAGCTAAACAAATCAATAAATCTTCAGCATATAAATTAACAAGGCTTTCAACCATACCAAATTTTACACCATGAATACCTGGATGACCTCTTAATATTGCAAGAGGTTCTAAAGCAATATCAAAAAGGAGAGGAGACACCATGTTGCAGATCAAAAGGTCTATATTAATGAGAATAGAAGATACAGAATTAGTGTACATTATTTTGACCCACTCTATAAAGTTTCCCCCAAACCCAAATAGTTTCAATGCTTCTAACATATAGGGTCATTCGATCTGATCAAATGCCTTTTAAGCATCAAGATGGCAGCCTGTATGTCTTCTTCATGAGCTGTATAGAACAGACGAACATTACTAAATGAAAGTCTACCTGCTATATCCAGTCTGATCAGGATTTACAATTGTTGAAAAAAAAACGTTACTTTGTAGAGTGAGTTGGGAAGCCTCTTATTCATTCAATATCCTTAACATGAGAGGAACTATTTTTTCATGGAAAGCCTTGTAGAATTCAGAGCCAAAACCATCTGGGCCTGCTGCTTTTCCAGAGGGGAAAGCTCAAATAGCCTCAAACAGATCCACCTTAAAAATTGGGGTGTCATTGTCATCTCTCGAAGCGCCATCCAAAGAAGATACAAAAATCTGCTTCAGTGGCCCTTACTTTACTAGACTATACTTCCTTATAAAAGTCTCTGAAGCAAGAGTTTATCTCCTTCGGATTAGTAACTAATTTTCCTGATTTAGATCTAATCCTATGGATCGTTTGTTTGGCCTGTTCACCTCTTGACTTGTTAATAGTTTTTTCTGCTTTATTGTTTGTGTTTAAGTTTTAATAAAAGATTACTGACACGTTTGTTAAGGGTAGTATTTTATATAATTTTTAATATATCAAGAAGAAGAGGGTTGAAGCGCCAGCTGTACCTTTTTTAAAATTGGAGTGAGTCTATGATCTAAAATCAAAATTATGATGGATAGAATTGGTAATGTTGGGTAGTAATTCAGAAGCTATCAAAAAAATGAATCAATTCCACTGTAGGACCTATGGATATATTTAAGTAAAAAGAAAAATCTTTGCCAGTAGGGTGCTGCACTCTGTCTGACACCCAGTCTAAAGTGGGATTGAAATTTCAGTTGAAGTCACCTCCAATAATTACATTAGGACTGGAGGCTGGAATCATATCAAAGAATTTAGAAAATAAATCCGGATAATTTATATGCCCTGAAATCATTAGGTTCTTGCCATAAGGATCTGCTGTCATATAGTCAAGGCAAAATGAGATATTTTTCCAAAAAAGAATCACCATACTTCTAGCTTTGCTAGTAAAAGGTGCTTGGAAGACCTATTCAATTCAATTCAATTTTATTTGTATAGCGCCAATTCATCACAGAAGTTATCTCGGGACACTACAAATAGAGCAGGTCTAGACCATACTAATTATTTACAGTTCCCACCATAAGCAAGCACTTGGCGACGGCGGCAAGAAAAAACTTCCTTTTAAGAGGCAGAAACCTCGGACAGAACCCGGCTCTAGTCTGCCTCGACCAGTTGGGGTGAGAGAGAGAGAGAGACAGAGAGACAGAGAGACAGAGGTAAAGACAGAAGGACAGAGACAAAGGTGCACAGCAACAACCACACTAATAGTAGTGACTGATGGTGATGATGATGATGATGAACATGAAGAAGATGATGACGACGATGACAACTGCCACATCGATGGGGGACAATGAGCAACGATAATAGTAATTAAAGCTGCAAGCAGTGATGAACGGGCCCTCGCAGCCGTCGCGTGTCGGGGTGTGCTTCAAATCAAATTTCACGTAAATCAGATCGACGTATAGTCACAAATAGCACAACTTTTCATCTGCACAGAAAATGACCAAAGAAATTCAGAATGGCCGACTTCAATGCCACGCCATGGGTATGCCCTTCAATGTACATTCACAGATAGCACAACTTTTAATCAGCAATGTTTTTTGACTGTACTGATCAAGTCCTCCCCGGAGGAGTTCGTTCAAATACAAAATTCAAAATGGTGCTTTCACTATTACTGAATATTATCACATAGACGTGTTCAGGGGGGACTCTTATTAAACACGTGAAGTTTTGTTGAGATCGGATCATGTACACAGAAGTTATGACAAGTTTGACGGAATGTTGTAAATAGCACAACTTTTAATCATGAATGTCTTTAAATTGCGCTGATTAAATTTGAAGTCGCAGGAGCAGGACCATGGCAGGAGGCTCCACCAGGATCCATGAGAACCTGCAAGATGAGAAAGCACAAGAACTCCGGGGAAGAAGTGCAGTTAGTAACATTAATTAATGGGACATGAATGTGTGCAGAAAGAGAGGGAGAGGATGAGAGGAGCTCAGTGCATCATGGGAAATCCCCCGGCAGTCTAGGCCTATAGCAGCATAACTAAGGGATGGTACCTGAACTCTGAGTCAGCCCTAGCTATAAGCTTTATCAAAGAGGAACATCTTAAGCCTACTTTTAAATGCTTTAGATGGTATTACCTTGGCCTCTAGCACCACCTTCAGTCTCTAAAAGCAGAACAAGAGCCAGAGCCTTCAGCTACCAAGCTCCTCTCTTGTGGAACCAGCTTCCAGTTTTGGTTTGGGAGGCAGACACCCTGCAAGAATCCTATCCACTACCTAACACAGATGACCTCTTTGCAATATTGGCTAGGGGTCAGTTCTTCACAAAGATAGAATTATCACATGCCTATCAGCGACTAGAGTTGGACAAAGGCTATAATATGTTTTTCAATTCAATTCAATTCAATTTTATTGGTTAATCCAAAAATATGTGGAGAGTGGGTGGAGCTGAAGAGACCAAGACCGTTTTTGCACCAGGCTATAAACATGTTTATTTCTGCTGTAAAGTTGGGCATTTTCAATATTGGGACTTATGGACATTGACTCAAGTTTGAAGCTAGCCTCTAGTGGCTGTTATAGGAATTAATAATTTGTTTAAAAATGGTCCTCTGCTTCCACACTCAAGAATGTCACAGTAACAGCAGTCAACAAGCAGGAATAAAAACCCTTGACCTATTAAATGGGTGTTCTATACTATACTTCTGGACAAAGTCTCAGTGAAACAGAACACAAGGGCATGAGAACCAGAGTGGCGTAAGTTACATTTGACCCACTTTACCCAAAACAATAAATCACTATACTTTGTCCGGATTTTTTTTATTGAGTTAAATCTTTACTATTAAAACATCCTCAGCATGTGGAAGACAGTGTACTTAATCAGCAATAATTTTACATTTATTGAAAAAAATTATTGTTTATCTTTTTAGTGCACTTATGTCCTTTTAGGACCAAATAATTCACTGAGTTCCGTTTTAAGTCTTTAATAACTTACGTTGTTTTGTTTCTTAACCCTTGATAATAAACTTTCATAGGTGTATATGCAGCAGGACTGTTGTATTTGAGAATTAACATTATTCAGGTTTTCATCTTCTTGTCTCCTTATGTCCTCTAACAACAGGTAAAAACCTCAAACTTTTTAAAGTTTAAAAAGGTAGTATATTTTATCAAAAGGCTAAAGAATAAGATTGCATGTATTATTGCACTTGTATTATATCCATACCTATCAGTTACATCATCAGACTGGCAACATGCTTACTGTCATGATGTTTTATTCTTCCAGACCTAGCTTATTTTCTTCATTTAACCTACCAGGTTTCTACATCCTCATCTGTTGTTGAGGAAAGGGAAGTGGTGTACACCAGTAGCCAACCAGACAGCAGCGTTCAGTGGGATCCACTGGGAGGAGAACCAATGGAGACAAAGGAGGAGGTGATGGGTGAGGCTAGGGAGCCCTTGAAGCCTGTCACAGTCCGTTTTGTCCTGGAGGAGAGCAGTGGTTACATGGAGCCCATGTTACGGATCCTGGCCATCCTGCACACTGTTATCTCCTTCTTCTGCATCATCGGATACTACTGTCTCAAGGCAGGATACTTACCTCTGATATATATCTTAAATAATTTTAAAGGTCCAGTGTGTAGGATTTAGTGGCATCTAGCAGTGTAGTTGCAGATTGCAACTCCCTCACTTCACCACTACGGTGGCTGAAAAATGTGTGAAAAATGCGAATGTCCCTATCTAGAGCCAGTGTTTGGTTTGTCCCCTCTGGGCTACTGGAGAACCATGGTGGTTCAAAGAGGCAGGCGACCCTCTGTGTCTGTAGATATAAAATGTTCACTCTAGGTAAAAAAAAACCCCAATGATTCCCATATTCAGGTAATTATATAATGCATCCAAAAATAGTTATGAATATTACATTTTTGCAAATAGATGCTCCTTAATGTTACACAATGGACCTTTAAAACATTTCAAAAATTTCCAATCTAAGAATTTGAAATTTTTGAAATTAAGTATCACTCCTCTGTGTTTGTGTGCGTGTGTGTGGTGTGTGTGTGTGTGTGTGTGTGTACACATGTGTAGGTGCCACTAGTAATCTTTAAGCGTGAGAAGGAGGTGGCCAGGAAGCTGGAATTTGATGGCCTTTACATCACAGAACAACCATCTGAGGATGACATCAAAGGACAATGGGACAGACTAGTAATCAACACACAGTGAGTAGACCCTTTGTACTGTATATGAGATTGTAGTTTGTTGTTATGTAACATCCAGTGCCAATGACGAGGAGATTGATGTAGTTGAGATAACTTAATGTAATTAGCAAAGGTGCATGGGTGGGCCACCCCAGGAGATGATGTTCACAGTATGTTCACAGCCCTCCACAACAGTAGACTCAGCAGTGACAAGACTCAGCAGTGACAAGGGCAGTAATTTACTTTATTTTGACCATGTTTTAGCATGTTACCATGTTTTAGTCTGCTCATTACAAATCCTGAGACAATGAACCGCTGAATGGGTTTCTTGTTGCCGGTTTTAACAGGTAATACACTGATAATACACCTTATAGATGATCTGACTCATGAGCCTTTCTTCCACTGATTTTCAGATCTTTCCCCAACAACTACTGGGATAAGTTTGTGAAGAGAAAGGTAGGCATTTTGTAGATCTGGGGCTGTATCATTGACATGTATAAGATGAACAACATCTGGATGACAGCTCTCCAAAAGTGAAGCCAAAACGTCACGATTGCCCTCTGGTGGCGGACCTGTCAGCAGACTTGGGCCAAACTAAAAAAAATCTAATCACACATCAAATATATTTTTAGCTAATTTTAGGTAGTTCTAATCTCACTGATGTATGTTCAAGTGTTAATTTGTCTAATAAGTTCTGTTTTATTTAGTTATTTGAAGCTTTAAAAAGGAGGTTCATTTTTGTATAGTGGGAGGAAGTGGAGATCCAATGTCCATCTTTTATGTGCCAATGGGCTCAATTCACAAATTATCTTATCTTGCCACTATAAGTCCTCCTAAATGGAACTTAAACTTCCTAACTAAGAGTTTCCCCTTAAGAGCTACAGTATTTATAAAGTTACAACTTTTACTAAAGAATGTTTTTACATTCTCACTTCCTGGAGCCTGATCTTCTAGTGAATGTGAAATAAAATATTCATCAATACACAGAAGTGTGAGGAACAAATTCACTTAAATTATATAGATCGATAGATTTGGGTGTGAAGAGCATTTTTGGTTTAAATATTTCTAATGACTAAGCAAACAATATATCGTTATTATTGTTTGTTTTTGAATTGTTTCAATTTGTGGTTGAGCCGATTTAATTCTTAGAAGATTATATATAAGGAACTTACTGCAACTAGATGTCACATTAGAGCACAACATCTTATTTGGGATTTTATTTGAATTTAGCTTTCTTACAGACATGCTCTACCTCTACCTCACACACACACACACACACACTCTCTCACACTATCTCTCTCACTCTATCTCTCTATCTGTCTTCCCAATTATTTTCTCTGCCTATACAGTTATGTATATAAAGTTGACTCAGTGACTATTACAGGTTGAAAAGTAATGTCATCACAATCTTGATACAGCTGTATAGACACTTTGGGAGACTTTTAGGTATTGTAATGAACATCAGTATCAACAAAGCCACATTTCTCCTATAGTTTTGAAAAGGGTGAAATTGGTTAAACCTCCTGTTAACTGAGCTTGTAGCTCCCAGTGTATGTACTGCATAGCTAATGTTTATTTTAAATAACATTTTTCTATTTGAGATGTTGTTCCACTTTCTTCAAGAAATGCTGCTCTTCCTCAGGTGATGGATAAATATGGGGAGTTCTACGGTCACGACCGCATCAGTGAGCTGCTGGGAATGGATAAGGCTGCTCTGGACTTCAGCGATGCTCACAAAAAGAGAAAGCCAAGGAGAGACAGCTCACTGACTGCTGTGTGAGTATTCTCTGTGAGTTTGTGTGTGAATACAAATATTCAGTCAGTTATTTTGAGTTATAACAATAATAATAATAATAATAATAATAATGATAATGATAAACTTTATTTTTATAGCACTTTTCAAAACAGCAGTTCCAAAGTTCTTCACAGTTAACAAAAACAGATTAAGATCTGCAAATGAAAGACTGACAGTGAGGGGGAAACAGTAAAGTGTTGGTAGGTAAAAACACTGTCCTCCTTTGATTTGAGCTTAGACTGTGGGGCAGATCTGAGTAATCTTGGTGCTGAGTAGTGTGTTATAAGCTCAGAAATATATGAAGGTGCCATGCCATGGAGGGCTTTGAATGTTATCAGGAGGATGTTTTATTGAATTCTAAGGCATACAGGAAGCCAATGTAAACATGCTTAGAATGGGGATAATGTGCTCTCTTCATTTAGTATTTGTCAAAAGGCTGGCTGCAGCATTCTGAACCAGTCGAAGACGAGTAATTGCAGACTGGCTGACAGGAAAATAAGGAGTTAAAGTAATCCAAACAGGAGGAAATAAAAACATGGATGATTTTCCTAGATAGACCTTGTTGTATTTGATTTCAAATGAATAATGCCCTATGTGTACATGGGCGTTGATGGTATCAGGTTTTACTAGCAGGGCCATTTTATTTTCAACTCAGGGCAAAAAGTCCCCTCGTCGGGGCGCCCAGATAGCTCAGTGAGTAGAGCTGGCGACCCATGTACCGAGGCTGAGTCCTTGCTGCAGTTGCCCAGGGTTTGAACCCGGCCTGCAGCCCTTTGCTGCGTGCCATCACCTCTCTCTGCCCCCCTTTCCTGTCTGTCTTCAGCTGTCACTACAATAAAGGCAGTAAAAGCCAAAAAATATAATTAAAACAAAAAGTCCCCTGGTCATATGGTATCATGCATGATCATGCTCTGTGAGATTCTTCTCCCTCTGTTGTCAGGCTAAACTCCATTGATGTCAAGTACCAGATCTGGAAGCTGGGGGTTGTATTCACAGACAATGTAAGTACATTCATCACATGGTTTTTAAATTGAATGGAATTTAAATGCTGTCCACAGTAATCCCAGAGTTTTTCGTTAATGAAAATTAAATTAATCATTAATCAAAATAAAGGTATTACAACTAATACATATTGCCTTGGTTTTGTGCCATAGTACAAATGATCGTACATGTATTGTCAGTATTCTATTTGTGGATGATGATCAAAGGTTCAATGATGGCTTAATTGGACTTCCTTGCAGACATTTTAAGCTAGCAGGATTTAAAGTCAACAAACAGTAAATATAATTTGACAGTATGTTTAACAACAAGACTAGCTAGCTATCTAGTCATGCCAGTGTGCCCAAATCAATATCAAATCAAAGTTTTTCACAAACAAATGGGCATCAAACTAAACAATTCATAGAGAACATGATATAAGAGGAGTTTTAGTCCAGTGAATGTTTAATTCTGGTATCATTTACAGTCTGTAAAGGTACCACAGATGTATAGATAGATTAACCTGCACTGATGTTGAAAAGCCATGTAAATGTAGCCACAAATTCATCTGTAATAGTCAATACCTTGACTAACCTCTCTTCCTGTCTATCCCTCACTGCAGTCCTTCCTTTATTTGGCATGGTATATGACCATGTCCATCCTTGGTCACTATAACAACTTCTTCTTTGCTGCCCATCTGCTTGACATTGCCATGGGCTTCAAGACACTGCGTACCATTTTGTCCTCAGTCACACACAATGGCAAACAGGTGAACAACTGCTATTACATACTCAGCTACAGCATAGTTAACATGAATACAACTGCACAGTGCACACATATTTCAGTACTAGTACTCGAAACACCTACCTACAACTACCGTACACTGACCCGATAGATCAACCAAAAACCTTTCATACAGTATTATTACCAACCATCTCACATTTTTCAAAAGTCAACAAAAATGTGGACTGTATTATTATTATTATTATTTTTATTATTTTTCCACTAGAGTTATGGATTTTGTATTGGTTATGTTTCCTCTGTATCCAGACTGTTGTTCAGCTGTGTCTTTTATCCTCTCTTCCAGCTGGTGTTAACAGTTGGCCTGTTAGCAGTGGTAGTGTACCTCTACACAGTAGTGGCCTTCAACTTCTTCAGGAAGTTCTACAACAAGGGTGAAGATGGAGAGCTGCCAGACATGAAGTGTGATGACATGTTGACAGTAAGTATTGCTGTTAGATGCTGCAGTGGATCAGACATATTGTCATCGTATTGTGTATTTCTAGAAAGGTTCAAATGGTTCAAAGCAGCATCTTGGCATAATGGCAATTGGTCAGTCAAGTATGAGCATAGTGACAACAATTTATATGGTGACCGCAACAAATAGCTGATGTAATATATGAGGTTGGATTAGTTTAGTTTATTTTATTTGCACATAAAGCATATTCATGAGTGTGAGATAAGTTCAGCATCATGATGACTGAGTACCTCCTCCCACAAAACATTCTCTATCAAATCATATGCTTTCTGTCAATAAAGGCAGCTGATCTGGTGGTAGATACAGTAGTCAGGGATTGTCAAGTCAAGTGTTGTCAATCCACATGTTTGTGTCGCTGCTGCTGCCAAACAAGAAAGAGGGAGTTTACTGTAATCAATGAGCCTGAAATCATATATGGGTGAAGAATGGGTTGATGGATGCTGTGCAGATAGCCATTCATTGTACATTGTTATATGAATGTGTAGTGACAGCTTTGGAGAAAACCTTTATCATATGAACCAAAAGCTATACTGGGAGCTGAGACTGATCATTTCTGATTACTTTGGTTTGCTTGCTGCCTTTAAACGGCTATTCAGTCTCATTGCTCTGGGTAGTGGCTTACTGCTGCTTTGGCTGATAATGTCAGTAAAGCCTGTCTCACTAAAAGTAGGAAGTATCCTCTGTGGCCTGTCAGTAAAGAGAGAACAGCACCATTTATGGACAAAAAGTCATGGGTCAGAGCTTTTAGTCTGACAGTGTTCACCCTCAGGCTCTGTCTGCGGTCCAGCTGAGCTGATGTAAGATTATATGGTCTCTTTTTATTTGTTCCTCTTCTAGGCATTTGTTAGCGATAGCAACAGTTTGTGTGACATTTTATTTACTAACCTGGGGTGTTTATCATTAAGCAAATTCAAATTAAAGCTGTCTCTGGGTGCAGTATCTGACTTCATGAAGCCTAACAATTATGGTCCTGGATAATGGGATCTGGAGACCACTTTCACGATTCGGGAGCAGGCTAGCTACAGTATGCAGCATAAGCTACCATTGTGATTTATGCTGGTTAAAATTAAACCTGCTTTGTGATACAGAAATGTGATAATGACGGCATAAAGATAACTGTAAACCCACCAATCTCACTTCATGATACAGGCCATGGTACAGTGATAGCAGGTGTATTATGCTTTTTATGTTCTGCACAAGCGATTGCCCTGGACTGAGTCATCATGTTTTCGGCTTGTCTGTCCATTCCATTCTTGTAAACATATCTCGCTTTAGGGAATTTCTTCAAATTTGGCATAAACATCCACTTAGATTCCAGGATGAAATTATTTGAATATGTTGGTCAAAAGTCAAGGTCACTGTGGCATCTCTAAAAATTGCCATAACTCGAGCATTGTATAAATATTTCACAATTAGTTGAACAATGAATTTGTGACATTTTTGTTCCAAAGGTTAAAAGCTCAATGTCACCCTTAAATTACCTTGACAAACTCTTCATAACTCAAGAATTTATGTGGTAATGAAAAATACCACACAGATATTTAATGGGATACAACAATGAAGATGATAACACAAAAGGTCAAAGGTCAACTTCGCTTTGATGTCTGGGATATACACTGACTCAACCCTATTTTGTCCTAGTATTATTGAAATGAGTGTGTAAGTTGTGGGCTTCTTAGGACCTGTGTAATTAGGGACCGAGCCAGCGACAGCTGGAAGGTCCCTATTGTTTTTGGTCCGTTTATTAGGGACCGAGCACTAACAAGTGCAAGGACCCTAGTGTTCCTGTTAAAATTATTATTATTAGGGACCGAGCACTAAAAAGTGCAAGGACCCTTTTGTTCTTCTAAGAATTATTATTATTAGGGACCGAGCACTAACAAGTGCAAGGACCCTATTGTTCCTCTAGGAATTATTAAGGACCGAGCACTAACAAGTGCAAGGACCCTATTGTTCCTCTGGGAATTATTATTATACCTCTGGGACTTCGACCGCATATTTGGCCCCCGCAACATGCTCAAAATGGCATGAAAATTTGCACAAAATTCAAACGTAGCAAAAATACCGATATGACATTGTCCCCGTGCACGGGCGCCGCCAAACGTCTAAGCCACGCCCCCCAGAATCAGCCCCCAAGACACGTAAGGCCCACATGTACGAAAATTGCTACGCATGTGTATCATGATAAAAGAAGCAGAAAAGCCTCTTGGACCCATGCCCCAAAACCCACAGGAAGTCTGCAATTTCAATTTTTAATTTTCATCATTTTGTGGTCATTTTGACTTTTTGGGCTTGTATTTGAACGAACTCCTCCTAGGGAATTTCTGGGATCTGCTTCAAAATTGGTCAGTACAGTCAAAACATGGTGCTGAATGAACGCTGTTCAATTTGTAACTGTACGTTGAAGGGTGTGTCCGTGGCGTGCCGTCAAAGTTGGCCATTTTGAAGTCCGTGGTCTTGTATTTTTACAAACAAACTCCTAGGGAATTTATCAGATCTGCTTCAAAACTGGACAGTACTCTTGAATAATGTTGCTGATTACAAGTTGTGCTATTTATGACTGTATGTTGAAGGGCATGTCTGTGGCGTGCCATCAAAGTCTGCCACTGTGATGCCATTTCCGGCATTTCAGGGCCTCTATTTTAACTTACTCCTACAGATTTTATCATATTGACTTCATATTCGATCTCTTCAATCTAGACACATTGGTGATCAAAAGTTAATCAAATATTTACTGTGCATCAAATTGTGTGTCCTTGGTGTGGGGCTGAATTTCCACCTTTCGCAGTGAGGAGTCTGACTATGAAAGTGTAAGTCATTTGCAGTGTCTGAAACGTGTGACAATGTAGAGCTCATCAGGTTCTGGAGATGAGGGCTTGGGAGTTGGGTGACGTGAACATTTTATGTTGTGGTCCACACGTGTGACGACGGCACGTGACGCGGCCGCAGCACGCCCCGAGTTCCGTGGAGTGCGAGGTCCCGCCCAACGCTGCTTGCAGCTTTAATTATTTTTTAGAATTGTAACATAGGCACAATGATGTTCACACAAAGTTCAAGTATAAATCTAACGCTTTTATAAATTAAGTTTTCACACAGAGTACAAACAATAACTAGCACAGTACTGGCTATCATCTTTCCAACTCGTCCACTTTTTCACTTCCTGCCTCATATAGAATTTTGAACATATCACGTACAAATAATGTACTGGAGTGTGCCTGACTAATGTGTTTCGATGAGTGAATTTCATCTACAGGTCATAGAGAGGCCTTGGATCTAAAAATGCCAGGAGAAACCAAATCACAACATTTTGTATAGTTATGATATAGTTAAGAATCAAGTACCTGTGTAGCCAATGAATTGATGATTATCCTTCATCAGTGTGTTCAAAAATGTATATTCACTGAAATATACATGTATCATCAATATAGTGATAAATTACATTTAGCCAAAACCACCTAATACCTTTTATTCAATTTATTCACTACATATATTATTGTCTGGACAGACATGGATGTAGACGGCTAACTGACTGGTTGGCTGAGGCATACAATTGTGGGGTGGTAATTCTAGTTGTGTAATGGATGTTAAATGGACCTGTACTTGTATAGCACCTTTCTAGTCTTCCTACCACTCAAAGCGCTTTTACACTACATGCTACATTCGCCCTTTAACACACATTAACTCAATTAAATTTTCACTTCAGTTTTAGTTGTATATCTCCAATTCACAAAAGAAGTTATCTCAGGACATTTTTCAAAATAGAGCAGGTCTAGACCGTACTCCTTATAAAATTATTTACAGAGACCCAACCGTTCCCACCATGAGCAAGCTCTTGGTCGACTGCGGCAAGGAAAACTTCCTTTTAAGAGGCAGACCCCAGCTTTAGGTGGGTGGCCGTCTGCCTCGACCAGTTGGGGTGAGAGAGAGAAGTAACGACAGAAGGACAGAGACAAGGTGCACAGCAACAACAACACTAATAGTAGTGAATGATGGTGATGATGATGAACATGAAGAAGAATTCAGTGATGGCAAAGCCCATCGAACAGTAAGTAACGCATTCATACACATTTACACAACGATGCACAGCATCGGGAGCAATTTGGGGTTCAGTATCTTGCTAAAGGATACTTTGACACGTGGGTGGAGGAGCCGGGGCTCAAACCAACAACCTTCTGATTAGTGGACAACCTGCTCTGCCTCTGAGCCACAGCTGCCCTTGTAATGTGTGATTGCTGCTTGTACCATGTAGTCTGTAATTAAACATTTTACGTTTTATAATAAGTCATTAGGCATAGAAGACAAAAATTTCCACTGTAGATTCCTTGGATGATGCCAATTGTACTGATACAGGCCACACCCTTCAATGCCTTAAAAACATTCCACCACTTCAGATTTTTTGGTAAAGACATTTACATATTTTTGGCATATTTCATATAATCTTCACCAAAATTGGTGCATAGCATATTTAGACAAAGCCGAGCAAGTCTTATAGGTTTGTGTGTGAGTTTGTCTGTAATTGGTTACCGAACTTAATCAAGGCATGACCCAACAGGCTACAATTCTACAATGCTGAATTGGATTGCAAATTTGTGAATGTTGTACATGAAACCACATTGCGCGTGTCTAACATTTAATTTTCTTACCCACAATTCCTCTCCCTCATGGCCATATCTCTTGAACACAGTATTAAATTACCACCGATTTTGGGTGGTATCTTCAGATGTAAATCACAAACACATCTTTGGGATTCTTTCAAAAGCTGTGCCTGCGATCAGTAGTAGCGGTGGCAGCCACAGATGCAGCAATCACACACATTTTCTTCAGGACATGCAAATATTCCAGTTTTTGTTTTTGATGTAACCCTTTACGTTCAAGCAAATATTATAATGCAGGTTAGCATAACAGGTAGCACAGCAATGTAAGTGCAATCATTTATGTCAAATATATAGGAATATCTTGTCAGTGAAAGAGTGAGAAAACAGGTGAGGAAACAGTTGATCTGTCTTCAGAATGAATTACTGTTGTGATGAGGCTATTCCCTGCTGCCAAGTCATCTGAAAGAAATACTAAATAAGGGCTCTATGATATGTGTCTTCTGGTGGTTGGAGTGGGCCTTCTGTCACCCGGAAATTTCAGGACACACACAACCTAATCCCCTATAGTCAGCCACCCATAGCATTCCATGGAGCTCTTCTGTTTCCTATTAAGGGGCTGTGTGGCTATGCCTGTTCTACAGGAAGGTGACAGGGCTTAGTGATGGAGGGATAGACTGATGAAGAAGAACGGAGATTTTTGCTTTTTCCTCTCCTCCCTTTGTTTGAATAAATCCCTTACAATAACACTGACAGAAGGGTGAGAGGATCTGAACTGATCCTTCCATTTCTGTTCATTCTTTTCTCTTGTTTCACTTAATCTTTCTCTCTCTGTGTACTCAGGTTTTCTTTTTCTCTCTTTTAACTGACTCTAAATACATAATTACCACTGAGTTCTTTAAACAGTCTTATGTGCCACCCCCCAGATCGGATATTTTTAAACTTTTGATGCAAACAATTAGCAAATTTTCTTGCAATATTTCAGTGCTGCTGCTGTAAATTCAGTCAATGTAAGTTGCAGTAATTACAACTGGTCCCCATTTAAAATCTTGCAAGTTGAATTCCATCTCTGTCTTTCTCTCTCTACCCCTCTCCCTGTGTGTGTTTCACCCCATCTCCTAGTGCTACATGTTCCACATGTATGTAGGTGTGAGAGCCGGTGGAGGGATTGGTGATCAGATTGAGGACCCAGCAGGTGATGAGTATGAGATCTATCGCATAATCTTTGACATCACCTTCTTCTTCTTCGTCATTGTAATCCTCTTGGCCATCATCCAGGGTGAGCGATCCAACAGACACACACACGCACACACACACACACACCCACACCCACACTCTCTGACTGAGAATGGTTGGAACCCGTACCGACGACTGCATTAGGGACTCATAACACAGAGATGCACAGCTATAGGCATGGCCGTGAGTTTATAAACCCACTGCTCCGCTGCGCCATAGCTCTCCATTCACATTCCAACAGCTGACTAGCTGGCCAACCCATTTACTGGCATAGTAGCTCACCTCTTGCTTAATTTGATTGGCTGTCTGGGTCAAAGGTGACAATGACGAGCTACATGACTCCACTCCTTGTGCTAAAGATAATTTAACTTTTATGCGTGCCTAAAAACCACTACAAAGGAGCACAGGCCAGGCCCACCGCACCATAGGAAAACAATGGTTTAGCAGGCAACATCTTTCTAGCAGTGTGTCTCTATACGATCGGCCCCTTAGGTTGTTAATGCTGGTTTGTTATATTAATCAAAGAAACTTAAAACTTATGCTTGACTGTAATGAAAATGTATTTTTGATTCCTATTTCGGAACATAGGCTGGAAATATCTAGGGATGTTATTAATAATTAATACTAAGAATTAGAATGATCATCAGTTTTTTTTGCATTCTGCTCTTTAATCACACCACACTTGTAAATGTGATGTATTTACATTAGGATCAACGTTTGTCTGAATTGGTTAAATTTTGAAAATTAGTAACAACTTTTAATACTAATGTACCATTTTACAGAAAAAATTACATTATGCTCTCCAGGAGTCAGTTATCATAGAAGCATTTCTTCACACAGTACCATACTTCACTGTTCACTGAATGTTCTTCCAGTAGATCCAAATATTATTTTCCAAAAATGTCCATATATTTGTAAGTCTGGGCAGCTACAAGCAACAATACGTTTACAGCAAACACAGGTTAAATTAATTACATTAACAATGGCTCTCTTCCATTTCTGTTCCACTAACCCATGTCAGTGAACCAGCATGCATAATGGCTCCCAAAGCAACTTAATGAATGCAGCCATCATTAATTGATATATATTTCTGCTCCAACATGATTTGTGCCTGTATTGTCTATTTTTTGTCTCTTTAATTCTAGATTTCCAATCTGATGTGTCAAAGATGATATTTTCATTTGTAGAATTATTTCAAAATTGAACTTAATATTGATTTTGATTTTATTATATGTTCATGTCAAGCAAACAAAGTGCCAACCCTCTCAGGTTTACAAGACACCAAAAATAAAGTTAATTAAACATCTTCTTCCATTACAAATGTACAGATTTTAGATTATTATATGGCTTGGTCTTAAACAAAATATTCTGCCTTCTCTCCATACTTGGCACAAAGAGTTCATTACAAGAAAGGCTCCCTTCTTGAAGCAGTTTTTCATAATCATCCAGGCAAAAGAAATTATCATAAATGGTGAACATTTTACTAAAAAGTACGTCCCTTATGTCCTCATAGACAAGGCAGCAAAACAAAAAGTGAACCACCTTCTCAATTGCACCTAAATCACACAACAAGCAAAGTCTGTCCTCCTCTGGAGTGGCATTAAACCTACTGGTCTCTAGGTCTAATCGTAATGGTCCTGAAGATAACTGTGCACAAAGGGATGTTTTTCTTTTGTTTAAGTTATACCACACATAAGGTTCCTCACTGTAGCTATTCTTTATGAGACAATTCATTTGTAATTTTGGTTTATTGTTCTCTATACATATACATACAACATACACATTTTACTTCTAATCTACTGAATGTTACAAAGTAACCTGCTATGATTTATAAATGAATTACATATCGTTGAAGTAAAATAATTTTGCCATAGTTTCACATAAACCCAAATAAAATTAGGATCATTATTATGATAGTAGTATAACAACTGTAAGGCAACCTGAGGACTCATATACACGAAGTACTATTAAAGGGCCACTGGATAAAACAAAGGATTTGTGGTTTTCGGGTGGTTGTGGTCTAGTTAGTTAACCTCAAACCAAGTTCACTTGAACAACAAACGATTGTGGGCCTGTTTAACCTCTACACCATCTGTGGTCTGAACACTCTAGGGTTAATCATCGATGCCTTTGGAGAGCTGAGGGACCAGCAGGAACAAGTGAAAGAGGACATGGAGGTAAAAATACAGACACATGCACACACTCATTCTTTACCACTTAAAACAATGCAGTATTATAGAACACATGAATGACAGGTCTAATATAAACGTATATGGGAACACTGGATTGATTTTGTTAGTTAGTTAGATTAATTTATTAATCCCACAATGGGGAAATTCACTTGTCACAGCAGCATTTGAGTGAAAAAAAATAAAATAAATACAGATATAAAAGCTATGGTGAGTGGTAAAAGCTATGGTATGGTGGTAATTTGAAAACAGAAACTACATGATCAGGTGGTGCAGGTGTTGTAGAGTCTGACAGCGGCAGGGATGAAAGGTGTTGTCCATGATGGACGTCAGCTTAACTAACATCCTCTTCTCATCCACTTCCTCTATGGAGTCCAGAGGACAGTCCAGGACAGAGCTCGCTCTCCTGATTAGTTTATTGAGTCTCTTCCTGTCCCTGTCCATACTGCCCCCTCTCCAGCAGACCACAGCATAGAAGATGGGTGAAGCCATCACAGAGTCATAAAAAGCCATGTGGACAGCCCTGCACTCCGAAGGACCTCAGTCTCCTCAGCAGGTGTAGGCGACTCTGGCCCTTCTTGTAGAGAGCATGGGTGTTGTCAGTCCAGTCCAGTTTGTTATTGAGGTGAACACCCAGGAATTTGTAATTCTCTACCACCTCAACGTCCAATCCCTGGATGTTCACCGGTGTGAAGTGGGATGTTTTCCTCCTGAAGTTTACAATCATCTCCTTCGTCTTGCTAGTGTTTAGCTGAAGCTGGTTGAGCTCACACCAGCTGACAAATTCCCTGATGACAGTCCTGTATTCCAGTTTGTTCCCCTGAGAAACACATCCAACAATGGCTGTGTCATCGGAGAACTTCTGGATGTGGCAGCTTGTGGCGTTGTGGGTGAAGTCCGAGGTGTGAAGGGTGAAAGGGAAAGGAGAGAGCACCGTACCCTGAGGGGCACCTGTGCTGCAGAGCACCACATCATCACCATACTGTGGTCTGTTGGTGAGATAGTATGTTGTCCAGGTAGCTAGGTATTGGTCCACTCCCACACTTTCCATCTTCACTCAGAGTAGTGACGGCTGGATAGTGTTGAAAGCACTGGTGAAGTCAAAAAACATGACCCTCACCGTGCTCCCACTGTCCTCCAGGTGTAGCAGGGATCTGTGCAGCAGGTAGATTACTGCATCGTCCACCCCAATACCAGGCCGGTAAGCAAACTGCAGGGGGTCCAGCTGTGTGCCCACCAGGGGTCGCAGGTGTCTCAGGATGATCCTCTCCATGGTCTTCATCAGGTGAGAGGTCAAGGCAACAGGCCTGAAGTGGTTAGGGTCCTTGGGGCGCGGCATCTTCAGTAACGGGACCACACAGGAGGTCTTCCACAGGGCTGGGACCCAGGGGGGGTGGTGGACTGGTGAGTTGGGGGAGGAGTGGGCTGGTGGGGGTCAGGTGTTGAAGATGGTAGGCTGAGGAGTGGAGGGGCATGGGGAGCTGACCAGTGGAGTTGTGAAGTGGGAGCAGGGTGGGTGAGGGAGGAAGAGGAGGCAGAATCAAATTTGTTGAAAAACAGATTAAGTTCATCTGCCCAGTCCTTGTCACCGCTTGCCTGGTTTCTTCCCACTCCTTTTCCATGGCCTGAGATGTTCTGCAGCCCTCTCCAGAGATCCCTGGCGCTGTTCTGTTCCAGCCGCTTCTCCAGTTTCCTCCTGTAGCTGTCCTTCCCCTTCCTGATCTTCTGCCGGAGTTCCTTCTGGACTCTGCGCAGCTCCTCTTTGTCTCATTCAGCAGGGCCTTAATCTCAGAGGTCACCCAGGGTTTGTTGTTGGGAAAACACCATACCAACTTGGAGGGCACAGTGTTCCACACAGAAATTAAATCGTAATGCAGTGGGTCATACTGTCAATGTCATTGCCGTGGGGGCTCCAGAGTGCTTTCCAGTCTGTTGTCTCAAAGCAGTCTCTGAGCGTAGCACTGGTCTCCTCAGACCACTCCTTCACAGGCCTGTCTCAGGGGGTTGTTTATTCACCACAGGGGTGTAGTCTGTGACCAGATGGACAAGGTGTGATCTGAGCGACCAAGTGGGGGGAGGGGGGATAAGGTGTATGCATCCTTGATGTTTGCATACAACAAGTCCAAAGTTTTATTGTCCCTGGTGTGGCATTTCACATACTGGGTGATGGTGGGGAGAGCAGAGGACAGGGAAGCATGGTTGAAATCACCGGAGATGAGGAGGAGGGATTAGGGGTTCTGGTTTTGAAGCTGGGAGACGACTAGCTGCAGCAGCAACGGCCGTTGGAGGGATGTACACAGTTACAGCAATAACATGTGAAAGTCCCGCGGGAGGTAGTATGGCCGCATGCTAACCGCTAACAGCTCCAAGTCTCTGGTGCAGAGTTGCTCCTTAACACTGATGTATCCTGGGTGGTACCATCTTTCATTCACAAACACAGCGATTCCCCCTCCCTTCTTCTTACCGCTCTCCGTTGCTTTCCTGTCCGCCCGTACAACTTGAAATCCATCCAGGGTGACGTGTGAGTCAAGAGAAAGTTCACTCAGCCACGTCTCCTTGTAGCACATGAGGCTGCATTCCCGGTACTCCCGCTGCAGCCGGGTTAGCGTTAGCTCTTCCATCTTGTTGGGGAGAGATCTTACGTTCCCCATGATGACAGACGGTAAACATGGTTTATACCGCTGTCTGTGCTTTACTCCCGCTCTGCATCCTCTTCTCCTTCGCCGTATCTCCTCGGGGATCTCCAGCCGCTCTGCACAGCGAAGGAGTGTGTGGCACAGAGCTAATAGCTGATCCCGGGTGTAAACAATGGATCCGTGGTTTAGTGGGTCTCCCGACAGCCGCACCAAAAGTTCAAAAAACAACAACAAGAGGCAAACTACGAATGTCACAACATGAACATCCATAGCTGCACACTTGGGTAAAGTGTGGATGTGACATGAAGGAGCAACAAAAAGTACACTAAAAACACTATATATATAATATAAAAAAGTACACTAAAACACTAAACACTAAAAAGAGCCAAGAAGTTAAGAGCTGCTGTAACTCACGGGGCACCCAATGTCACATTTTCATGTGGATATTTGCATGTCCATACATTTGCTTGACATCCAGATGCAGGTTGCAAGTAAAGACTCATAGATGAATGTTTTGTGTAATGACAATCATGTATATGTTTCTCTTCCAGACCAAATGTTTTATCTGTGGAATAGGCAATGACTACTTTGATACAGTGCCACATGGCTTTGAAACGCACACATTACAGGAGCACAACTTAGCCAACTACCTGTGAGTATATTTGTGCGTTTGTATGTTTGTCCTTCTACCTCTAATATAATGCCAGACAGGGTTTTACACTGAGCACCTGAAACAGGAAGCCATTTCACCATATACTGTGGATATTATGTCTGCCTTATGTAGTACACTTGAATGGAATTGCCGGGTTCATTGGCCTTTGCTTCTGACTGAGAATCTTCTGAGTGGTGACTCACAATAATTTAACACCAGTGTGGCTGTTTGAGGTTCTTTGTATTAAGTGAATGCAGGATTGTGGGAGCTGACCTTCATAAGCCCTGTAATGTTGCAGTTATCTCAGAACACTTGCATAAATAATGTGGTATAGTAGTCTATATCCAACAAGATGGCTGAAACATTTCTCAGCTGTATGATTTTGGAGAGTCTGTATCTCAGAAAGGGGCTGGCTAACATTTATCGGAGGCAGTCAAGAAGACCTCTCAAAACCATCAACATATAACAGATCAGTGTTGTGTCTTCAATTACTCCCACTGTACAAAAATTAAGCCAAAATATCCCGGAGATGGACACTACCGTCTTTCGCCACTCGGAGCCAGAGTACTGACCGGGGTTGGCGTAGCAGTATCAAAGTCCCCCCTTAGAAAATTGCAAACAGGGTTTAGCTGTCAAACATGACATGAAACCCCCTTTTAAGCTTTTTAGATTTAAATAGCTAATTCAAACCAAAATTACTAGAAAAACACCAACACTTGAACATACATCAGTGTGATGCAAACTACTTAAAATGACAGAAACCATCTTTGGGAAAAATGTATTTTATCTATATTTTGATTTTTTTGTTTGACCCATGTCCCATCTGCTAACATGAGCTTTTAGCTCTGTGTTAATATTACATCTTAGAAGTAGTAATGGTTTAAATTTGGCACTGTTGGTGTGTGTTTGTGCAAGGGGATATACAGCAGGGGTATTCAGCTACAGTTTTCTAAGGGGTAGAATGTTTCTAAGCAGACACTGTGGAGTGATGGTTAAAACCTGTAATTCCAAAATTTTTACTGCAGTCCTGATTGTCAGGAAATGTTAATCAACTCCAACTGGTTTTACAGTTACGTCGTTATCATGAATGTGACACATGTACTTAAGTTTGGTTTAATACTGCAGACCACAAAAAATAAAGATAACTTAATTTAAAATAATCATTCTGTGAGGAGCTGTGATCTGATTTTTATGCTTTGAACAATGACTGAGCCACTCTCCAACCATTCCCAATGTGAATGTTGTCTTGCTTGGTAAATGAATTTTAGGTGAACGATAGCGGGCAGTCAGTGGGCTCACAGACAAACATATTTCATTTCCTGTGATAACTACTTCATAATAAAAGTCTATTTGTGTTCCGCCAATTTAATGTGAAGGTGCAACTGGAGGAAATGTTCCTGCTTATTTTTTTTTATCTGTGGCCATTCTGCAGGTGGTATGAAAAGCTTTTGCGAGCCACAAGTTGAATACCCCTGGTGTACATATGTGTGATAATTGTCAGTGAATATTATTTCTAATAAGTGTGTGTATGTGTGTTTCAGATTCTTTGTGATGTATCTCATCAACAAAGATGAAACAGAGCACACAGGCCAGGTAAACCAACGCATTTTAATTTGTAATAAATATATATATAAATATATATTTTACTGTGAAACTGTAATGTGGTTGGTACAACTCAACTCAACAATGTTTCTGATCCTTGCTATTGGCTACTTGCATTGTTAATGCCTCAGTATGCTTCCAACAAAGTGCACTGCAAGAATAGCCATTATATAAAAACAAGCCAAATATTCTTAAGTATAATAACATTTTCTTATATTGAGCAAAAAAAAATCTGCCAATAAGGTAAGCCAACTTTGTTTAGCTAGAATTCTTAAAACTTGCAAAACTGTAATGGGCCTTAAAACTAGAAAAAATGTAAGCTTATTACAAGTAATGAAAACTATTTAAGACTTTTAAGATAGTATTTTAGTCACTTTATTGAGCTGAATTTAAGAATTTGTACTTTATTCTAGGATTAAAAATGTGCAACCTTTAACCTTTCTTTTACATGAAGGAACCATAAGCATTCCTATTTTTTAAAGCATTTTCTGTTAAAACAATACAAAACTAAACAGCAGCTTAATTAACAACACTGAGACAAGACTACTTTCACTTAAAACACAAAAAGACACTTTAACTTACTGTTAAAATAGGGAAATAGGGGGCAGCTGTGGCTCAGAGGCAGAGTGGGTCGTTCCTTAATCGGAAGGTTGTTGGTCGAAGTATCCTTGAGCAAGATACTGAACCCCAAATTGCTCCCGATGCCGTGCATCGGTGTGTGAATGTGTATGAATGTTAGTTTCTGTTCGATGGACTTTGCCATCACTGAGTGAATGTGTGTGAAAGGGTGAATGTGGCACGTAGTGCTATACAAGTACAGGTCCATTTACCATCCATTTACCATTCCTCTGCTGGGATATTATGCAAACCATTGTTGGAACTTGTTACTGGTTACCTCTATCTACATTTAAGACAAAACTAGATATATGTTTTTAAAACTACTACTTACTACTTACTTTTCTAATTAATAACATGCTTGACAAAATTATTTTTCATTTTAGACAAAAAATAAGACAAATTTTCCAGAAACAAGACTGTTTGTTGCATCCTCTAACAACAACTGAAACCCCTTTCCAAATTATATTATTATCCAAATTATAACTCACAACAATACATGAATGACTTTGAGGAGAGACTGCTGTTATTCTCATTTGCATGATTCCTCACATCTCACCCCTCTGTATGATGACTTTTGTAAATCTGTAGTATGGAATGTAAGCTTTACCTACCTCCTCCCGTCTTTTTTGTCTTAAAGGAGTCTTATGTATGGAAGATGTACCAGGAGCGTTGCTGGGAGTTTTTTCCTGCTGGTGACTGTTTCCGGAAACAGTACGAGGATCAGCTCAACTGATCTTTTCTTGGAGTAACAGACTCTTCCTGTTCATACTGTAACTTGTTCAAGGCCCTCTACAGCCACCTTTCTCTTTCCTTATCCATCAAACCTTTCTTACTGCTCTCTAAGGAGTGCCAGTTCTACCGAACGATGGGTTCAACACTCAGCTTCATTTCCCAGTCCAAGAGGAACTACATCCTTTTCAGGCCCCATCCTAAGCCTTCCTCCCAGCTTTTCCTCACCCAGACATTCACCTCAGCCCCAACTTCCAGCACACTTTGTTTGGAATGCTTCTGAGATTTTGTACATAGAAAATATCAGATTATATGCTATAAAATATGTGACTGGTGGCACATCAAGGTGTTTGGCTCAGATGACGACTTCTTTGCTTCATCTATTCTATTCACAGTAAAAAGCAAAAAATACAAAGTAATAATGGAGCAAGGGAAAAAAGAAGGCGTGTCAGAGGAGAGTGGAAGAAATCTAAAGAGAGAATTCCTACTGAAGGACTTTCAGGACAATGATCAATACACAAAGAGCAGACATTAATATGATGACATTTACGACTTTTCATGTGTACATTGCACGTTGCATGTAGGTATAGGGGGTGGACACACAAAAGAAACACCTCTACAACCCTGTTGTAATCCAACACAACAGCTCTGCAATGAATGTGACCCTTGAGAAGCTTACATCGTCACCTTTTGATAATACCGTCAAAGAGGTTGTAATTTGGTTAAACTCTAGGGAAACCTTTTAGTTTGTGGCAACTTTTTAGTTTGTGGTACATGTCAAGTGGAAAGATACAAGGCGCCTCAACATAATAATCGAATCCAATTCCAGACACACCACCAAACTACAGTCTCTACTATTACCACAGAGCTGAATCAACACCTCTATGTGACTTTCAACAAAAACTGAACATCCTGATCTTCACGAATAGGGCTGTTGAACTGGATTAAATTAAAGTATAGTTTACAGATGTTAACATTGTGTCCATGCCCTGTACATGCCAACACGGTGTGTGAAGGGCTCCTTAACTAAGTGTTCACATTGCTAGTATCATGATCAAGAGTCCATTTTGTTCCAGTGGAGCTGAGTGATCTGGAAACTCAGCCAAAGTATGTAAAATGTAAAATTAACAAGTCAAAATCCTCCATCAGCTTGTGAGTTATCTACATCTTTCATCTTTTAATTTTTTTAAAGACTGTAGAAATTAATATAGGTCCCTAAAACTATGCTTGCAAAACAGTTAGATCTATTATTGACATATTTTTGTAACTGATTTTTTCCCCCCTTTTTATTTCATCTTTTGCCCCAGTAGCAGCATGGCCTTAGGATATCTTTTTGTCTTGCCAACACTCCAAACTGACCTAACGTCACCATGCACACAAACATAAAATGTTTAGCCCCACTACCGGTCAAGGCTCTAACAATAGCTTAATAGTCAGCGTGTCTCCAGGTGTCACTAGTGGGGTTTTTAGGTCTTTTTTCAATTAGCTACTTAATGATGGCTTTTTCATCAAATTATTTTTTATGAAAAGCAATACCAATTCACCAAAAAAGTGCAAGCTGCTTAGCTAAATGAATATTCAGCCACTCAGATTGGAGCATCCTATCAGTCATGTTTCCTCCAGTGAGAATGCACAGCAAGGCCAGGCTAAAGACAGATGATCAATGTATGGATGAAAGCAGAGGGAGGAGAAACAGGAAGATACAGTGCCTTACTTAGCCAAGGGTGAGCTATGCAAGCAGGAGGCAGAGAGAGTAATATCACAGAGCTTATCATAAATATAATGTAAAGACTGAGGATAACCCCGTAGAGCTGGGTGATGGGGTGTTTATGAAAGACAGAAACATGCCGTGTGGCTTTACTTTACTTTACTTTACTTTACTTTACTTTACAGGAAAGTAGAAATAGAGAAAGAGATGGAATAAGAGTGCAAATAGGGGCGTTAGAATTTTAAAAAAAATGAATTAAATTTGATTTAATTAACTCTAATACAGTACTGTCAGATGCACATTAAATTGTCTTGTAATGTTATAATGTTTACAATGTGGGAAATCAAAATTAATTTTGAAGTGGCAGCAGCAAATAAGGTCACACTTGATCTTGACTGAGAATTGATGCACAACAGCAGATGTCAGTGGAGTGTGTCACTAGTGTTAGCGTTGTAATAAGAGAGGAACCTCCACTCTCCTTATACATTGTGCTATTCATTAAGTGCAGATGGCTTCCTCTTTTTGACAAAAACATTCAGTTCTTTGGAGTGGCTCTCTATATACACTCAATTGCACTCATTCTGTTCCTTTATTAGGTCCACCTGAGTAAAACTAATGCAGTCGAAAACAGTTGTAAGAAAGACTCCCTTAATGGTTTTAGGGGTCAACCACACATACACTTGTTTGCTACTTTGGCGACCTCACCAGTCAATATTTACCAATGCTGAACTCCACGCAAAGCTGAAATGTGACCCTGCTTTGCCACAAGAAGGTTTTATTTGCCCATTTGCATGCATAGAATGGAAGTGAACGGAAGGTGAATATTCGCTTGTTATGATTTCACTAATGTGTGACTGTGCTCTTATACTGAGATTTTTCTAATATTTAATCAACCTGTATTAATATAAATGGGGTGGACAAAATAATAGAAACACATTTATTATTAATATTGTAACAAACAATAGCCTATATTTACTACGGGGTTGTTTGATTAGACCGCATTAGTTTTAGCTAGGTGGACCCAATAACCTGGCAACTGTAACTATGTTGCAATACTTTTTTAGTCTACTGCAGAACAAGCTACGTGTGCATGATGTTTTGATGTTTTCTCAAATAGTCTCAGTGTGTCATGACACATGACGCTTCCATACCACCAACGTTAAAGATGGATTCATCTTTAATTAATTTTAGCTTTGTTTTAGGAAACACTCTTCTACCCAATGCTGTATAAATTCTGTCTCGTGCAATATCGGAGTCAACATCGAGACAGAAATCCATCATCTATGTCAATATGTTGGTTATTATGCTAATTTTTTTCTATTTTCTATTTTGATGGTTCCACCTCCTACTGAAAAGCTAAAATGTGGGAAGAAAAGTACAAACCTACCATAAAATACATTTAATGATGTAAAGTTGGACCTTGTAGGTTTTGGATCAGAATCCACTGACAAGGGACGAATGAATGATAATATATGAAACAAAATAGTATGTTTAAAGCATAATTATTATTGTAGTATATATATATATATATGTAGGAAATGTGTAATGATTGAATTATTGCTCAGAGCTCATAAACGTTCAACAAACATTTTCAAATAAGTCTTGTTTATCCGAGGCCTTTTGGAGAATTATTTAGTGATGATCTTATACATTACAACACAGTTATTCTTTTTGTAGAACATTCTCCAAAAACTCTACTCAGAGAAAATATACCATTGCATGTTTATTATGCAGGCTTAATGAACAAGTATAACAAAGACACTGAATCTATGTCACCCATAAATGGTTCAATAGTATTATTTAAGATGAATTAAGATTTCTGTAATATTGTATCTAAGTGTTTTAGGCTTCATTGTAACTCAAGTCTTTTGCCACAACTGCATCCCTTTGAAAAAAAGAAAGTGGCTCCTGCTTTTCTCTCACGTAGTTAAAGGTTTGTATAAGTATTGTTTGGTTTTAAGCTCAAGCAATAGCCCTTCAGGGAGTGTAAGTGAGGTAACTGACCATTGTAAATTGCAAACACAGGCAAAACTAATAAAAGCTTGCCTAACTTTATGTCAGATTAAAATACAATTATTTATTAATTTATTATCTATCAATTTCTTTTCTTTTCTTTAATAATGCTAAGGAAATAAAACCACCATTTCGTACGTGCAGGTTTGGCTGAACATTGTCAATCACTCTTCTGTTTCAGCTATTAGCTTCCTAAACTGGTAGAAGTGGTCCTATTTTGTAAATGTGCTGACAATGTAATAATTTCCAGTGCTCAACATACACTCTGCATTTGGTTCGGTTTCTCTAAAACCTAAGTGACCATCAGTAAACCATGTGAAAGGTGACTTGAGCGTCTGTATTCATGAATTAGGATGATATTTCTTAGATCAGGAAGCTATGAATATCCAAAGTGTTAAATATTTATAAATATACATAAAACTGTAAAAACAAGTAAATAATACATTATAAAATATTGATATGAATAATACAGATAAAACATATGATATAACCATTAAACTGTTAAATAATATATTTTTAAATCTGACTAATCTAATTATCATGAAGTGTTATTTAATTCAGCCAGTTTTGTAATTGGCAGACAAGAAGTTTTTGAATATTGCTATTGTTAGCGTTTTGTTCATGCTGCCACTAGAAAGCTGCTAAAGAGCTGTCTTTACTGTCTGCACCTTTAATGTTGAGTGAAGACGCATGAGCAGTTTACATTTAGCACTGACCGTACAAGTAAGACAACACAGGAGGATGTTACAGCTACAACCAGTGTGGGTGTTTTGTATATTACAGTGCGCTCATTATACCATGCTGATGTCATACCTATTTTTGTTTTGTTGTTTTTTTGCAATACCACAGCAGACTGAATAATGTCATTACTAAGTGGTGTTTTGCTCATGCAAAAATATCTAAATATTTTCCATATTTACCACAAAGGGGCATGTTTAGTTTTCCACACAGTAGTGCATCATCATCATCAAACTTTGTGAGTAAGCTATTCCTACTTCTGAGAGATAAATGTGAAAAGAGGGACTGAGTCTATGAGTAATGAATGGATTTGCATGATTTTAAAAATAAAACTTTATTTATTAATATTCTTAATCCATAATTATTTCCTGTTAAGTGATTTACTGGTTATGGACACATTTACATACACATACAAGTCTCAACAAATAAAAGCTTTATTAATGGGGGATTTATTGCAGGGCTGTTGTCTACGGCTCATTATTTTTTTTTTTACTTTTTAAAAATGTGGGGAATTATCTGTTAAAGAAAGATAAAAAAAGAAATAAATCAGCACTAAAGCACTAAAACAATAAACTGCAGGTCCCAAGACTTGTGCGCACTGGAAGGATGTAAATTGAAGCAACAAATTAAGTTGATAAGTAGATTTACAGTGAGTTTTTACAAAACAACATTATGGCAAGTGTGGCCTTTGAAGAAATTTCTCAGTTGTTACTTACAGTAAAACAATGTGCGGCGAGAGTGGAATACACACATAATTGGAGCGGATGGCAATGGTCAGAAATCCACTGGGAGCAGGATTGAGAAATTGGTCCTGAACATGGCCCTGACACAAAGCAAGGAGTTTAATGAGCAGTACTGAGTCAAGCACAGAGTGCTTTGCACACCTTTTCTTACCTTTGTTTCCCCTTTCAGGCTACATAGTGTTCAGGCTAACCTACACTTTTAGTGAAGGTCATGATTCATAAGCTGCAAACAGTACCTGTTTGCACTATGACCATAGGTGCACAGACAAAAATCAGCTTGATTACTTGTGATAATGAAGAAAAAGTATGAAACTGATTATTATGAGGCAGGATCTTAAGGTATTAGTAATGCCTTTTTTTATATAATTTTACAGTTATAGATGTTGTTACCTTATTGGAACAGCCACATCAAAAGGGGAATGAACTGTTCCAGTTTAACTAGTGCTGAATTAACTGGTGATATGTGCATGTCTGAGACTGTTTGACATGCAATCTCTGAAAGTGAGGACTATAGGTGACAGTGTTGATGCATGTTCAATACATTGCAAACCTCAATAAAATATTATTAATATAAAGTTAATAATCTGATTTCAAGTCAATTTGAGAAATGTTTATACTTTATAAAGTATTTACTTATATTATATGTTGACACACAGCTAGAACTGTGTATTGTATATTTGTTGTGTCCGTTTGTCTCTGACAGTGTGGTTTGTGTGTATATTATTTTGCTTCTTGCTTCGTATGTATCTTCTTGTTGTATTTGTTTGTGTGTGAAGAGGTGAGGGTAAGTAGGTAGAAAGTCAAAGTTGAGCGAGAGGTAGGTGCAGAGAGACATCTGCAGACACAAAAGAAATAGGTTAGAGCACCTGCCAAAGTTGTGTCCATTGCAGAGGAATCAAATGCTATGTTTGGAGTTTGCTTCCAGCTATTTAGGTAGACAAGGTGGAGAGGCGAAAAACCCACAGTGCCATCATTACAATTGGCCTGCTATGGAGAATGACATTGGCAAGTAGGTGAGATTGTATCTTCAAAATAATGAAGGACAACACATTAAGTGGACACATAGCAGTGTAATGTTTATTTTTGCAGTGATGTAGAAAGTCTATCTGTGTCTCTGTCAGCTGTCCTGTACGATTTCCTGCCGATATGCCTTCTGATACTGTATACTCACAGGGTTTTCAATATGGGGATTTACACAAATATATTTGTCATTATTTCAAAATAATTTTGGTTTGTTTAGATTGCTCATTGTCCACAGTGGAAGTCAGGGGGAGCAAGTATTAAACAAAAGAGAGTGTGTAATCCAATAGAGGTTAAGGAAACTGGTAAACATTATTAGCTTTCAAACACATCAACAGTAATGTAATGCTCATGTCTTTTTTCTCCCAGGTAACAGAGCCTCTTAAACTTTGTGGGATGGACCTGGAGGATAAACTCATAACATATGGTGGCAACCAGGACATACGTATGTGTCATAGTTGATTATTTCACCAACTGAATGAGAGGCCTACCAACTTAAGAGCAAAGCAGCAGATGAGGTCACCAATTGCATTGGTTTCTTTTACAAATTGGTGCACCTAAAAGACTGCTAACTGACCAATACATAGAATTTTGTATGTAATTGTTGGTGTGCTGACTTGCTTCATGTTTTTCCAACTGATCATTTCAAAGTCAATTAAAGACCTGTGTTGAAGGGGAACTTGGCAACTCTAGCCATTTCTTCTCTGGTTTTCACTTTTGTCGTTGCATGTTTTCTCAATAAGCTCCCCCTCCAGCTCTGGGACGTATATTTCAAAACACTGTCGTAAAAAAACTCACTTGCGGCACCCTCCTCCCCCTTTCTACCGCTGCTGATGTGCATTTGTTGCCGGGCAACTTTTTCGTGTGGAGCAATATCTACCGAGGTGGGTAATACATTCATCGTCACTTGTTCTTATAGCCGGCGTGGCTAACCGGTATTGAGGGGGCGTGTGCGTTTATGTGCCGTAAAGCAGTTCGTGTTTCTCACTCGTTCTTGCTTTTCACGATACTTCCTATTTCCAACTTAATGGGACGGTAGTCCCACAGTTGCAAGCTTGGTTTTCCGCCTGGGGATGCTAGGGGGAGCAGGGATGTCACCATTAACACCGGAACAGGCCATTTAACCATCCAAATGATTTCTAAACGGGTTCATTAAGTTGAAATAGTTGCCAAATTCCCCTTTAAAGGTTGGACATCAAAAGAAGCCTGTGCTCCCCCTACCATCCACAGCATTGCAGCTCAGCTTCGGCCGTAACCTCAGTTTCCCCTTGTGTTTCTATGTTTCCCTTTTCCCTGCATCTAGGGCAGCGTTTCATTAGTAGTTCCACTTCCCCTCATTCACTTACCCTCAGCCCTTGGTATGACGTAACAGCATACGTCGCACGGAGGCCACTTGGAGCGTGGAGGGAATGTTGGTGGGGGAGGAGCAGGGGATTTAAATGAAACGCACTTGTCCTTGGAGTCAGTAGTCACAATGGACCGCCTGCTCATTGGCAGCTGTCGCCGTTATAGCGGCAATGACGTAAACTGCAATGCATTGTGGGTGATATCCACCTCGGAGTGACCATCGTTGTTCACTCGCTCGTTCAGCCCTCCGAGGGTCCATCTCAACAAGTTCACTTCAGTTTTCCAGACAATTGGAACGACACTTATGATGGCGACTGGGATTCCCCCGAGGGCAAGTGCCGAGGGCAAGTGAACGAGGGCATGTTGAACTACTAATGAAACGCAGCCTACGACTTGTCCCAGCCACAAAGAAAATCCATTGAGAAGTATTTAAATGTCTCCCTTGCTCCTGGTATCATTTGACTGTCCTCCTCTCCTGTTGGTGTCGCTTTCAATACAGATTTGCCTTTGTAATGAAACATAGAGATACACGGTATACTGAATAAAGGCTCCAGAAAAAAAATAGCATGTACATGTTTTTTTCTTGGCATTGAAGGTAAATAAAAGCCAATTTTCACTTTCAGCTTCCTAACGTGATTAGCAATATGCACATTATAATTATTATAATAATCCATTGCACATGTTTTGGCTGACTGAAATAAAGTAAAAACTGACTATAGCTATGAATTATTTTTAAATTTTTGAAATAATAAAGTATGCAATATGAAAAGTTGGATTATGAAGGATTTTGGATTTAGTTGGACACAATATGCATAAGTAATTCTGAATGAGGTTTATTGCAAAGAAAGTTTTCACATACAAGGAATTTGCCCTTGGTAAATTGGTGCATAAAAATCACAATCAAGCATAGAAAAATACAAATAAAGGTAAAAAGGTAAAAAAATAGAGACAATAAAATGGAGCCACTATATACAAATATAAAGTGAGAGACTGAGAGAATATGTACAAAATTAACAAAGTCAAAGTCAACTGGGGAGTCACACAAGATGATGGGGGCGGGTGGGGCTGGGTTCATGTTTCCCTAGCTTCACATCCTGCTTCCTGTAAGTACCTCAGAATGAGCTGTTTTTATCTAGAGATGCTGCAGGTCACCCTTCATGGATCCGCCATGTTGAACTGCCATGTTTTTGGCTGTTATCCCCGGAGCTCTTTCACAAGAGAAGAGCTCATAAACATCAGGGGAACAACTCCAGCTGATCTGTTTCCCACTTTTCTTCTTTCTTCCGTTGAAATATTGGACATTGTGGTCAAATGTGCGCTCGTGCGTCTCCGCCAGCACAGACATCGCACAGTGTTACCTGGAATATTCCTCTCCAACGTGCATTCACTGTGCAATAAAATGGACGAACTTCAGCTATGTCTAAGGGAAAAACAGAGACTTTTCTTCATCCTCTGTTTTATGCTTCACAGAGTGAAATGCCCAACCAGAGTGGAGAACGCACTCGATCACTGTGACACTACAGTCAGCAGAGCTCATCACGCTGTCACCCGCGCCGCACTGGGCCTCTCTGACCACGTCATGGTCCACCTGATTCCTTCATACAGGCAGTAATTAAAGCTCTGTAAACCTGTTGTGAGGACATCAAAACAGTGGTCCAGTGAAGCTATGGAGGATCTCCAGGCGTGTTTGAACTCTACTGACTGGGATGTGTTCAGGACTGCTACTGAAAGTCTGGACGAGTACACAGAGGCTGTGACATCAGCTTCTGTGAGGACTGCTGTGTACCATCACGCACCAGGGTGAGTTATAACAATGACAAACCCTGGTTCACAGCCAAACTAAGACAGTAACAGTTGTAGAAGGAGCAAGGATTCAGGAGTGGGGGCAAGGACAGGTTTAAGGAGTCAAAGTACAAGTTTAGCAAGCTGGTGAGAGAAGCTAAACGACAGTACTCTGAGAGACTTCAACATCTGTTCTCAGCCAATGACTCTGGTTCTGTCTGGAAGGGGCTCAGACAGATAACCAACTTCAAACCTAAAACCCCCCACTCCATCAACGACTTGCGCCTGGCAAACAAGCTAAGAATGAGTTCTACTGTCGCTTCGACAGACAAAGAAGCAGTCCTTTGGCTGGGGCCACTTCACAACTCCACACCTCTGTGAATCCCTCCTCTTTCACCACAGTGACTGTAGAAATGCAATGTCCTCACTCTTTTGTAGATTTGGACTTGAAGCTTTAATAAACTCTCATTGCATTGTCACAGGTAACATGTTGCATCCTCACTCTGCTCATGCAGCGGCAACTAACTCAGACTGTAAACACAAACATGACTTCCTCAGTCTCTTAAAGGAATACCACCTAACTCTCACAACATTACATCTCTCCTTTTCTTTCAAATGAAATGTCCTTCCTCAGTTCTAGCTTTACTTACTCTGACAGGACGTGGATTAACAAACATACAATGTTTCCCAAAATAGGAGTAGCTACAATTCAGTCATGTATCATTACTGTTATTCAAAATCAGACATATAACATTAAACGAATAACTGAGAATAATATCTCTGAGCAATTCTGAACACGTTATAGTTGTTGAATCAGCAACATAAACATAACTGTGATGAGAGTCTGTATTGGGAACTTATCAATGCCTCATCACTCTTCATAGCCTTTGCTACAGTTCAGTCACAAGTCTTTGAGGAGGTCGTCTGCTTACCCTCACAGGGTATCTCCTCCTGGCTTCAGGGTTAACATGTTCAGGATCACCTGTGTGTCCACCAACACTATCATCATCACTGTTGTCACTGTCTCCTGTTGTGAATGGAACTTCCGGTTTGTGTTTCAGAAGTTTGAAGTGTGATCTGTGTCTTGTGATTTTGTGTTCATGTCTCTGTGCAGTGACCATTGTTCCTTTCACTGCGATGACTTTGTATGGGTTAGGGTTGAATGGTGTTACAAGTTTTCCTGTTTTCCTCTGTTGTATTAGGACAACATCACCCTCCTTGAGTTCAGAGTGTGATGCGTTCCTCCTTTTGTCTGCATAATGTTTCATCCTGTCTTTCTTCAATCTGTCTGTTAGACGGAGAGCTCCATCATCAGGAGGATGAGAGATGGATGGGAGCTTTATTGCTATGGGTCGACCATAGAATACTTCAGCTGGAGGCCGGTTGGTGGTGTGATGAGGGGTTGCACTGTAGTTCCTGAGGAACTTGTATAGCTCCTGTTTCCACGGCTTGCCTTCCAGCGCAGCTGTGTGTATTGTTTTGGTCAGAGTCCTGTTAAATCGTTCGACTTCAGCGTTGGCCTGTGGCCAGTAGGGGGTGATCTTTCTGTGGTGGAAACCGAGGTACGTTGCAAAATCTGAGAAGTCCTTGCTTGAGAATGGGGGGCCGTTATCACTTTTCACCACTTCTGGTATGCCCACAGTTGAAAAGATTTTGTCCATGACAGGGATGAGTTTACATGCTGACGTGGACTGCATAATCTCGACGAAGGGAAACCTTGAGTACTCATCCAGGATGACCAACAGGTAGTCACCTGAAGGGAAAGGTCCACAGAAGTCCACTGCAACATTTTTCCAAGGTCCATGTGGGAGTTCTGACATTTGCAGTGGCTGATGCGCGGTTTTGGGTGTGGATGATTGACAAGGGAGGCAGCGGGATATCAGTTCTTCAGCTTGTTTGTCTATTCCCGGAAACCAGACTTTCTCTCGGAGCAGCTGCTTAGTTTTGACGATGCCTTGATGCCCTTCATGAGCGAGTGCAACCGCTCTGGATTGCAGGGTCTGAGGCATAACAAGTCTGCTGCCCCTGAGAATGAGGCTGCCTCCTTCCAGAGTTGTAAGCTCTTCTCTGATATTGTAGAATGTTCTCAGGATTGACAGATCAAATTGTGTGACGTTGTCATGCAGGCTGTTCCAGTTACCTGAGTGAACCACTTTGATAAGATGTTGTAGCAGTGGATCTCCTAAAGTCTCCCTCTTTACTTCTTCAAGAGTCATTGCTTTGGGTACTGCATGTGCTGCAATGAAGAAGACATGCATTTCAGTGTCAACATCATCTGTGATGCTGGGTGTTTGTGGATGGCGAGACATGTAGTCTGCTGGGTTCGATTTTCCAGCTTTGTGAACCACTTTGAACTTGTAAGGTTGTAGTCCAGGGCCCACCTTTCTATCCGTGCGGGAGGCTTGGACTTTGGGTTGTTGAAGATGAGCTCTAGCGGTTTGTGGTCCGTGATCATGGTGAATTCAGCTCCATATAGATAGAGATGAAAATGCTCGCAACTCCAAACGATAGCCAGCGCCTCTCGTTCAGTTTGAGAGTATCGCTGCTCCACTGGGGTCAGAGCCCTGCTTGCATAAGCTACAATGTATGTCTTGTTTTCCACTTTATCAGTCTGCGCCAGGATGGCACCAAGACCAACTGGACTTGCGTCCACGATGACATTTGTCTTTCTCTCAGGGTGAAAATAGCTCATGACCGGATTGCTGATCAGCCTGTCCTTCAGTTGACTGAGGGCCTCTGTATGTTCCGTTTTCCA